TACCTCCACGTGATACCTACCTCCACGTGATACCTACCTCCTTTGATACGTACCTGGGTGCGGGCACGGAACCCCGTGGATTTCAGGCAGACGTGAATTCAAGATCTGCTAAGCAACACACTGAGACATTCGAGCTACTAGTTGGTAGTCACTGGCAGATCACCTCGCAAGTTCCAAAGGAGAAGGTCTTTTCGGAGAATGTTGAGGGCTGTGTGAAGAATTTTGCGAGAAGGGAGTGCGGAGTACGTAAGATACTTGAGGGAAGCGGCCGAGGCGTCGAGGACTCGGAACACGAAGTACGAGTCCAGGGCCCAGGCTCTCACGTGTGTTTTCTTGTTGAGAAGCCATGTCACTGCACCCACGTGTTTGGCAAATTCCTGTACTCCGTAATGCAAGGCCTGGATGACCGTTGATCTTAACCAGATACCTTGTTAGTACACATTTCTGTGGGTTTAATTGCAGTGGTCACGGCCAGTGGCCACTGGTCAGGGGCAGTGTACGGAGTACTCGTAACAACTAACAAGTGTTAGCTAATGGGGCGACTCCGGCGCTCTAGTCAGAGTCTCGCAAGACGCACTCGAAGGCGGTTAACCATCATCCACTACTTCCGTGTCCGGATGGAGTCATCCTACTTGCGAGTGTCCGTGCTCTGTCCTACTCATCCCCAACCATGTGTGGTATATGGTGGATTTGAGAGGCTGCCATGCATTGCTTGCCTGTAGTTCGCTCCTGAAGCTGAAGAGCTAGGACGGGTTCTTGAACCTCAGATCTGTTGCTCCTTTTCCCTACCCAGCAGATCTGTCACGCGTATTTTCTCTCGCTCTTCCTAGCGTCGGGACAGGTGCAACCAGCCAAGATCGCGGCGTTTTGAAAACTCTACTGAGCGGCACTAAGGGCGAAGAACGTGTGTCGATGGGCAGCTAAGCGACAATTGGAGGTGGGAGTTGGAGCGGCATTGGAAAGTGGAAGTGGAAGTGGGAAATCGTTGCGAGCGATGAATCTGAATCGTGGCGGAGCACAACTTGAGCTGCAAAGAGGGTCCCAAACAATGCGCCTGCCTGTTTGTACCGTATCATGGTATGAGGTATGCGGTATTCGGTATTTGGTATGTATCCGTACCCAGGTCCAGGGATGAGGCAGCCTGCACGGCAATACCTCGTCCGTCCTTTCTCAGGTTCCAAGGTTCCTCAGGTGCCAGTGTGTACGGGAACGGAGCACCTTGTACGGATACTTGGTACAGTACCGAGTAGAAGGAGGAAGGAGGTAGGTAGTAGGTAGGAGGTAGGAGGTACCTAGTACCTGCAACATCTCCTGCGCCCGGCAAGATGGCAAAGTGCACTGCCAGTGCTGTGATAAAATTCAACCGCTCCTGGATTCTGGATGGAAGCAGATAAGTACTCCCCCTCCCGCTCCCATCGTTGCTGCTGCGCTATGCTGTGCCGTGCTGTGCTGGGTTGACCTTCGCCCACTCCTTCTCCCATCTGCATGTACTTTGTCCTCCGTACCACTGGCATCCTCAAGAGTCCATCGAAAGACGCGGTTCCGACCTACCTCAGTCACAACGCTCCAGACCCAACCCACCAGTCTACCAGTCCACGACTGATCCTCCCGGCCTGCCATGGACCGTGACCAGATCCTCAGTACGGCCTCCATCCAACGGTTGATCGCCACTGGTAAGCATATTATCATTTTTGAGGGAAAGGTACTGCAATTAGACGGCTGGCTCGATAAACATCCTGGGGGAAAGCTCGCCATTAAGCACATGGTGGGAAGAGATGCCTCCAACGAGATCAACATGTAAAATTCATCCATTTCCAACCAGCACCTCCCCCCCCCCCTTCCAGGTTCAAGGTGTATGGACAGAACTACAGACATGAGGTTGTCAGAATAGCGAGCGTGCGCCCTATTTAAGTCGTTCTGCAATGCTGAAGAGCGGAACTCTCATTTCCGGATCCCATCTTTATGCAAGGCACCTTGCTGACAAATGAACCATCCTCAATACAGTTATCACTCCCCCGCCACCCTGGCCACAGTACATCGATACACCATCGGATATACTGCCGGCCACTGGACCAACCTGACTCCGCCCATCAGAGGAGGAGTCTATCTGCTACCACAACCACCTGACCAAGACCAGAATGACGTCGGCAGTGACATTGACGACCTCAGCGATGCCTCGACCTTGTGCACCCGCACTCCCTCCTTCGAAAATTATCACCTGGGCGACGACGTGCTCCGGGAACGATTCCCCCTTGACCCTGAACATGATGCCCACTTAGATGTACACCTACAGATCCCAACCAGCCGCCGCCAAATTAAATTGACCAGCCCCTCCAGCTTCATCACACCCCAAGCATTCCTTGCCAAAACGATCAAGAGCGAAATTGACGATAACCTCAGAGACTATCCTTCCTTGGACGATACCACCCAGAGGTCCATTTCGTCCGCCTACCAGGAACTTCACCAACAGGTTAAAGATCATGGCTTCTACCAGTGCAGGTATTCCGAGTATGGAAAGGAAATCACGAGATACCTCGTTATCTTTACCCTCTTCTGCACTGCCCTGCATTGCCGTTGGTATCTCACCTCCGCCGTCTTTTTAGGCCTGTTCTGGGTGAGCTTCCCACATTTCTCTCTCTCCCCGCCAACGCTAATAATGTTGCAGCATCAGATTATGTTCGCAGCACATGATGCAGGTCATCGAGGTATCACCCATAACTTCATCGCCGATAACCTCATTGGTCTCTTCATTGCCGACTTCTGCTGTGGCTTGTCAATTGGATGGTGGAAGTCCAGCCACGACGTCCACCACCTAGTCACAAATCATCCTGTATGTCCCCCAGCAACCATGTTCTGTCTGCCTTCATCCTACAACCTCCTACTTAGTCTTTGTGTATCAACCACTACTAACCATCACGTACGAATAGGAGCATGATCCTGACATCCAGAACGTGCCTCTGTTCGCCACATGCCCAACCTTCCTCAAATCGCTGCATTCCACCTACTATGACTTCACCTTTGTGTGGGACAAGGTTGCCGATTTTGCGGTCGCTTACCAGTATTATACTTACTATCCCATCATGGCCGTTGCACGTTTCAACCTCTACATGCTCTCCGTTCATCACCTCCTCACTTCGCCTCGACCAAACAGTCGCATGACTTCCTGGATCCGGCCTACCGAGTTCGCCTTCATTGCTTGTTATTGGCTCTGGTTTGGCTATGGCATTCTATACCTGACTCTCCCCGACTGGCCGACTCGCATCGGGTTCGTCTTGATCTCGCACCTCGTCACAATGCCACTGCATGTCCAAATCACTCTCTCGCATTGGGGCATGCCAACCGCCGATCTTGGTGATGCCGAGTCATTTCCGCAACGCCAACTACGTACTACCATGGATGTCGAATGCCCGGAATGGCTGGATTTCATTCACGGCGGATTGCAGTTTCAGGCTGTCCATCATTTGTTCCCTCAAGTTCCCAGGCACAATCTGAGAAAGGTCCAAGCCCTGGTACGGAAATTCTGCGACGACACTGGGATTAAGTATACGATATACAACTTCACAGATGGGAACAAGAAGGTCTTGGGCCGACTGGCCGATGTGACTGACCAGGTGAACATGATGATACAGTGCCAAAAGTATATGGCTGAGACCAAGATCAGCGGGCTGCATTAACCCTTGGAGAACAAATACTTTCTCTTCGACCCTGAAAGACTTTTAGAAAACTAGACCTCTTCCAGAATCCGACCAACACTTTGCTGCTCGGGATTGTATTACCACTACACAGAAATGACTTACTCATGGCTCAGGAAATAAGTGCAGGTATTCCAATCTGCAAAAGATGATAGAATCTTGGGTTTGGAGGACGGGTATAGATATGTATCTATGTCTAAAGCAATATGACAGTCCAAACTAGCATTGACCGCCTCTTCTTTCCCTTCCCGTAAGCTAGGCTGTATCGCGTCGTTCCCACCATACTGAGTACTAGTAGTCTAGTACCCCAGGTTGGACTCGGCTCTACTCCGGCCCGGCGGTAACAATCTAGCATTGCTACACCCTCGACCACACAACATGACTGTTCTTTTCCTTATCTTTTTGGCATATACTATTTGGTCCCCTCTGGTCCACTAGCACCAAACCGCGAACGGTCTTTGCCCTCAAGAATGCCACCGAGATCCCGATGGGCTTGAAATAGGTGTGACGGTGCAGCTAAGTCAGCATCAATGTGCTCTCAGGGGTCGGGGCCGCCACCGCCACCGCACAGTCTGATCTGCGTCGACTCCCTCTGGCTCGAGACTTGCCGCGTCATTCCTGTGCCTGATAAAACCCGTACATGTTGAAATACCAGACCAGAAACCTAAACGAGAATGTGGTGATGCTTAAATGCATTCTCTATCCGGCGAATGCCCGAACTCAGTCTCGCTGCCCCAACATCATGATGCTTAATTCGTAGGTTTGGAATAAGATTCAACGAACCTGACAACAAACGGCCTTTGAGGGGCCAACGACACGAGGTATATCCCGCGGCCGCCTCCCGCTTACTGCTCTCCAGTCTCCGGGGAGAGCGTGGAGTTGGCTTGGTCAGATGGGCTTATGGCTATGTCTGGATCTAAATGACTCTGACTGGACCTATTGCTAATTCTGTCAGAATGCATTAGTAGAGCTGGATTGGGTGCTTTTGGGGTATGCGTAATCCCAGGTTCCCAGCAAGCTAAAACCCATTCAAGCGCCAGACCAGCCTCAGATACCTGTGACCTCAGAAAGTCAGAGAAAGTACCATCACATTCATTTGGAGCTCTCCGGCTCTGCATGCAATCACTAACATGAAGAAGGTAGCTGTCATCGGAGGAGGTCCAGGAGGCCTAGTAACGCTGAAATATCTTGCGCAGGCACACACGTTTCTTCCAGTGGAGCCGGTCCAAGTCCGTTTGTTTGAGGCCGATGATGCCATCGGAGGTACTTTCTATCAGCGGAAATATGAAGATAGAGAGGTATTCATGGCTCCCGATGATACACCATCACGAGACCTCTTATACTAACAGACCAATCACAGCAAGTCTCATCGAAATACCTGACTGCCTTCTCGGATTTCCGCCCACTGGCCAGCGACCCCGGATTTTCTGCCGATGAACAGGTATCTCGAATATCTGGACGAGTACTGTACACATTTTGATTTGTGGAAGCATATCGAAATCAACACGAGAGTTACGAAGCTGCGCCGGAAAGGGCCGGGGGATGTCATCACCTTCAGGAAACAAGCCCAGGGCAGAGGAGAAACGCAGGAAGAACACTGGGAGTGCGATGCGGTTTTAATCTGCACTGGTTTGCATGTCGAGCAACATATGCCACGTGTCGCGGGCATCGAGCATGTCCCGGTCGTGACACATTCGTCGAAGTTTAAGGGGAGGAGTGATTTCGGAGAAGACAAGAACATTGTGGTCCTTGGGGTAGGCGAGACTGGGATGGACATTGCTCATCTTGCCGCAACCTCCCCAAATCCACATTCAGTCACGATCTGTCATCGCCGAGGATTCCTCGGCGGTCCGAAGATATGTCTGGCCTCTCTGGTCCTCTCCGCTGGTACTGACAGCCTCCTACAGGGTCCCGAATCCTGTCCTGTTCTCCGTCATCCAGCCGGCCACATACCGTATCCCCACCGACGTCAGCACCGCATCTCTCTTCGAGTCAATGTACGTCCACCCGATCATGAGACGGCCGGGGATCCCGTGGGCATATTACAACACCTTCGTCAAGAGCACCTTGTGGCTTGTTGGTGGTTCGAAATATGGCATTGATCAGTGGGTAGGCGGAGTCGCAGACGACCATTATAGCACGGCCGAACGTGAGTGCTGCACCCGAACCTCAGACAGAGAGACAGACATCCTGATTAATACATCTCTCAGTCATATTTATGAAATCCGATAAAGCATTGCCTTATATCAGTGGACCTTACCGGTCTCGCTCCTAGCTGCACAAAATCCGGAGCTGCATTGCCCAGACTCGCATCCCCGACACAAATGGGAGAACCATTGATCTGGCGCCTTGGCCGGACCATATCGACAAAGACGGTATCATCCACTTCGTCGATAATGGCCGCCCAGAGGCCAAGCGCATGTCCCGGATCAAACGTAAGGTCGACATGATGATCATGGCCACGGGGTATACGCAGACGTTCCCATTTTTGGACGCTACGTACCCACGTCCCGAAGACGCAGATATACGGCGCATCTAGAAGCAAGACGACCAGTCCGTCGGCTTCATCGGCTTTGTCCGACCCAGCTTTGGTGCCATCCTCCTATCAGCCAATTTTGAACAGGATTTCCAGATCAGTCGGCTAACGACACAATTTGCACAGGCGCGATACCTCCGCTAGCCGAATTCCAGGCGCAGCTATAGATCCTGGTCATCCATGCATTACTCCGGCACAGCCTCATTCCGAACGAACACTACAAGCTGCACGTCAGCGACGGCGATCGCATTCAGTACGGTGTCGACCACGAGAACTACGCGTACCAGCTGGCATTGGACATGAAATCTGCGCCGTCGTTCTCGTACATGCTAGCCCGTGGGCCGCGCCTGTCCCTGACCTGGGCGCTGGGAGCGAACTTCAACACCAAGTTCCGCCTCGTCGGGCCGTGGGCGTTTGACGGCGCGCAAGAGATCATGCGGACGGAGCTTTGGGGGACGATTACCCGACGCGGTGGGTTTTTCGGTATGTTATGCTATGCTGTTCTGACGGGATCATATGAACCTTGACCTTCTGTGTCTTGTGCATGATCAAGTACTGACAAGACATTGGGTACAAGACTGGTCGTGCTCTCGGCCATTCCGATTTTCGTCTTGGGCAGCATCAATTTCGTGGTCGGGATCTTGGCCAGTCTCGGGGTACTTGGCTGGCATCACAGCAGTCTGTTGATTTGAGCCCGATTCTTGGACCTGGTACATCAGGTGACTGAGTGGCTGGCAGCCGGACGTCATCAAGCCATAACACTATGCGTGTACAATACACCCAGATGTATCGAAGATTTAGGAAGAACAGATATCACTCAGGTCCGAGCCTGGTGGTTAGATTCTTGGTTTCCTGCCACAGTGGAGTTTCAGTCCGGTTCATTTGCAGGTTTGGCCTAGTGAGAACTGTGGTGAATGTCTCGTTAAATCTCATACCGGTTCTGTCCTCGATTTCATGAACTGAGATCATAACCATGAGTCAACCACAACCGCCAGCCCCATTAGCCCCTTGAGCTTGCCTGATCCTAGTCCCAATTCAAGGCCTTTGACTCCAGAAATACGGGATACAGGGGCGAGGCCAGACTCGATATATGTTTTCACGGTCTGATCATACGTTAAGTGCTCGAGGCTGAGATACTAAGACGTTGAAGGGTAGAATGCTAACCATTTTAATGCTTGCCCATGGCAATAATTAATTAGCTAATTCAAATGCCAAATCAGTCGTAGCGTGAAGTCAATCTAGGCCGGGGCTCCAGCATTTAGCTACCAGTACGAGTAGGAAGCAGATTCAAAACTACCAGACACCCCCAGACACCCCCAGACACCCCCAGACACCCCAGATGGGTGCCAGAATCCGCAAGATGATAATTACGAGCTCAGACCCGGCTTCCCCTGTTCACTCGACCCACCGAGGCGATACACTAATTAGTGCCGTTCTCTTCTATCAATCACATTCCCGAAATGGTATTTGAAGGCACTTGCACTCGCATGCTCCCCCACGCGGCGTGACCGCTCTTGATGCCACTGTGCTTCCTCGTTTGATCCTGCCTAGTTGGTCTCTGCCGGTTTTACTACCAAACAGAAACAGAGACCCAATGCAGACTCGGACTTGGAACGCTTGCCTCGCCGGGGCCAGCTCCCTTGCTCTCTTCGCTGTCTGATCCACTTGTTGAGTAACCCCGTAAATAGGTCATATAGAGACTGATTGATTGATTGATTGATGAGAGTAGGAGCGACAGAAAAAGTATATAAGCAAGTGGGATACCCAGCTGAAGGTGGTAGACCTCAACATCAATACACCTTGCTTTATCTCTCCATCAATTCACTCGCTCCAAAAAGCCGAAACATCTAATTCCTCTTCAAGCTCAAAATGGCCGCAGTTCAGGGAGGTTGCTTGTGTGGCAAAGTCCGCTATGAATATTCTGGTTGATATATACCAAGCTGATTTATCGCCCGTCCAACTAACAATCCAACAGGGGATGTTGCGTTGAAGGGATTCTGCAATTGCAAGGACTGCCAGCGCTGGGGCGGCGCGCCTGGCATGGCAAACGTGGTGGTGCCTCGAGAAACCTTCAAGATCACATCAGGTACCTTGAATACGAACGGACCCCCCTGAAGAAAGATCAGTGCTGATAAGATCAAACCAGGTGAACCCAAGACCTTCGACACTGTCGGCGATAGCGGCAAGATCAACAAGCATTTCTTTTGCGGCGACTGCGGGTCCAGCTTGTACTGTGAACTGGAGGTCCTGGCCGATAAGACAGCGATTAAGTAAAGTACCCGACTCGAGAATTGAAGCCAAGCGCGCTAATTAATGTGTTCACAGAGCGGGAAGTCTCGACCAACCAGATGTTGGTGAAATGCAGGTCGAGTTCTACACCAAGGACAGAGTCTCGTACCAGAAGCCTCAAGAAGGCGCCCAGCAGCTCGCGGCATTCGGTTGACAATGAGCAGAGCGTAGATCGGCTGGAAGTTGGGCAGTGCCGACGCTGTGCGAGGGCCTGAAGACAAGAAAATGCCTGCGTAAGACCTAGGATGCTAGAGTGATCAAACAAGATAGGCTTGGGACCAGCAAGCGCCTCATTCTCTTCCCAAAAATGCTATTTCCTGCACCAGCGCCCTGTTGTCTTCATAATGATTGTGGACTTGGCAGTGTAATGCTTGCTCGACGCTTCAGAAACGCTTGTAGAGTTGCAAAGCGATACAACTCGTTTCGAATGGCTAGTGGATCTAGTCTCCCAACGCTCGGGAGAGGTCCCATGGCAGGCTCGAAAGCATCGCTCCCCGTGAGGTGAACCGGTATGCACTGTCTGTCACTGTCACTGTGATTGTGGATGAGGAGTTGGAGTCGTCTTCGGCATTTATTTCTTCTGGGGCGTTTCGGATGCAAAATATCTCTTGCTCATCCTCACACCCTTCTGCCACAGTGCGAAAGGACTCGAATCCTGGCCGGGATATTTCTCTCGCTGTTCACGGCGGATGCGCAGAGTGGCGGCAGATAGGCCTACACAGACGGCGAAGATCGGGTCGACGAATCTGCAGGGATGGATTGTCAGCCAATTGCTACCATTGCGCGGAGAGGGGTCGGGAGGCATACTTAGAGATGAGCCACGGTTGAACTATAGTAGCCATGTTAGGTATTAGGGAGAGAGATCATTTAGGTTGTTCAGTAGATTCAGGTATGTGTGAGTGTGTGTGAGTGTGTGTTCGTAGGAGATGATGCGAAGGGGTTCCAGATTCAAGACAGTGTGAAATTGAGGCTGGTATCCACCGAATAAAACAAAAAGGAGTCCTCGGTAACCAGGTTGGTGTCTGCGGCAAAGTAATTCTGCCGGCAGATTCTAGGCGGTGTCTTCCCGACAACCGCCATGCTGGCTCGTTCACAAGTTCTCCGGGCCTCCTCAGAGTCATGGACGAAGTCTTTACCATCATTCATCATGATTAATAAAGTTAGTTGCCTATGTAATCACTGCTAATGCTCGTCTCTCAGCTGTTGTCTAATTTCCTACAAGGGAGAATTTCCGTCTGTAGCTGTGGCTGTAGCTGTGGCTGTGTATATATACATCATGTCATAAAACTTGAATCGCAGCTCGATCACCTGCAATGTTCCACTCCTAATGTCCGTTCAATTGTTCGACCGGCACCGTCTCCGTCCCCTGTAGATGTGAGATTGGACTAGCCTGAATCGATCCATTCGCAGTGATAGTCCCGTTCGTGCCACTAGCATGACAGCACTCTGCACTCTCATTTCGGCCAATCTCGATGCTACTATGGTTCTTTTGCCCTGGTACGTCCAAAGCAGGATTCTTGTCAAAGAAATCCGCAGGTCGGAGATGAAGCTGGTGGATTTCAACAGGCATGACTGGCCAGTCTTCAACGCGAGGATTATGTGTCAAACCAAAAACATTCCACACGACAACATCGTTGTTCTCCACATCCTCGTTGCGAGCAACAGCGTCTGCCACCCCACCAATTTCTTGTTTCGATTGATTGGTGAACTCTCCTGCAGCAAAAAGTTCTTCATCTCTATACTTCGTCACCCAAACATGGTGCTGCGCAAATGCTGCTCGTTTCGCAACAATAGATTGAGGATCAGCCAGGATCATCTGAGACGGGGCAGGAGTGAATTTGTAAGCGACAGGTCGCCGTGAGATAGGGTTTAACTTATTGGTGTTTGCGATCTTGACGGTCAAATTCGTAAATGGAGATGCATGGATTGACGTTGACTTGGTTACTGGTTTACGGACCACCTCATACCCATTTCCCCAGGGGTTGGTTTTAGGATTCATTGGAATTGGGAGTGATTCCTCCGTGATAACAGTGTTTTCATACCCATCAATGGCGGGATCGATCCGCACTGCGAAAATGTGTTGATGATTTTGAGCCAAAACTCCTGGCGATACGACATTGCCCCACGGGCTGGTTTTGCCCGGATCGATATTGACAACTGAGACCATGCCGGTTGCCCGGGTCTCAACCGTGATTCTGCAGAACGTTAGCGGCCTGTATTACGGTGGGGATCTCTATCCACTTACCCGCCCGCCTGGTCCAACTTGTAAGCGAAGATATATTCATAGTTGGCCAAAGTGATAATGAACTGCACCACCAACTCCCTTGATCGCGTAACCACGGCTCTGTTTGTCCGGAAATTGGTGTGCTTCCAACCAATACCGTTATCCTGCTCATGAATGCAGACTACATTCTTGGAGACAGAAGGCTTGCCCTCGGAATCCACAAGCACAGCATCGAGGTACTTGATGACACCAAGGCAATCACAACCAAGCTCGAGGTTATTCGCCGCACGGCCAGCGCCGACATCGCCAAAGTCGAAAGCTTGCTTCCGGTGGAAGGGTGGGCGTGGATCACCATAGGGGACAGTCATCTCGGACAAACTGAGTCGGTACAACACACTGCGTCCATCGTACTGAACATCGTGAAGGACAGCGCATTCACGGGGTGTGAAACTAAAAAGAAAATAAGTTAGAAATACACGCGGACTGCGGGAGAAGCCGGAGAAGATTTGAACTTACCCTACTCTGAACCTCCATTTCTGCCATTCGATAAGTGAATCGTCGGAGACGGTAAACGAGGGGCCGTTCGGCTGGAAGACATTCAACGGCTTGACATCTGTTCGCATGGGAGTATCGAGCAGCTCAGGCACGTATTCGGCAGGGACGCAATGGCCGAGAATGCCTTTGGGACCTGTGCCGTATACGAGGCCGTCTTCGGTACCACCAGTGGCCAGGCGATCGATGCGGATGATTTCCTTCTTGCATGTATCCATCACCGGAATAATTGGTAGAGGAAAGGCATAGTGATTGGTATCAGGATTCTCGTGTTTCAATTTCGCGAAAATCAAGCCCTGGGTGTAGCGCGGCTCGACATCGTCTGGGTTGGGACCACCACATGGCCAAGGGTCAATAGCAATCTCGTACTTGTCGTCCAAATCGAATTCCTTGATAGCTTGCTTGAATATCTCGGATTCGAGGCACACAGAGTTAAACTCCATAAATTCATCCTTAATGAGGGCTGATTGGGCAGTCTTGGGAGCTTTCCGAAGCCCGACTTCCTTGCCTGACGCAATGTCAACAATGGACTCGAGTAATTCGTGGCTCCGGTCATCAGATATTGTGTCGTACTGGACACGAGCCTGACGTGGAGGTCGAGGAGTGTCTGGTGAGAGGGTACCGCTGTGTTCCGCGTTAAGAAACTTGACTAGATCGGCTTTGGCTGGCTCGACAGCGTAGATGTTTCGGAAGAGGATACCGAAAGCTTTGCGAGCGTCGATGACCGCCCGGCGTGCTATGTTGACCTCATCAACACTGAGTTGCTCCAGGGGATGCTTGATGGCGAATTTGGGCACAGGGCCTCGTTGTAGGGCAGAGGCTGGCCCTTCGGAAGAGGGCATTGTGGCAAAGAAGAACAAGGAACGAACAGGGACGGGTGAAAGGCGACGCAGTAGCAAGGGAACGAAGTATGTGGATGTATTAGGGAAGTGATCATAGAGAGACGATCAAATGGGAAGTACAGGGATAATAAGGAATCAGGTGGTCGCTTTGATGCCTACCAGAGAAGCATTCCGAGGCAACGGAGTTGTCCTACAGTTTGTGCAAAACGCCATTAATGGAATTAGACAAGTCTCGCCATTGAGGGAAGTCTGTGTTAAGGAGACTTGACGATCCAATCGAAGATGATTCCGCTTCGATGGGAGGATCCTGTTGATGGGAACGCCGAATAAGTCGAGGGGGGAAGAGTACTAATTAGATAGAGGCGAGTAGTGACGCAGTATTGACAAGGGAGGCGGAAGCGGAGATTCGAGACACTGAACGGCGGACTTCTCACTCGAGATCGCACAAATCAACCAATGAAGGTGCTGTGTCGGATACACATACCTCATTCGGATGAAGCAATGGTGATGGCCATTGGATGGGAATCCGGTAATCTGGTGAATGGATTCACCTATTCCGTACACATTCCAGAGGGAATACTAGTACGGAGTATGATGGACTTGGATATCAAAAGAGACACACTAAGTCATGATAGTACTACGGGCTGATGTTTGGCATCACAAGCGTGCTGATTCTTGTTGTTCTTATTCGATGGACCTCGACCCAGACTGCAGCGAGTGATGTCACCAACTCGAGTCTCAAGGGTTGACTATTCCAACATCTCAGTGGCCCCCAAACCACCTTCTCTTGAAGACGAAGTAGCTATTCAAGAGCGATCAGCCAAAGAGAGCGCCCTCACACGCCCCTTGCCATCCACTTTAGCCTCCAGCTTCTGGTATCAAAGGAGATCGTCATCATCCGTCGCCCAGAATTCAGGATTCAACAACTCAGGATACTCCTTACTCAGCGCAGAAGATTCTGTATTCTCCTTTTCGCTCAGAGAAACGATCCCCTGTTTAGAGATCTCGTACGGAACGGGGGTGTCGGTCGGTGGAATCCACGGTGCAAAAACCACTGCCAGCGATCTTTTCTTCTTATTGTCCTTCCAAATGTTACCCCCCGTGTACGCTTGACGTTCACTTTCCAGTTTGAGGACAATTCGAGCCGAAATTTGGTTAGCCCAGATAAGTCCTAGCGCGGGGGTCTTCAGTGCCTGGTGCGGTGACTCGTCCCTATCGCCCCAGCCGGTGAAAAATCGCTGTTGATGAGCAAGACTCTGGCTCTCTGTCCGATGTTGACTGGCAGCCGCCACTGCTTGAGGCCCATACACAGTAGGGGACGATGACGATGCAGGAGATTGCGATCGACGCATCAGCGGAGTCGTCTTAGCACGTGTAGTGTCGAATCGATCCGAGACTTGATTGGTGACGATAACAACGGCGTTGCTCTCAATTGCGATCTGCCGTAGGGTGCTTCCCAACTGGCGCAACTCTAACGCCCGTTCCCGCAGACCAGCAGGTGTATGATCTCCGTGTTCGGCTCGGAAGTTTGCAGCTACTGAGTCTATGACAATCAAGCCAATGTTGAACCTCTCTACAGCAACCGGCAGCTGATAGCGTAAAACGTGTTCCTGCGCCTCTAGACTGTTGGTGAGCGTGGTATGTACATGGTCCATCGATGGTCGCTCAGCAGGGTACATATTTCGATATCGGGGGTGGCAGTCCAACATTTCCAGAAGCCGTTTTGTGTTGAGGTTGGCCTCGGTTGAGATGTACATTGCTGATTTGCCGAGACCCTCTGGAGGGGGTAGCTGAACAGAGAGAAGCAATCCAAGCACCAGTTGTGTTTTGCCCGCAGCACTTTCACCAACGACCTCTGAAATGTGGCCGGGTTGAAATCCACCGCCGAGGGCCTTGTCCAAAGCCGGATCAAGAGTCTTGACCTTCTGCAGAGTGCAAACAGTCCTCGGCTGAGACTCCACACCACCATTTGCGCTGCTGCTGCTGCTGCTGCTGCTGCTGGTATCGTCCTTGGTTGGCTTCATGCTTTCAGCCTTGGCATCTTCAATACTCGTAGTATCCTTATCCTTCCCCTTTGAAGCAGGCACATGCACGGGAGGGTTTATCCTGGGTTTTTTTCTGAGATTGCCGCGTACATCACTTTGCAAGAACCGTATGACATCCGAGCACAGTTTAGCGACATCGGCAGATGGAAGTGGGCATCTTCTAGCGATCTCTTTGGGATCACCCGTAATCAAATCGTTGATGGTGATATTATTCTTTCCAAGTGAGTAAAAGAGGTGCGAGTAAGGTTTCGTGTCAAAGTCAGGGAGGACTTCGAGAATGTCGGACATTGGTGCTGAAGATGATGTGGAGGTGAAGTTGACTCGACGCAGCCATGGTGAGGCTCCAAGGCCAAGGGCTGGTGTTGTTTGCTCCTCGGTGGGATAACTGCATATTGTGAGCAGGGGTGCGGCAGAAAAGTGAAGGAGAGTGAACCAAGATCAAGCATTCACCTCCTCCTTGCGACATTCGCGAGGTTCCAAATCTCCAACCATTCTGTGTAGTGGTATGACCTCCGATTGCCTTGTGTTGCATGATATCAAGGCTAAAGCGATGTAGTCGGTATCCGTACATGAATTGATTAAGCCGTGATACACGTCCTAAGTTAGCCCTAACTCTTAGCCGAGACAATGACGCGCGACCCATGAACTTAGTCAGCCAGAAACGACGCGTTGTGCCCCCTCCTTTTGTAGGTGACTCTCCCTCGTATGTACGCAGTACTCGTGTACTCGTACCACGAGTGTAATCTGCGGACCCGGGCGATTCGCACCAGGCACACACAAGATGGCGTGTGCACTCGGACGATCTACCACATCGGTATGATGCATCCAGGACATGATAGGCGCCCATTCAACGATCACTGGCGCCGAACATTCCATGATAGGAAGGTCAGATTCAAACCCCACGAGTTACTGTACGAACTTACTACCTTTCGCCGTGCTGAACCCCCTTCCTGAAATCCACCCAGCGGCCAATTTCAGGCTCGTTCCAACTGCTACATAACTTCCCAATGGCTTCCACCCCTCGAGGTCTAACTTCGTCCTGACCCGGTAAGTAACTCGTATGCTCAGTCCCAGCTCCAGTCAAGAAGATGAAATAAAAAGAGAGTGTCCCTTGCTTAATCAGCACTCGAGTCCTATTGTACCTATCTAGTTCGAGGAAAAGGCACACGAAGAAGAAGGCCAGCGCTTGGTTGATCCAACTTCCCATAATAATGTCTACCTCTCTTGATCCGGCTCCACAAGTAGCCGCCTACGGCACCTGGGAAAGCCCTATCCAGCCAGACCACTTCGCCGCCCCAGGGTCTGTGGGCCTGGATGAGGTCTACGTGAACCGCAACAACGGCAACGTCTACATCAACGAACTTCGCGCTGATGAAGATGGCCGAGGCGTGATCGTCGAGTTCATACACGACGGGAAGTCTAAAGACGTCCTTCCCAAGCAGTTCAATGCCATCTCGCAGGTCCATGAGTACGGCGGTGCCTCTTTCGCTGTAAACCAGGCCACCAGTCTTCTCGTCTTCACGGACTGGGTCACTAAGAGTGTCTTCAACCTGGATCCCGATAGCCAACATGTTGAGGCAATTGTCGAAGCAGACTTGAGGACATACTATGCGGACTTCGATGTGCACCCTGTGGATCACAAATATGTCGTCGCGATCATGGAGAACCACCACCCCGCAACCATATCCGACGTAGAGAATTCGCTCGTTGTCATTGACTCGGCCACGAAAGAAGTCCGAACGCTGGCGCAAGGCTCCGACTTCTATACCTTTCCACGCTTCAGCCCCGATGGCAAGAAGCTGGCCTGGGTCCAATGGAATCATCCAAACATGCCGTGGGACAACACTGAACTGTGGGTGGCGGATTTCGAGCAAGAGAGTCTCCAAAATCGCTAATGCATCGCCGGACGGATTGTCAAAGCGAGTGTCACCCAGCCCAGATGGGGTCCCGACAATCTTCTTTACTTTGCCTCGAACCAAACTGACTACTGGTAACTGTACTCCTATCACACCAATACAGTCAGAGCCATCAAGCTAGATGGACTGGCCGAGTCTGAGTTCGGCTTCCCCGAATGGTTTCTGGGGGGTTCGTCGTACGCTCTCTTGGAGGCTACAAAGCTGGTTGCCTGTTATAATCGAAACGGCCGTTGGACTATAATTGAGGTGGACACAGACACGTTCAAATGGCGGGATTTGGGCCTCCCCATTGTTCAAATTCCAATCAATGCCTTAAAAGCTGTCGGTGACACAAGCTTTGTGGTGATTGGCTCAACATCTTCTCTACCTAATGTAGCTACGGTAGTGAATGTCAGCCACCCTGGGCTGGGTAGGGTCTTGCGCAGATCAAGCACTATTTCTCTGCCTGCGGACTATATCTCATCCCCACAAAACGTCGTCTTCCCCAGGGTTCATGGTCCTGGAGGGGGTAATGCTTCAGGACTGTTCCTACCCCCACGCAATGCACGTTACATTGGTCCGGATGGCACTCTCCCTCCTCTCATCGTCGCTATGCACGGTGGAGCGACCTATCAAAATGGCTTGGGATTCTACCTCCGTGACCATGCTCTTACAACTCGAGGATATGCCCTTCTGCAGGTCAACTATGTCGGTGGCTCGGGCTATGGCCGATCTTATCGTGGCCTGGTAGCCACACAATGGGGCGTGAGCGACATTGCTGATGCAGTCTCCGGGATCGAGTATCTCGCTAAGCAAGGTCTGATTGACATCTCCCGGGTTGGTTTAACGGGGCATTCGGCCGGGGGGGTACGCCACGATGCAGGGGTTGGCGAAATATCCCTCGCTGTGGGCCTGTGGCGTGGCCGAAAGCAGTGTCTCGGATATGGCTCTGTTGGCAAAAGAGACGCACAAATTCGAGTGTCAATACCTGGCACCTTTGTGCTTCCCTCCTGGCTTGTCCGAAAAGGAACAGGATGCAATTCTAAAAGAGCGCAGTCCTCTATCTCACGCTGCAAAAATCACCAGCCCGATCCTTATCATTAGCGGAGCAGATGATACCGTTGTGCCCCCAAACCAAGCATACCTTCTTGCCAAGTTGATCAAAAATGCCGGGACTGAGGTGAGTCTCAAAATCTATGACGGCGAAGGCCACGTTTTTGCCAGGGGAAGCACATTGAGCAATATCGAGACCTGGAGATATGCGTGGTTCAGGAAGTATTTGGCCAAGGAGAGCTGAGCTGGTTGACACCATGGAGCCGTGTGCTTAGCTGGGGCTTTTGTGGGGCTGCCCTGTTACCGGCGGATAGCTTTCAAGTATTTGCGTGTCCCTCGATCGTTGTTTGCTCCTCGGGAATTTTGAGCCACTGCCTAGTTTTGGGATCCCATCGGTGACTATCGCGGATCAGCATACTGTAACGGAACAGTAAATCAATATGCAAGTAGCTTACTCGTGAAATTCAGTCCTGACCAATGCTTGATCCGAGTACTCCTCAATGAGAATGGGGACATATGAGTATGGAACCTTGGCTTTGACGCCTTCGAAATGGGTTTCGCGCAGGGGAAACATGTCCCTGAGTCTGTACTTGTGGTCGTTCTTGCACATGATGATTCCAGGTTGAGTGTCCGGGTAGACTTCTGACAAGCCCGTGATATCAATGAAGAGTCCATTGTCAACGCTGATGAATCTAGCATCGATGATCTGCACAAGCGAAAGATCGAATCAACACGCCGCCCTGGATCCGGTTGATTTGTGAGGTTGCTTACATTTGCCCCATCGCCACGATCCCTTTGCCATGCCCAAGAATTGACATCCAGAAAATATCGTCGTGTCGGAGTACCATTGCCCTGATCATAGTCATAGAAGGTCTGGTTGTAGTGCTTCCCAAGTGCTTTTAAACCTTCATCAGTGACCTGATGGTGTGAGTAGTTAGTGGATATGTTCAACCAAGAGCGGAGAGGGCAGGAAGCGACATGCCTGAGTGTCGAGGTCCCAGTCCCAGGGAAGGATCTGACCATTCCAGTACCAGGCCAACAGCGTGCCATGGGCGATCCAAGTCTCAAGGCCCAGATACTCAAAGGTCAAGAGATAGGCACGAATGAGGTGCTTGAGGGTGTCTTGCCTTTCTTCATCGGTGACGATTTTCTGAAAGTAGCGAATGTCATAGTGATGCAACAGGTCGTCTCCGCCTGGTTCGTGGAAGTATTTGTTCGCATCGGGATCTGGAGGTTGCTGAGTCTGGCTGGCTTCGGCTGCTTGAACTGTTGCGGCGGTGTTTGAGAGGGCCAGAGACAGGGAAGCGGAGGGGTGGGAGGCGGAGGTAGAGATTGGGTCGCAATGGACCAGGGCCAGGAAATAAATGGAGAAGAGAGTGAAAGGTGACCAAGTGCGCCACTTATTGAACATGGTTATAGCAGAGGACCAGATGAAGAGCGCAGTCCATGATGGGGTGGGCGAGTGGGTGTGTAAGTGTGAACAGTGAACAGTGACAGTACGAGTAGGTGCTGTGGCAATTGCAGGTAGTAATAATCGTAGAAGCATCAGGCAAGAACAACGATAGACCGACTATTCAAAGGGCAGCTCCTGCCTCATCCATGTCGACAAGAACGAGACGATCCGGAGAAAGAGCGATAGGCCAAAAGCCCAGCCTCGTCCGGAATGTGATGCTACTAGTCAGTCCCCAAGGAGTCTTGGGACCGACACGGATACGGGGTGTAAGGGTGCCAACTTCAAAAGAATTCTGGTGAGATGGCTCGTGAGTCGTGAGTTTGTGACGTGGAGGGTCCCAATTGCCTAAAGTGGCAACGAGGCACATGGGCACAGGCTGGAACGAATCAAACACGGACTCATCATAGCACAAAGATCTACTTCCGAGCTGCGTGGAGCGGGCGGACCGGCGGTGACTACTGTGCCTCAGTTGCTGGTCGTTCCTTGCTCGTAGTAGTATCAGTGATATCAACATCCGTGAGAGCCGAAGGAATGGTGGCCCAGCTTTGTAACACCCTGGTGCAGGCGACAAATAAAAAAGAGGATCCTGAGCGACTCTGGCGCAAGGGCCGCGTCAGCCCAGATATTGGCGGTCCAAGGAGTCCCCTGCCCTCTATACATACGAGGTATTCACCCTTATAGCCCTGGAGTGGAATATTACGAGTAACAGTCGTCAAGGGTCCCGTCTCCATGCGGTGCCTATTGGCATGGCGAGAAGTGTGTGGATTGGTCTAGCTAGACAGATGAGAGGTTATCTGACACAACACCAGTACTCGGGCGCTGGAGGTGTAATCGTTCTTATTATAATTGATGACTGTTGGCATGCATTTGTAGGGGTGATGATGGAGAATGGGTCCTTTGTAGAAGAAACCCGCTTTGGGAAGGTGAGCAGGCGACACTCCGGAGAAGTCACTCGCAGTTGGTGAAGAGAAAGGACCTCACGCGTACAGAGTACAGAGTACAGTTGGACAGGCACCCAACAGGTTCAGACAAGGGAGTGAAGATAAAACTGGGACACCTGAGTCTTAGCGACGCGTGACTCCGTGAGGTACCAATCTACGCGTAGCTTGATATCTTAAAGACCAAGTGCTAGTTCCAATACGAAATAGCCGCTGACAGCCTGCCATTGTGAGGTCATTATTCTGCCGGGCTCAGCACTAATAAACTACACGATATTTTATGCCCATAAAGTACGACTCTCGATGGCGAGTGAGCGTAATCTGTTGCTAGAGATAAGTTCTTAAGAAGAGAAATGTATGACCTGGGTACCTACCTCAAGTGTGTCTCTGGTAAAGTCTGTCATGGAGCTTTGAGAGAACAGAGGTGCTCCCTGGTGTAAACCAACGACGGATGGCAGATGTATTTGTGAACGATGTGCATTTATCCGGCCGGACGGCGTTTCCGGCTGATGGGCTGCTCAAATTAATGTACATTCCTAGTCCTTTGTAGGGAGTAGGGAGTACGGACGTTGTACATGGGCTACAGTTGTTCTCGATCGTTCAAGTCAATGACACAATTTAAAAGCTACCCAAGCCAGGTAGTCATCTGCGAGAATACTTGGACTTTCACTCCCTTATAAATAACTACCTACATTTCTACCACTAGGTCCCTTACGAGGTCTATATTCTGGCGTGCTCTTGACTACTTGCGACTTAGGTTCTCCGTTTGCAGAGGGCGAAGTATGTCGTTCAATGTTGGAATTGTCCAAGTAGAGAGTTGTTTTGTCCTTCCTAAAACGTCACCGCTGCCTCCGATAATAGCAGTTTAGGACTCGAGTTTTTTTATAGGTCCTGTCCACCGAGTACTCCGTGCTGTCCTTAGGTAGTCTCCACCGCCATGCTGCGATTCACCGTTGCATTGGCGGGCCGGACCGCTTAGGTAAGCTACGCCGTTTCTCCTCGCCTCGTCGCGGCGGGAACTAATTACGTCAGTGAGGGAGCCTACCTAATAATGGGCTGATTAATCGCAGTGTTTAGAACAACAAAGAAACTCACAATATCATCATTGTTCGTTTCATGATATCACATCAATGGTCTTTATACATTTGTCCAACCACCAAGTGCTCAAATATCAAACTAGACACCCTGGCTGATATCGACTCGGCCACAACAATCTCGGCTGTAGCTACACCCACCACTTCATCCATCCACGTCCCCTCTCGGATTGCCATCAATGAAGATCCAGTATCGCGATGCAACCCTCGATCTCGAGGATATTGCCGATGAGACAATTATCGATTTGGCTACGAGATGTTCCGAACACATCGGCGTGGATCTCGAGCGAGTCTCATTATTCTTCCTCCCAAGGCCAGGCATGGTCAAGTATCCCTTCTCCGATCGCAAATTGAGTGAATTCCTCACTCCATCTACACGGGTCAAATTGATTGGAGCACCTAACAGTGAGGTGAAGAAGATGGGTGATATTAGCACGGCGAGCCAACGACGGGATCGACCCAGCAGTGTCAAGACGGTCGCAGCGAACAAATCTCGAGACTGGAAGAAGGTGCGGGAGGAAAGCATGTATACATTTCACGCCATCGAACCCCTCAGTTACCTCCCGAACCCAGAAAAGAGTCGACGGTTTCTAGAAAGACTGGCCAACGATCCAGGAATCAAAGCATCGATGCGCAAACACAAATTCAGTGTTGGGCTGCTGACAGAGATGAATCCTGCGGAACACACCACTCACGAATCGAAAACGCTCGGGCTGAACAGGAATGCTGGCGAAGTCATTGAGCTGCGATTACGAACAGATCGATATGACGGGTATAGGGACTACAAAGTCATCCGCAAGACGCTTTGCCACGAATTGTCGCACAACGTGTGGGGAGATCATGATCGCAACTTTTGGAATCTCACCAAGGAAATTGAACAGGAAGTGGAACGCAACGATACGTTGCATGGTGGACATCGACTGTCAAATGAAGAATTTTACGAGCCAAGTGACACGTATGACGATGCCGAACACACGGATGAGGGTGGCTGGAAAGGAGGGGACTTTGTGCTGGGTCGATCCAAGGATAGTCCAAGTGACGCGGGTCTGAGCCGACGTGAAATAATAGCACGAGCAGCGATGATCAGACAGCAAAAAGAACGAGAGGCGAGAGAGCATCAGGAGCCGCCAGCGTCATGACTCACGATAAGAATTGAAGCTCATGATATCGATATGCGGCATTTATCTGTTAGACTGTACAGTATAGAGCAGGTCGGCTGACTTTTGGATAGCGAGGTGTTTGTGGTTATCTGCCTAGACATTGCTCGTGTTCGGCAAAGGGGGGTTTATGCTTGGTCCGTCTTATGAAGACACTATGAGCCTACTACTGAAAGGACGGAATAGGTTGCCTTGACTCGATGTGTGCGAATGTTGGGAAGGACACCATGGACAGGGAATCAAGCAACAATAATTATCGAGGCTTTGTGATGAATGAAGCTTTGAAACGCAACCCCGTGGCATTGGAGCCATTTTAATTGGCGACTTCGGTGACCGAGGATTGGGGACAAACTAAACCTGGCCTGAGTTAGTAGCAATAACATTCCCCAGCACGGTCTTTGGTACGGAGTACTTTAGTACGTTGGAAACGTGGGACAACTTGAAGCCCAGGGTTGCCAGGGCCGGGGAAGAAGTCTCCCGGAGTTCTAGCGGACGCCAAACAGCCCAAAGTCAGATCTACGGGGGTGCTTCACTTGGCACGGACTCGGGCTGGCAGGGGCAGCGCCTTTGTGACTTCGGTAGGTTTCCCTCAGCCGCTAGGGCTTTTCATGTTGAGTGATTGTACTCGTAGCTGCCCTACTCGTAGATGCCCACTACCCGCTAGAGCATTGTCTATCTCACCCCCAATTGCCGACTTAGCGGTTATACTCGTAGACCGAATGGCCTCGACGGGCTAAGCTACCCAAGGGTGTCTGCCCCCCCTTGCGAGCATGTCCCTCGGACAGGATCTGGATTTGTGTATTGTGAGCTTCTGATACAGGTTGGAAGTTGGGACACGTGCGGCTGAGAGAGTATAGTAGTAGGTGAAGAGCCCCCAGCAGTCAAGACTTAAGGAGCACTACAGTCGAAAGATCGAATGGTGGAACTGTTGGAGACTCAGAAGAACGACATGGCCCGCCTGAATCCTGAATCCTTTTAGAATTACTCGTACAAAATGTCAGCTGTTCCAGTTGTTGGTCTTATAAGAATGTCTGCTTAGGTGCAGATAATTCACTTGATTCATAAACTCACGCCAAAAGGAGAGGCCTCTACTACCTACCATCCACCCTCCATATTATATCCCTACGAATAATCTTTTGGCCGCTCCTTTTGTCGCTACCTTTGCCGCTCGATTATTGCGGAGTGGACGTGGAAAGGCCGGCGTGTAAACTTCTGCACGGTTATCTCATATCTCCCACATCTTCATCCACTTCCACTTCCACTTCCACCTCTTTCTTCCACTCGCGTCGAGTAAGACTCCTCCTCTACCCTCGCCCTCGCCCTCGCCCTCACCCAAACCCAAACCCAAAATCAAACCCAAATCTCTCGCCACTGCCGTCTACCCTCGTCTCGGACCACCACTGCACAAAGTACCAGGGCGTGTCCGCGGTCGCAGTCACGAATTGCGGTTACATAGCGAGTACGGAGTACCTCGTCCAACACGGGCTCTGACCTCCGTCGCGCATCTGATCTGTGTCCCAGACTCCCAGTCCCTGGCCCGTATCCCGTGCACCCCCAACCAGTGCAACCACTGGTAGCTCAAGGCCATACCTCATACGTCACCGGGCAGCACCATTTCAACGTTGAATCCGACGTCCCCTGCGGTGTACACTGGCAGTCCCTCCACCCCAGCTGCTCGTGTACCAGTGCCCGCTGCCACTGTTGCAACTTGCGCTACCCAAAAAAAACAATCCTCCCTCAAGTTGGAAAAAGGTCCGTTCTTGTTCAACTTCAACTATTTGCCAGGCAGAGGCAGTTGTCAAGGCTCATCACTGCCCATTCCTGCAGATCCACTTCCTCTCCCTCTCTCCTTACGCCCTGCAATCTATTTTCCCGTTTCCTTGGTTTCCCTCTATTCTTACCGCACCCACTTTGACTCATAACATAATTCGCAATCCTTACTGAATGCCTCTTTTAGAAGGCTCGAGGCAGCCCTCACCGTCCGAGAGCCCTGCTTCGGGCTCAAGCTTAGGTTCGGGCTCAGGTCCTGCGATCCCACGTTCATTCGTTACTCGACATCTCAGTGAACAATACTCCGACCTCGCAAGAATAGCCATCATGACCAGTGCCACTTCAACTCCCTCTCATGAAGCCGAACACTCCCTCAACCATGTCGCATATCATTCCAGTCTCATGCCGCCTCCCAAAACCGCTTTTGGCAGAACTCCGCCTACTTATTCCCCGACCAAGCCCGCTCCCCATTCTGCAAATACCATGGGACGGGCATTGACCGATACTCCTGCCCCTAGTGCCCCTACAAGCCCTCAACTGTGAGTCCAACTATCACCTGCATCTGTACGATGTGCGCAACCTAACATTGATTTCTCCAGGTTTGCCCGTGGAAGCACCAATGTTTCGGGCTCGGCCACTCCCAAACTCCGTGCCACCACACTCGACATACCTGGTCTCACTCGTTCCAAAGTGTCCCCTGACGGTCGCATATCTGAGAGAGATGTGGGTGCCAAGTTGATCATCATAATGGTAGGGCTGCCTGCACGAGGCAAGAGTTATATTGTCAAGAAGATAGCGAGATATCTGAATTGGCTGCAACATCCAACCCGAATCTTTAATGTGGGAGATCGAAGAAGAGTTGCTGCTGGCAAGGGCCAAGCCATCCCCGACAGGACACACGCCGAACTCCGCGAATCTGTTCGATGCATGAGCAGTACGACCAAGGGCCCCCATGGACTCATCGACCATACCGAACTCCTCCCTCCGCCCGCCATCCGAACCGAGCTATTTCTGAATGGCGAGGTCACCTCAGCCTCGCCCATCAGTCCCTTGCAAATGAATGGCAATGCGCACTCTGCCTTCGAAGACAATCCTGAACCAATTCTTGCCCCTGCTCCAGAACCGATGGACCAATCAGCCCAGTTTTTTGACCCTCAAAATACAAAAGCCAAGTTGCTCCGAGAACAAGTCGCTCATGAGGCCCTGGACGAGCTGATGAAGTATGTCCTGGAGGACGGCGGCTCGGTCGGCATCCTGGACGCCACCAATCACACACAGGAGCGTCGTATGTCGTTGATCAAGCACATCAGAGAACGCGACCCAAATATTAACGTTCTGTTTCTCGAGTCTCGCTGTCAAGATCCCAATCTTCTCGAGGCAAACATCCGTTTGAAGCTTTCAGGTCCAGATTACAAAGGGAAAGACCCTCACCAATCGCTGAAGGATTTCAAAGAACGGGTGGAGCAGTATGAAAAGTCGTACCAGAAACTCGACGATTTCGAGGAGCAGCACGACATGCCCTACTGCTCAATGATCGATGTTGGCCGGAAAATGGTCAGTTATCAAGTCAAAGGATTCTTGTCCATTCAGACCGTCACCTACTTGATGAACTTCAATTTGTCCCCGAGAATGATTTGGATCACTCGCCACGGTGAGTCCATGGACAATGTCAACGGAAAGATTGGAGGCGACAGTTCTTTGAGCGGAAACGGCCGCAGATATGGCCAGGCTCTTTCCAAATTCATAGGCGAACAGTGGCGGTCGTGGGAACGACGACACGCTGAAAAGCAAGCCAACGCCCATTTCCCCCCACTCCCAGGAGATACGACGCCCCCAAACCCCGAATACACCGCGCAGACTGAGCAAGAAAAGAATTTCTGTGTGTGGACGAGCATGTTGAAACGAAGCATCGAGACCAGCCAATTTTTCAACGATGAGGATTACGACTTGAAGCAGATGCGCATGCTCGACGAATTGCACGCCGGTTCGATGGAAGGCATGACTTACACCGAGATCCGCGACAAATTCGAACACGAATACGAACTTCGAAAGCGCGACAAACTCCACTATCGCTACCCCGGTCCTGGTGGCGAGGGATATCTCGACATCATCAATCGGCTCGGCAAAGTCATACTCGAAATCGAACGCATGACTGATCACGCTCTGATCATTGGCCATCGAAGCATTGCTCGCGTCCTACTCGCATATTTCATGGGCCTGAAGCAAGAGGACATTAGTGACCTTGATGTGCCGCTAGGCGTTGCTTATATGCTAGAACCAGTAAGTGCCGACTAGAACAATCACCCCGGACCCTCTACTGACCTCTGCTTCTAGCGACCATATGGTGTCGAATTTAAGGCTTATCGCTGGGATCCAAACACGGATGAATTTCGATATGAACCGAACTATCGAATGAGGCGAGCTATTGACCCACAAGCATGATGTTTTTCTATGATACCCCTTATTGCCTTGTGTTTTGTTACTGTTTGCGTGACTGGCTCCTGCGTCTGGCGCTGTATATATATCCATCTCCCATAACCATGTAGTGTTGCTCTTTTTTGTGTTACTTTCTGCAAGCCGTTTCCTGCTCACGTCAAATGCGATTGGACTAATATCTTGGGGAATCTGGCAGGCAAGACAGTTGCTGGGAGCAACGACCAGGCTTAGTCTCTCGAGTTGACTCATGGGTGGATTGGTGATGTATCTGTCATCTATTCTTTGCTCTTGGTGTGCGTATTCCTTTAGCGCTGGCGTCGGGGGAATGAAAATATCGGTGTAACGGAGGTATGAGTGGTGGATCTCAACAGAGACCACCATGTTGGTGGTCACTATCGGCATAGATGAGACTGCACTCTGCACATGTTCATGGTGCTATCCATTGTTCTCAACCCTAGGTGGCAATAAGGCTGTGGCGAGTAATAATGCCGCTTTACCTGCCGCTCGGCGATATAAAGACGTCTTTCAGTTCAACGATGCAATTGCTGGGTCTTAGAGCTACAACTACCACTCCACTTAAGGTACTAATGTGGTTACAGTGTTGACTCGTATCTCTCATTGATGCACTAGGTTAGCAGTTAACAACTGAGTAGCAGTAGTGGGCTCTAGGCTCAACTGGCGCCCTATTCCGAGTACTCTCCTGGCTTGGCAGAGCAGAACGCAGAACTATGTGAGGGAGGAACCAACCTGATTGAATTTGTCTGTTTCCACCACTTGCTTTCTTCTCTTAGTACTTTGCTTGGTCGCTACTCTCTCCCACATATTATTCTGCTCTTTGACCGAAAGCAAATGATTTGCGTTTCTGCTCCCATGATTGTGACTGAGGCTCCGACTCTTTTCTTTGCAATTGCTTCGAGGGCGGCTAGCTACATGCGACAATAACATTTATTGAATTCAGTGGCCGACTTTCTCCGCGAAGTAGAAAATATAACCACGCACTTGATAAAGCATTCCAGAATCCTTATCAGTCACAGATTCGTGGCTAGTTTTGACCGAGCAGGGAGGATTTTGATTTGGGCGGGCATTTACTCGCTTCTCCTAGGATTTCCACAAACCCCGATAAACAGCTTCACCCGACCAGTACTTGTTGCCCAAACTCGAATAAGTCCAGCAAGTGGAAGGTCTCTTAGGTGGCCCATCATCAATATGCCGGCACTGGTGGTCACGAATTTCAACATTGTGTGTGCTGTGATAGGTGGCTTCATTTCATTGTTCGGACTTGTTAGCTATCTATTCAAGGAGAGATTCTACCTTTCGGAAGCTCGTAAGTCCCCCCACACTCGTATACAGCTCAATGTTAACTTGAAATATAGTCATTTCCATGGTGGCAGGGCTCATTTTCTCTCCCCACGCCACAAACTTAATCCGACCTTTAGAGTACGCAGGCGGCATTCAAGAAAACCTCGATTACATTACCTTGTACTTCTCTCGGCTCGTGCTCGGGGTGCAACTCGTCATCGCTGGTGTACAACTACCTAGTAGGTACCTATATACTGAATGGAAATCATTGGCTCTACTCCTTGGTCCCGGAATGGTCATCATGTGGCTCTCAGGGAGCCTCTTGATATGGGCTATGGTGCCCAATCTCCCTTTCTTGCATGCTCTGGCTGTCGGAGCTTGTGTCACTCCTACCGACCCCGTTCTATCCAACTCCATCGTAAAAGGTAAATTCGCAGATGCCAACGTTCCTAAACCGCTTCAGAAGATCATCGTGGCAGAGTCAGGTGCAAATGATGGATTGGGCTATCCGTTCTTATTCCTGGCGTTGTATCTGATCAAATACACCCAGATGGGAGGGGATGGTCAGGAGGCAGGCGTTGCCACCGCAATGGGTTTGTGGTTTGGCGAGACGTGGGGCTACACTATCCTGCTAAGTATCGTCTACGGGATCGCGGTTGGTTGGCTAGCCAAAGAATCTCTACACTATGCAGAGGAGAAAAGGTTTGTGGATCGGGAATCGTTCCTTGTTTTCGCCATTTCGCTCGCCCTCTTAATCACGGGTACCGCAGGGATGATTGGCAGTGACGATTTCCTGGCCTGTTTTGTGGCTGGAAATGTCTTCACATGGGATGACTGGTTAGTTGAGATGATCGGCCATCGCGTCTCAACCGCTCACAGAATGGCAGGTTCCGACTGGAGACTGCAGATGATTCACTCCAACCGACAATCGATATGCTATTGAACATTTCGGTCTTTTCATGGTATGGCGCGATCTGTCCGTGGGCCTCGTTCCAATTCAACGACATTATACCACTGTATCGCCTAATCTTCCTGGGAATTCTGGTTCTGCTCTTTCGGCGAATGCCCATGGTGTTCGCCTTCCACAAAAAGATACCAGAGATCGAGCAGTTCCACCAAGCTGCTTTTGTGGGCTATTTTGGCCCTATCGGCGTCTCCGCTGTATTCTATCTCTACGTCAGCGTTAATTTTCTGCGCCGGATTCAAGTGGACGGGCACATGCGAGAAGATGTGGCACGGTTGGAAGAGGTGATGAGAGTGGTGATCTGGTTTCTAGCAATGTGCAGCATCGTTGCCCATGGATTGTCCATTCCGCTTGGTAAAATGGGTTATAATACCGGAAGGACAATGTCACAAGCTCTAAGCAGTGAAAGAGAGGATGAACCAGGCCCGGCAGGTTTGAGGCAAGAGAATGGCGGCCGTGGCTACCAATTACGGCGCAGGAGGCTTCGCGGACAGCAGAATCTGGAACAAGGTCCGAGTGCAGAAGTGTTTCGTCTCGGACGGACAACGACAACCGGTGCCGGAACTCAGCAAGCTGGGCTCGAAGCATCAACCGAACAGGAACCGAGCCGGCCAGTTCGCTTCATCGATAGCGAACCGCCCACGGCTAGCCCAACCCCTGTTGAAGAGGGTCCCGCTGGTGGACGTGATGAGCAAGGACGATGGTGAAGACAAACAGACTGACACGTCGTCGTGGTAGATAGGGCTCAGCTCGTTGCGCAAGTCAGGCTTGTGAACTCTATAGCTTGGTGCGGCATGCGCGTGGGTGTGCACTGGGCGTGGACACTCGCAAGAGCGATGGGTGCAAGGTCAGCTGGACCAAGAGTTCCTCCTTCAAACTTTTAACTGCACTTGTCGAGATCAAGACTCATACCATCAATATGTGAAAATTGGGCTTCTTTGCTGTATGAGGCCACTGGAAGAAATGAGGTAAGGAATGAAAAGGAATGGGAGCCTCGACCCCAATGCATCATCGCATGGCTAGGTATTACTTGATTTATCTCAGCGAGGAGAGGTTTGAAATTTAAGCGACTAGTCTTTTCAGAATTCTGGAGTTTTGTACTCATCAGCGTGAACTTTGGGTAAGTATCAAACTCGTTCTGTGATGTCTGCGAATTGTTTTTTGTCACTGGTGTACCTGGTGAAATTCCACGGCTCGTATCTCCGCAGTATCACACTATTCTCCCTGTGGCAAATCTACGAAGGGTTTAAAGATTTTATATCCAGCCTCGACAGCATCGAGAAGCGACTTGTTGGACGCTCCTAGACCGCCTCGAAAGAACAGAACTCGGCGGCCTTTCCCTTTCGCATTACCGTCCCCAGAACCAAGACTCGGTTCCCAAGTACAACGTCTGGGTGCACAGCTCACTACACTTCTGGTACCATTCGGCTTCTGCCTTAGGGAACGCTTCGAGCTCGACGATCCAAGTGGCCTTGCAATCCACTAGCTCAACATTGCCCCTATTGAATGTCTCGTAGTATTCACTATCGCCCAGAGTTCGGCAAGCATATGGCTCCCAAGGCATGAGCTTGCGGGCCGTCTCTTGGTTCTTCACGATCGACTTGATCTTGTTGACGATGAACACGCGCGAGGTTCCATTTGCATGACTATTGGTTGCGAAGGTCGAAGAAGATCCCCAAATTGAAACGGAAGCCGTTTCCAGTCTTCCAGCATCTCTCGCAGGGCCAGTTGCGCTCTTCCTCTAACACGCTCGGTGCCGACACCTTGCCTTCCACAAATCCCATTCCTGGAAAAGCCGGTTTTGATATCTTTCCAGATCGTGTCGTAGTGTGTATTGGTGTTCACGCGGTATCAGTCGGAGATTGGACCGTCATTGGCTGGTACAGTATACTGGCGGCGCCGCTGAAAGCAAGTGAGTGTTTCCATGTCTTTTGCGATGGAGCTGATGATTTGGGTTCCGGTGAGGCCGCACCCGATCACCCGACTGGCTTGTTCTTGAGATAATACGTTTCACGGAATCGTGATGTATGGTAGAGCTCTCCCTGGTAAGACCTGTAGGGCCTCTATCCAATGAGCTAGGCAATCTAAGCAGGCATAGCAGCACTGGAATTCTTCAGGTCAATACTGGTAACACTCTCTCGATCGATAGGCTGCATTTAATCGATATGTAGGACCTATGCATGTAGGTAGGTATTTAGCGCATGCTGTGACCGGCTGGCCTGCAATGCTTTACTGCGTCCCAAGTCATGAGCTGATAAGGTTTTTGGGCTCTCTTTTGCAGCAAACAAGACGACTCAATAACTCGGTCTTCACATCATGGAGGCTGGAAACCCCAGAAACTGTTTTGGGCCCATGGAAAGGTTTTGAATGCCGACTGTTGAGTCTGAAGTCGAGCCTGGGGTGGTAGGCTGGCCACGCTCACCGAAGGTCGTGACGGCTTGGGAAGGATTGCTGGGGTGAATGACTTTTTGTTGAGACTGGGTTGGAAGGTGAACGGCCGAGCCTAGATATCTTGCATAAAAGGCCTGGATAGTGTAGAGTCAGGTGAAGTAGAAAACCTTAAATCGACGACGGCTAGTTGAAACAGATGCACAAAAGGCAGCTGCCACGCATCCTCATCTTAGAAACTCAAGCCCATCTCGATGCGCTGGCTGAGGGCCTGGACTGCGTCCTTTTCATTGCCCCTCTCTTCAGCGTCGACTTGAGATTGGGAAACAAGCTGCAGCAGCATCTCGCCAAGCTCACACTGAGTCTTCCACGTTTTGGTCTGTGCAATGACCTGCTCCGCGAGTGGCCGGCCTGTTTCTGGCCCGTTCCTAGAGCCCTGCCCTTCGCTCTCGTTGTCAGCCGTGGTGGCATTATCGATTAACCTTTGTAGGGCAAGGCCATCACGCACAAGCACAAGGTCGGAAACCGAAAGGCTTAGACTGGGACAAAAGTCGTTGCCGCCATCGCCGATATAAACTGTCTGCAACTGCTGAGCTGACTCCAAGCCCAGCGCCTTTCTTGCCCTCTGTACAATGGTGGTCTTACACATGTTCGCGGGACAGCTCCGAGGACATTGGTGAGGCGAGGAAAGCGGCTGGTATGGCTCCACTTGGATGGCGTCGGCCGTGGTCCAGGTCGCATCGTTCGTGTAGACCAAAGCAAACGTCCCTTCCGGGACAGCATTGGCCTTCAAGATCTCATTGATAAATATGGTATTCGAGTCAGAGGCGATTATGAGCTTAACCGCGGGGATTTGACTGGCGTTCAGCTTCTGAAGCGCAGAGATGAGAATAGGATCCATTTTGACGTCGTGAAGGCATTTGAGCACATCCGTTTTGCAATAGCCTCTTGCGGTGGCTAGTTCAGCGAGTTGGCTCTGCATGATTTGCGTCCATCCCATAGCGTGTTCCTGGCGCAGAGAAGCGAAGCGTGGTAGGAGCGGCTGACCATAGGAGAGCTCGTTGAATAAGACGAGGTCGGAGTTGACGTTGATGAGTGTATGGTCAAAGTCACAGACTACCAGGAGCATTGCCCGAGGTTGGGCTGTGGCAAGCCCAGCGGGAGTCGACTCGGCAGCCATAGAAGGAATGTCCAGGGGATTGTGTCCGAAACCTCAAATGGAATGGGAAAAGTCGGGCATTGGCAACAGCGAATAGTGTAGAATGAAGCTGAGCAGCAGATTAGCTATGTGAGTTGCCAACTGGTTAGGTACGGAGTATGGAGTATATATGGGAGTAGATATTGCTACCTGGGTACGGTGTACTCCGCGCTCATGGGCGACTTGAAGTAATTGGATGATTATGTAACCACGGGAGTAGAACAGACTCGTACTACTCAGTACGAGGCAAAGTCAACAACTATGGATGTACTGGTCCAGACGCGTGATACCCGCGTCTCAGGCGTGATCCCTACTAGAGCCCAGTACGATATAGTGAATAGCGGGAGTCAATGGCAGCGGAGAAGCTCAGTACTCACTACTTAGTACTCACTGCTTAGTGCTCCGAACCGTAGACAATAAGATACACAAAGGTACACAAACAATGACAATACAATCCGGCAATGGGAGTTACAAGCCTGAACTGTTCCCCATGCCCGCCCGCTCCATCATCCCCCTCTATACCCCCCTTATCCTCTCATTCTCCAAAATGATTCCTCCGCGGATACCCACTGGACAATTTGTATCCCAATGTCCGCCCCCCTTTCAATAACAACATCCCTACCTACCTACTTGATCCCCACAACCTGACCATCCACACCCCGACAACGAATCCGACAACACTACGGAGTAATCTAGTTAGGTATTCAGAACGGAGTTCAGCAGTCCAATCCCCCCGCGCACCCTCCGCAATTGGCAAGTTTCCTCCCTTGGTAAATTTGGTGAGGAGAACATTCGCTGCAAGCAACCCTCGCCCACTGCATTTTCCTTCCCCGTCCAATACACCCGCACTGTGGGTGACTGCCACTCCTCTGAGTCGTCCCCTCCCTTGTTGTGTCTATCCGGGGGTTTACGAAGGCCAGGCCACGCCCAGGTCTCACCGTCTCTTTGTGGGTAGACAGCCTTCGCTGTTGCTTTCAACACCTTGCTCACTCTGCTGGAGTTTCCTGAGTAACTTCATGGGCTACTAAGTTAGTAAACAGCCTGAAAGACAACGCGAACCTCATTCCTTCCCAAGACCAACAGTAACCGCCATGCCCTGACCACCATTGACTTGGGAAATTGTATCGAGAAAAAGCTCTGAGCCTCTCTCTTCGCTCAGCCTTCCCTGACCTTCATCCTGCCTCGCCTTCTCCGCTTCGGTCGTCTCCTCTCCTTCCATCTCTCCCCTTACACAAGAGTCATGGCTCAAGCCAATGCGCTCTCGCGCCTGGACGATATCTCCCGTGCAAGCCCTGGACTTTCCAGCAACAACGCAGCCGCTGGGACTAAGAGGAAGAGAGTCGCGGAGCGGAAGTATTATGCCGTCCAGCAGGGAAAGACACCCGGCATTTATGACTCCTGGGAAGAATGCCTGGCTCAGGTGAGAGGACACAAAGGCGCAATATGTATGGCCCGCAGGAAATGCCAACCGCGCAATCGGAACATGTCACACTGACACTCGCATAGTCAAGGCCTTTCTGTCTCTTCACGAAGCTCAGTCTTTCATGGAGGGTAAACTGCTGAAGTCTTCCACAACGTTGGGAGACCAGAAATTCTATGCTGTTCAGAACGGACGCGTCCCTGGCGTGTACACTGACTGGACAGAGGCGCAGGCTCAAATCCGAGGTGTCAGAAAACCTAGGCACAAGAAGTTCAATACTAGGGCCGAAGCAGAGGCTTTTGTTGCTGCAGGCAAGAAGCCAAGTGGATGGGACATCTCACAGCCAGTCACTCCGGAGGAAGAGATCAGACGTTTAATTGTTCGCAATTCTGCTCCAGGTCTACAACTCAATGGCACCTATACACCCACAGACAAGGATGGCAACCCGTACGACATAGGCCGAGGACCTCTTCCACCTGGTGCCGAAGATGGCTTTGACCCCAATCTCAAACTCCATACTGACGGAACCATCATCAATCGAACAGAGGAGGAGAAGCACCGAACCAAAATTGTGCCAAAAGACAGAGATCCACCAGGCATGCTTCGGATCTACACCGACGGCTCAAGTCTTCGGAATGGTCAAGCTGGCGCACGAGCAGGGGTAGGAGTGTATTTCGGACCACAGGACCCAAAGTATGACTCTCCATCCTCCACCTCACTCACCTCCACCTCCACATCTACCTCCGTACCCACATCCTCTTTCAATCGTCATCGTCATCGTGTATATTATATCGACTGGGCGGAGCGGACGCGCGACCTGGAGTCCAACGGCCCGACACCGTTGTCGCCGTCACCCTTACCCTCTAAAAAAAGCAAGCATCGAAATCGCGAGCCAGAAGCGGAAGGTGACAATCAAAAGCTAACCAATTGGCGTTATAGAAACGTTTCCGAGGCTCTGAAAGGCAGCAAGCAGACCAACCAACGGGCCGAACTCACGGCCATCTCAAGAGCCCTGGATATTGCTCCTCGCCATCGAGATGTTACGATTTACACGGACAGCAAGTACGCGATTAGCTCAGTGACAGAGTGGTATCGGAATTGGGAGAAGAATGGATACCTCAATTCGAGTCGCAAGCCGGTGGAGAACAAGGACCTTGTGATTGATATCCGAGGGAAGATTGAGGAGAGGGAAGCACTGAAAAAGCAGACTATTTTTGTTTGGGTCAAGGGTCACGCTAATAATGCGGGCAATATCGAGGCGGATAAACTGGCAGTTCAAGGCTCTCTGCTAGGAAGAGGTGCATCGGAGGAGAGCGGTGATGATGGTAACGCGCTGCATGGGCAGAATGGCATCGGCGCAGAGCAAGATGGGGATGACATGGATGACGAGATGAAGCTGGCCTTCCAGGCCATGGACGACGCGATCGCGGATGATAGTGATGATGATCTCAAATGAGTGAGTGTGTCCGTCTGGTTGTGTAGGTGACGGATGGAAGCAGTTGGCACAAGCCGTGGCTTGAATGGAAGCAAATGCTGAAAGGACGGCCAGTCTGTGGCTTGCCTTTGTTTCGGCAAGGTTCTTCATATTGATATTGAACGAGCCATATGTTCGTGTTAGAATGTGCCGCCAAATGATACCCCCGAATCAAATCCATCAAGGTTTCTCAGCTACAATGTCTGTTTCCCAGCGCCGTTGCATCATGGGTTCCTCCTCACGTCCCGGTACGGTCATGCGAAAAGCCACCATTCTGCGGTTCGCGGGCGTGCCTCGCCCACGTACTTGAGGCTTATGCCACGCAAGTGGTGGATCCTGCCTGGTAAGAGGTAACCAGTGGGATGCTCTCGTGCTAGCATTGGTTGCTATAATAAACACCAGTGATGGTAGTCGACATGGAGAGTACCAGGCATTTTCATGCCGGATACAGCAGGAATCAATATCAAGGCAACCTGTGGTGTGATGCGTGGTATATTTAAAGCAGAGTCCGTGGTAGACGGAGGCAGGGTGTCAGGTCAAGGAATGAGGCAGTTCCCTGTGTTACCCGAAGATCCTGTCAAATGCAGGAACAAGCATAGGACAACAGGGGATGTCCGGCCTCGATCCATAAGCCTGTGTATGTATGCAGCGGGAAACGGCCCATCTCTTCTCTGTCCGATCAACTCAATTCCCCAGCTTCAGCGTCAAGACCAACAAAGTGATATAAGCGGCAATGCTGAGGGCGGTCAAGACAACAACAACATTGCCACTGGTCCTGAAGCGCTTCCTTTCCAAGCCGTTATCGCCCAACTCATTGAAGAACTGTTTGTTGCCCTGCTGTCGGCGATAGGCACTGACGAGGAGGACACCGGCACCGTAGACCGCAAACAGGGCGCCGATGGAGTAGAACTCGGAGGTGAAGATCTTGAGGACGACGAGGGCGAAGGAGAACTGCGAGAGTGAGGTGCGGATGTATGCGCCTTCGAAGGTACGCTGGGCCGCGCGCACTTCCACGAGCTCGTCGTTGGTCAGGTCGACGGACCGGGCACGGTGCATGCGGAGGCGGAATTGATCTTGTGCATGTCGTGGCTGGTTGGGAGCGAGGGAGTCAGTCAGGTACTGAGGATTGGACTCTTCTTTGTGGTTTGTAGAGACGCAGGAGGGTTGGAGAGATCAAAGCCAAGTCAAGGGGTACTCCGTACTAACCGTGAACATGTCGTTGGGTTACTAGTACTAGTACTGGTACTCGTACTCGCCAAGAAGGTTGAAGCTCAGAATCCTTCGTTGTTCATAGGGAGGTTTTGGTAAGGTCCAGGGAGACTCGCTTTGAAAGAAGCGAGGTTGTAGCCGAATCAAAAATGCAAGGAATTGGAGGGGTATTTATTACACATCAATTCGGTAATATGAGGGAGCAACTTACAACGTACTGTAACTTTAAAGACCATTGTGCGGCGCAGACGGATTGTCGTCATGCAGCAAAACTACAATTCCAGTTACGAGGAGTAGTCATCATCGTCCTTCATCTCACCAAGAATGTATGCTTTATGTTGAGGTCGTCTTGTTTGAATTTCCTGGCCCATGAAGGGGATCAACTATATGCGGGTGGGTTCTTGGTCCTTTACTCGTCAACCAACCTCTGTTCCCTGTGGCACGAGATATACTCCATCTGCTTGTCTACGCAACCACCGACATTCCCTTGCACTTTCGTGTCCAGAGTCTACTCATAGATTCATTTAGCCAAAGGAGCAATCAGGACCAGGGCCGTGTAGAGGTTGACCACTCTCAAGGCCGCTCTATGACTAACCTCCGCGAAGCTCAAGTCAGCCTTGTGGGAAGCTCGCATTTCTGTCCGACGGTTGGTAAAGGTGGGTAGGTGCAGTTCGAGCCATTGACACGGCGAGATCTACCGAGCATGGGTTATAACTTACGAGTATAACTTATGGGTGGCTGGCCGTGGCCGAGGTGGGACGTGTGAACGTTGAGAGAAGGCCGGAGCTATGAACCCTAGAAGTCCCTGCATTGGTGGCAGTGGCAGTGGGGGTTCTTCCGGCTATGGTCCCTCCCAATCGCATCACCGGTGATGGGAAATGGTACATTAAATACTGGCACCCAGGGCAGTAACTGGTGGGCAGCGGGCACCTTTCAGTTATTTACTCCACGCTCGTGCCTCACAGAAAGTCGGAGTATTTCCCCACCCTCTTTTTCTCTGACTGCCCTTATCACCCAACTTTTGGTATGCTTTGGAGTTGCTGTACTAGTATCGGGATCCTTATATCAAAATTAGAGCAAGAGATTACGAGGGTTGCAGGCCAACTTGCACGGCAATCCTAGAGCAGTCATGTCCAGACTCATCAGCTATGCCGAAGGTGACCATTGACAGTTCCTCCTCCGATGGCCCCGTTCTCAACTTCTCAACTGACATGCCCACAGTCCAGAAGCACAAATCCACAGACTCCTGCTGGGTGATCCTGTACGGCGTCGTCTGGGATGTCACCCATTTCCTTCCTGAGCACCCCGGTGGTTCCTCCATTATTCTGAAGCTCGCTGGCAAGGACGCTACTGAAGAATATGACCCCATTCACCCTGCTGGCACCCTTGAAGAGAACCTCCCCGAATCTGCGCGCATAGGTCCAATCGACCCCCAGTCCCTTCCCCAGCCTGTCAAAGCTGCCACTGAAGTCGGGCCCGCCCCAGATACGGAAAAAGAGCTGCCCCTCGCCGCCTTACTAAACCTCGACGAGGTAGAAGCTGCTGCCACCAACAAGCTGTCCAAAAAAGGTTGGGCATACTACTACTCCGCTGCCGACGATCTCCTAAGCAAGGAGTTCAACAACACGGTCTACCGCCAGATCCTGCTGCGCCCTCGAGTCTTTGTCGATTGTAAGGATTGTGATCTCTCAACCACATTTCTCGGCCACAGACTGGCACTCCCAATCTTCGTCTCCCCGGCGGCCATGGCACGTTTGGCTCACCCCGATGGCGAATGGGGCATTGCGCAGGCTTGCAAGAATTTTGGTGCCATGCAGATGATTTCTAACAATGCCAGCATGACTCCTGAACAAATCGTAAAGGATGCCGGCCCAGATCAAATCTTTGGTTGGCAGTTATACGTTCAGACTGACCGCAAGAAGTCCGAAGACATGCTGGCGAGAATCAACGCGCTGGATGCCATCAAGTTCATCTGTCTGACTCTTGACGCCCCCGTCCCGGGTAAGCGAGAGCACGACGAAAGAGGCAAGTTCAGCATAGAGGATGCAAGCCAGGCTATCAAGGATGCCGGTGGCGCAGAATTGAAAGGTGGCGGTGGCATCGGACAGTCTTTATTTTTCGGCACTGACCCAACCTTGACATGGACCAAGACCCTGCCCTGGCTGAAGAAACATACCAGCAAGCCGATCATTTTGAAGGGTCTACAGTGCCATGAAGATGCATGGCTCGCAGCACAACACGCTCCCCAAGTCCGGGGCATCATCTTGTCGAACCATGGTGGCAGAGCGGCAGATACTGCCCCACCGTCCATCCACACGCTCTTGGAAATCCGAAAATATTGTCCTGAGGTCCTAACCACGCTTGATGTGGTCGTCGATGGGGGCATCAAACGAGGGACCGATGTTGTCAAGGCTTTGGCTCTAGGCGCCAAAGCCGTTGGAATCGGTCGACCTGCACTCTTTGGCTTAGGTGCTGGAGGCATTGAAGGTGTCGAGAGAGTTCTTGAAATCCTCAGAGACGAGACTGCGACGGCGACCAGATTGCTTGGTGCCGCCGGCGTCTCGCATCTTGGGCCCCACCACGTCAACGCCAGGGCAGTAGAGAGGGACATATATGACGGTGGTGCAAATCTACCAGGTCTTTCCGGCGCTTTGACGGGCTTATGGACCAAATCCAAGTTGTGAATATATCTTATGCCTTTTTGGCGTCGAAATCTGCATTGCGTGGCGTTGGTGGTCTGCAAACATGTTCATGTCGAACAGGGCGAAATCCGCAATCATAAAGCAGATAGAGATAGAGAATTGATGGAATCTTGGAGCCGGTCTTCATGTGCTTAGAATGCCTCTTGGCCAACAGATGCCCCGAACCAGGTTCGTAGTTCATCCACTTCAGTCTTCACTGCTGGCGAACCGTCGTTGTTGAAGTAATGCGACAATCTCATATTTTCCTCGTCAGCATCAGCGGGCCAGTCTGTCTTGGTTGCAGGTCCATTTTTCTGCTCGAGCATGTCTTTCACAGTACCCCAGCTGAACCTGCATTCATGTCCAAAGCCCCAAACTGGATCAATCGCTGTCTTGAGCCAGTTGACACATCTGCCATCCGAAGGATACCCAGATCCCCAATCTAGCCCTTCATCTTCCGGTGACAACCCTTCTTGCTGCACATATGCTTCCAGCAATTTCTCGCAGCTGACATCTCTCGTGACTTTCGCCACCACGCTGGCAGCACTAACACATGGATAGAGACTGTCCGCTTTCTTCTCGACCGTGACCTTGACGGTCGGAAAGATCAGTTGAAGCTTCCTCTGATACACCGCGGGGCTGCCAATCGTGTCAACGTAGATCTCAGTCACGTTCACACCTCTCTCGATGACGCCTCTGATAAGCTCGATCGTCGCATCCATCGCCTGAGCGTTGAGATTGTACGAGCCTCCGTTCTTCAGCATCCCCGCGCCGATGTCCAACGCACTAAGTGATTTCACCGCCCAGCCACACGAGTCGAAAAGATCCGTCCCTTCCGTGCAAACGGCTTTCATGAGATTGGCTCGCACAGCAGGAGTCAGGACCTTGGAATCGTCGAAATGATAGGTCGCAGCGAGAAGAGATTGTTCCAGTTCAATGGGGAGGTAGTACACCCCGTAGATCATGGGCCCAATTACGGGGCCACGCCCTGCTTCGTCCACGCCCAAAACACATGGTGTGCCGGGCTCGAGTCGCGACGGTGTGATCCGCGTGATGTTGACTGGTACGGCGCTGTAGTGTCCATACGATCTTCCCCTGTAAAGAGAGTCGTAGTTCTCTTGTATCGAGGGTGGGACGAGTACTTCCGAGGCAGTGATGCTTTTATCCATTTTGGCTGAACTGGGTATGAAATCTTCGTTGTAGTTATAACTGATAACTGAGCTTCAGAAGCTGGTCCAAGATTTGGTATATTATTTCAGTGTGAGATGGCACGCACGCGTCACGAGACGTGTTGTAGGCCTTCGGACGCGTACTTTCAATCAAAGCCGAGTTTCGCTTGCCAAGGCCCAAAGACGGGAAATTCCATACGCTGGCGCCTGTCTCAGAACCCCTTTTCCCGTGAGCCCCTACACAGCCTTCTCATGCCTCTTGTTTGTCGTGTTCGAATGATCTCTCTAAGACCAAGATATCAAGTCTAGCGATTGTAGGAATCCCAGAATAGCGCTGTACACTTCGATCCGGCCGGTCCCGTTAAAGGCGAATAATGAACGGAGTACTCGTACACTGCCTCGCCCTGATCCTTCTCAAGCCGCCCCCTATGACAGATATGGCTCACCTTAGAACACCGACTTCACGTACATAGGTACAACATATGTACTTAAAATACGAGTAATGTTAGTTGACTCTCTTGCGAGTAAGTTGCTTCTGCCCACGTTACTTGAAACGCAGTCGTACTCGTACATACACGAAAATGGTTTAAAGCGGAATGAACAATTAAGGTGGGACGCGATCGCTTCCCGATTTGTTCAAAGTGGTCGACCTTTCCCGATCGGGGTTGCAGACAACAACACCACCTGCCAAACACCCAACCTTGATTTCAATGCCGATATTTCCACTTGTCAAGCCGCGCAAAGCACTAAACTTGTTGTCGCAACCACGCTCACGCGCATTCGGTAGTTTGCTGTCCTGTTTCTCTTTTTCGGTGTTCCATCATGGCTCCTCGACTAGGTGCCAGGCGAGATCGCGACAACGTGGACTACTCGGCCATTGGAAAGCATGGAAGGTAAGCACGCATTGTTCTGAAGCAACGAGTGGAATACTCATCCAACGCAGGCGCACCGGTGTTACTCTGGAGCAACGCCCCTTGGACATCAATGGAATGGAAGAAATCACCGGGATCTTTTCTTCTCCGCGAAAGCCCTCTCCATTAAAACAAATGACGCTCATGGCAAGTGTTGAGGACAATAGTATGTCACCCGACTAGGCGGCGATGTTTAGCATGAACAGTACATGTGGGCGCAAAGCGAAACAGTCCTCGTGCTTTCATACTACACGCTTTACCTGCATTAATCCCAAATGAACCATCGGACTGATAATAACGCAGGTCCTGCTCGCTCGCCCAGCCAGGCAACATCCGCACGAAAATTGGCAAGAACAATCTCAATGCCTCCGCCGCGATCATCGTCCCCCAAGAAAAGTGGAATTACTGGTACAGCAAGGAAAAGCAATGGAGTGGACATCTTCTCACGCAAAAGTCTGGAACCACAATCGCAGGATCTTAAGGATATTGAAAATACGCCGATAGTAACACCTACGCCCACTGCACGATCCAGCCGATTTAGCTCCAGCCCTGATAAATCCCCTCTGCGCAATATCATTCCCAACCTGACAGACACGAAGGCAAAATCGAGGCTTAGTCTGCACGAAATTGAACAACTCCCTAGCGAAATTGCAGCTTCAATAGAAGACGATGAATCGGAGCGATATCAACGACCGACAGAAGAAAGAGATGCCGCGCCACTTCTAGATGATACCTACATTCCTATTGCCGATGATGATTATGATGATGGTCGTCCTGGAATATATGATGAAGCTGAAGCTGAGGTGGAAGCAGTGGGAAGGCCACAATCTGAAGAACTTGGTACCCCAATTCAGCAAATCAATCAAAAGTCAGACAATGTAGAACAGCCGTCTGAGCTTCAGCAGTCATGGCTGCCAGCTCAAAACCAGGCAAATTCGCGGAAAAAGAGGAAAGCCGATGCACTTGAACAAGATGGTGATGCACTGGCTTCTCCGACGCCGGTGATAATCCATAAAACTAACCGGAAAGCAGTGCATGTGCCAACAGTCAATAAGAAGACTAGCCTTGTTACTGAGAAACCGATGTCATCCAAGGTCCAGGGGAAACAGGCACTGAGAGAAATGGACACGAACACTAAAATGTCGGTCCAACAGGAGAATGAATTGGACAAAATCATCGAGAAGGTAAAAGCACGTCCTAATCCTCCAAGGTCACTGTATATTTTGCGACGCGAAACACCCGCGGACGAGAGCGTAACTCACACAAGAAGCGGTCGGGTCAGCGTGAAGCCGCTGGCATACTGGCGCAACGAAAGATGTGTTTTCGGGGGTAGTCCTGGTGGAGCCAGTATACAGAATGGTGCCCGTTTCCCGTTGAATAGCATCAAGGAAATTGTGCGCATCGAGGAATCTGCCGCGCAAGCAACAAAGAAGAGATTCAAGTCCAAAAAGACGTCTGGGTCTTCCAAAGCAAAAAGTCGCAAACAAGCAGTTGAGGATTCTGAAAGCTCAGAATCCGATGTTGAGGACTCGCCCAGGGAAGACCCAGAGGCCGAACCATGGGAAACGGAAAGTGGAACGCTTCGTGGTACAGTGTCAATGTGGGATCAAGACCTGCAAGTCCCCACGGAACAGGAGGTAGAAATTGAGATCGCACATGCCCCGGGGGCCATAGTGACTCGTGAAGTCAAGGGCTCGGCGCTACATGAAGGCACAACATTCCGGTACGCGAAATTACTCAGCACCTCATTCTTTGGAACTGGCATTGTAGAGTTGCCACCTGGCGGCCTCAAGAGACCCAAGAACAGCCGAAAAATGCATATGGGATTCTTTGTGGTGAAGGGGAGGGTCACGGTTCGTGTTGGACCCACTGATGATGACGAATCAGGAACTGCAAACCGCTTCAGCATTGGGAAGGGAGGCTTTTGGCAGGTTCCAAGAGGTGAGATTTCATTACAACAAACATCAAGAGGGATAATGCTGACTCATTTCATGCAGGTAACCAATACTCCATTGAGAACGAGCTTGATAAGCCTGCTCGAATATTTTTCAGTCAGGGATGCGAACCGGTGCCTCCAGAAATGGATGAATACTAGCGTGGAAGACTCTCCGCAGAGGCTCCCTTTTGGGAGACTTCCTTTTGGCCACAAAAGGCTTCTGACTCTTTGTTTGACTTAACGGAGCAGTCTGTCGTCCGGTATTGCTCCAATCATTATTCAGGTGGCACAGCATATGCGCTATCTTGAGGGTCTAGACTATGATATGATCATGAAGGGATGATGTGGTTTTGCGGGAACGTGTCAACGGATGATGTCTCTGGACTGGAGCTGGGAGTGAAGCCCTCATTCTATGTAGATGTGTCCCCTTGCTGTCTCAAACTTGAGATATCGCAGTTCAGAGTTTGGACATAAGCAGCAGTGCTTCCCTAGCAAAGAATGTACCCTGCCAATTCAACATTTCCTGTTTTTACGTACTTGATGGAGAGTACAATTAAGGTTGCAGCGACAAGGTCGGCATATTTCTAAGCAATTGATCATGCAGGTAGGCCATCAAGCCTTGCTAAGGGGCCAGTGAAGCGTACGTAGGTAGTCTGCATGTGAGATGCTGAGAATCCTGTACGGAGTTCCATTTTCTCAGAACTCAAGTAGTTGGGACCAACCCAACTCAACCGTCGCGTCGATGATTTGGATTCGGCTTCGGCAGGGATGCCACTCAAAGGAGAAACCACGTGTTCGAATTGACAGGCTCAAATTTCCTCCATATCATCGCCTAAGAGATCGTCCAAGGGCGGGAAATCGCCCACCTGAATCTTCTCCGGGCGCGCCAACACACCATACTTGTCCTTGCATTCAAAGACACGCTTGAGCTGGTGGTCGCCATCTCCAGTCTCGACACTGACCGAACCATCATTTCTGCCGACTGGCTCGTCAAGTTCGACGCCGACCCAGACACAACCCGCCTCCCTCGCTCCGCCCAGCCCTGGGATCTCGCCGGCGGATCTGACCGTGCCTCGCCTCGAGTCGTCGTCTCCAACCCTGCACCTCAACCCGACCTCGATACCTTTGCTCAGCAGCATGTCCCGGTCATGGCGCAGCCTCTCCACGGCCAGTTCCTCCGCAGACTTGGCATTGGGGTCGAATCTGCCGAGCCGCTGGCGCCGCTTCCACGCGAGGACCGAATCGTCGAGCTGGGCGTACTGTGATTCCGGCATCTGGTACTTTTCGACACTGCTGAGATCCTGGAAGTTGAAGGTCTGGCGCACACCGGGCGGCCTGGTGTCGTAGACCTCGATCTCGGAGCCTTTGCGAAGTGCGTAGCGGGCGTCCCCAACGAGAGAGGCGCCGTCGGCGAAGTGGATCCATGTGCCGTCGATGCTTTTGGTCCGAAGGGATTGGCTGGGTGATGGAATGCCAGTGACGGGCTCAAGTTTGCTTTTCAGTTGTGATATTGTCCACGACGGTGTTATGCGTCTCTCTGCAGAGAGAAGCGGTAATGAATTAGGGCTTGTGTCGTTGGGGACAATGATCTGGACTGAAATGTCCGTGGGTGTCGTTAGGGACATCTTGGAAGTCGGATAAATACAACTGCGCGGCGGAAGATTCAAGATGTTGGGGTCAATAGAACTATCGAATGGTGACTACCTAGGTATGGATGTAGAGAGCCCCTTCAGTTTCAAAGAAGACTACCAGGCAGTAGATCTTAGTATCCCATACAAATGCTGAGCATCTGGGATGGAATCAATTTGCTGATTCAGCATCATCAGGAATGAAGCTGATTCCCGTGCCTGGGAAACTGAAACTTGCAAGTTCACAGTGTGAATTTGAAAAGACCTTGGCAAGCCTGTCATTTCAATGTGCTGGCGACGCGCGACGCGCATTGTGAAAGCGAGCACTTTAACTTATCATCTCTGCACTGACACAAAATATTAAATAGTTGCATTGGCACCAACTCACACCCGTCTCCCCTCAAACGAACCTGTGAGTCATGCAAATAGGTGGAACATGACAGTCCAGATGGACTGTGAGTAATCTTTCACTGCCCAAGTGTACATGCAACTTCCTACCACCATTCCAGCCTCCAGACCAGCCGTAGCTAATGAATCATCAGTAACCCAGGCAGCATAATGCTACTTAGGCAGTTTTTCAGGTTGGGACATATGCACCACAGTCCCTGCTATTTGGCGACTTTGGTGATCGTGATTACATTCTCCTACGAGCAACAAATCTGAGACCCCGGTGTTTCCATCGTCGATTTCTCTTGGTCACCAAACATCAGGATCAAGGCCGAAAGACTCCTCTGAGGACGACTTGCCGCTTCCTCGGTAGATTGGATCTTGCATTGTGATCAGTGTCATCAAGTTCGGCACTTTCCAGAAGGCGTCGAAGTATTTTGCCCGTGTTGGACCGTGGGATGGCTTTGACAAAAACAGCTCCACCTTTGAGATGCTTATATGAAATCAGCCTCGATGCAACGAACGACGTGACTTCCTGCTCTGTCAAGGGGGGTGTGTCGCCTTCGACAACAGACGCACGAACAACATAGGCGCGAGGCAAGGTTTCTGTAAGGCCCGATCGATTCAACCTGGTGATACCAGCCACCGCAACATCTGTAATCCGAGGATGTTGCAACAAGACACCCTCAAGCTCTGTTGGTGAGACCTGCCAGCCATTGACTTTCATGATTTCCTTGATTCTTCCACTGTGGAACACCTTGTTGCTTCGCACATAGATGCGATCGCCGGTTCCATAGAAACCGTCTGAATCAAAGGAAGCTGCACTCTCCTCAGAGTTACAGAGGTACCCCGAAAAAATGGCCGGTGTTCGCACAAAACCTTCGCCGGGAACATCGTCCTCGAAGATAGCATCGCCATTTTCAGCAACCACCTTCAACTGCACGTTTGGCATCAGCCGACCTACACTGCCGGAAACGTCCTTCTCGCGTGGGGCAAAAAGGGTCAGCCAACCAGTCTCTGTCGTACCCAGACATTGAGCAATGACGGCATCTGGGCATAGAAAATTGTACAAATCACTCTGAACGGGCGCGGCCATAGGTGCCCCAGCACAGATGACGTATTGCAAGGGTTTGAGAAGGTGTTTGTCTGAAGCTGACAGCTGGTTGAAAGCAGCGATGATCGGTGGAACTACGGGGAGGTCGGTGATGGAAAATCTATGGATGGCTCCCAAGACATCTGCAAGGTTGAACCTGGGGAGAAAATAGGTAGGGATCCCTGCACGCAGGGGAAGGATCAGAGCCAAGGGTGACGCAAATGCATGAAAAACAGGTAGGCATATAAGTTGTGATGGCTATAGAACGTCAGCTGATCTGTAGCAAAGTGGACGCCGAAGCAAAGATGGGAGCAGAGAATATACCTGATAAGGCCTATGATCAAGTCGGCCCTCCAGCATCGCCGTCTGTGCAACGACATAACGATGTGAAATTAGGGCAGCCTTTGGAAGACCAGTAGTGCCACTGGTCATGGCATACACCGCAATTCGGGTCTGAGTTGACTCAGCATCAGGTTGATTCAACTGCCAATCATATTCGCCGAAGTGGAGGAGTGAGTCCCAGCTTTTGCAGCCGTGGTCTGGTAGGGAGGGGCTCGCACCGAGGCAGAAGACGTTGGTCGAGGGGATTCGGGATGCAGCAGATGCCTCAAGGACTGGATCCAAAGTGTCGAGCTGAGCGATAATGAACTTTGGGCGAGTCAAGTTGAAATGGCGGGTGAGTTCAGTGGCGGTGTACGCGGGATTGGAGCCTGAAACAATTCCACCAGCAGCGATGATTCCGAGCCAAAGGACAGGATATTCGATCTATCTAGACGGTCAGCGACAGAGACATTGTTGGAGACGGACCGATAGGCCCAGGTGACACCAGACCCAGCACAGGAGGACCGTGGCAAAACACGTTCAGAACAATGGGGAAGGGTGAGACTTACGTTGTTGTAGGAATGCAGGCCCACGCAGTCGCCGTCTTTCAAACCATGTTGTCTAAGGCCCTTGGCAAGTTGTCGAACGAGGCGCAGGACTTGAGCAGGTGTGAAGGATCGTTTCGGATCTCCTGCTTCGATGAAGATCTAGCAAGACAGTGGTGAGCTATGATTGGTCAAGTTACGGGGCAACTGGAGCGATTTACCGGCTTGTCGCTTTCCAACTGGTCGACCCGTTCGAATGCAAAGGTCAGAATGTCAGTGTGTGGAATGTCTACCATGTCGGCAGAAGACCAGGCGTGAAGCGGAAGGGGAGGAGCCATTGTGTAACGATGGCTTGCAGGCGAAGAAGCGGGTGACAAGTCGTGGCAGGTCGGCAGCTACTATGGCAGTGACATGTAACACAAAGAAAACATCTACCACGCTTCTTTGAGGACAAGGTAGGATGCAATGCGGATAAGGGCAGGAAATGTGTAAGAATGAGAGCGATGAGGAGTTGCCGTACAGGACCGAATAGGACAAGGTTGCCAGGATAGGATGAGGTCCTGGTACGAGGTGCGTGAGTGACCAGAAGACCCCAATAGAGACTTTCATGCGAGGCAGAGAGAGGCAGAAACAACGCAGATCGGATCGAGTGAGCGAGAAATACTATCGCGCCCACTGCCCACTGCCCGCTGTGCACCACTGAGTGCTTACAATGCTAACAGTTCACGACAGGCAGGCAGTCACCTACGCAGACTACAAACATTGTCGATGTTCCTATACTACGATATGACCGAGGGAAAAGGTGATAAGCACAGCCAGACGCGGCCAAAGGCACGCATTCATCCCGACTTCTCCTTCTCCCACGACCCGACTGGGATTTGCACAGGTCACATACTCTGGAGCGACTGACAGCGGCTACATTAGTCAAGTGCACCCCGAATCCCTCACGTACCTCAGACAAGAGGGCATCAAGCTCAAGCGGTTGGAGCAATAGCTGCACCGGGCGAAACAGGTCTACATCGAATACAGTCCTGTCCGGTCCAGCCCGGCCCAAGTCTGTTTCCTAAATACAGGCAAGATTGGTGCTAGACACGCCAGCGTGGCTTTTGGTTGGTTGTCAACCCAGAGGTTGGATGTACGGATGTGTGTTGTAGATTGGGCGGCAGGCGATTGATTATCGAGACGAGAAGGAAATCACCCTCGCTAAGCGGAGGTTAGGTTTGCTGCAGCTAGAATTGAGTGAGCAGCAGCATCTGGTTGTCCATTTGTTACCGATATTCGCGCGCGATTTCCCGTTCGGATCAAGATCAAAAGCAAGATCTATCCGGCCCAAAACCATGGATCCAGAGATGGAGCCGCATAACACCGGCGATGGAAGCGTGTGTAGACATACACAGACTACACAGGCCACAAGATGGGAGGACATGAGACGGAATGCGATGGGCTGTGAAGCAGTGCGTGATTCAAAACTGTCTTGCCGGTGACTGCCACTGCCACTGCCACTGCCGACGGCGACTCTGGGGAAGGAGCTCTTCTCTCGTCAATGATCATTGTACCATCCCGCCTCATCCCAGCCCGCCCCAGTCATCTCATTTCATCACTGTCGGCCAGCGTTGTCTACCGATTCAGGCATTATTCGTCACCATCGCCCTCACGACCTCACCTCATGATCGCAACGATCAACGAAGGCCCTCTTACTCACCACTCCTCCTACAATCGACAATCAAAACGCTCGCTCCCAGTCTACCACCCTCCTCCTCCTTGTCATCCATCGGCACGGCTACAGGATTTTCAATTGCCACGTTTTCGAGTCACCCGCAGTGTCAAGATCACCATCCTCCAAGTCTTTTGATATCACTTGCCACCTCAGCATTTGCCATTGGTGCTCTGCCTTCCCAACTTGGCCCGCGTATTCTGGACCTTCTGGCCAACTCCTGTTCAGAAACTAAGCTCTTGAACCCAGCAACCATCATTTTGGATCGGTGTCCACATCCACCTGCTCGTCTGCATCTGCATCTGGATTTGGACGTCTGTCCAATGGACCGGAGTATCGTATTGTCACTTCCATGTGCTATGCAGTCGCCTCTGCCTTGGGTCTGTGTCTGGTCTTAAAGGCACTCCTCCCCGCTGCTCGCCTGCCTGTTTCCGTTCAACTCTTACCCGCGTCACCGGCGTATTTGCACCTGCCTTTGCACCTGCCTCTCGAGCTTTGCAACTGCTCTGTTGTCATGGATCTTCACAACATGTAAGTTCCCACGTGATCTCCTCTCTCTCAACTTCGGGTCTTGAGATCTCCTCTCTGCCACACCCCCTTTCTCCGAGTGGCCATACACCATCACTGCCGCTGTCACTCCTTTGTTCCTAACACCACCCATGCAAAATCCTCTGCCCTAAAGACTTATTTCAAACTCGATGCAATCACGAGGATCTTGAGTGTTGCTTATCATTACGTTGCCTAGTAGATGACCCCCTGTGTTTGGCGATCTCGCTAACCATGTTGAGCAGAAATGGTCCATTGCCATCCGAACCACGCCTTCCTCTGGCCCAAGAATATGTCCGTTTTACCATTGAAACAACATCATCTGTTGACCTTGATCCTCCCTCCTCCGGTCCATTAGAAAAACCGCCACAACCGATCTCGGATTCGAGGAGTTCGCACACTGCCCAATCTTCCCTGAAAGCTACCAACTCGGTCTTGTCACACTACAAAAACTTGCACGACGTCTCCTCTGCTAGGTCCTTCTCAACCATTGCCAACGACAAACGCATCAGCCCCACCCCTGAGCTCACGATAAACCTCCCGAACAAGAAATATACCCGCATCATGCGTAACATTCGGTGGACCGTCTTGTCCGTCTATCGCCGCCTTAATATACTTGTCCTCACTACGAATATAGCCGCCATTGCGGCTCTTGCCTGTCGGAAAATTCTACTGTCCATGACTCCAGAATCCGCCGCCACGGCCGTTTCTGTCAACTTGAGTATCGCTGTCCTCATCCGCCAGGAGTTGGTAGTCAATGGCCTCTTCTGGCTCTTTGGCAAATGCCCCCAGTCTTTCCCCCTTCGCATCCGTCGACTCGCGGCAAAGATATACCATCTAGGCGGCATACACAGTGGCGCTGCGATGGGTGCCACTGTGTGGTTCGCCATATTCAACGTCTCCATCGTCAACGCCTACCAAACCAGCAATCTGCTCTTCCACCGAGAGGCACTCCCCGCCATCACCGTCGTCCTCGACGTCCTGCTCATCTCAATTGTGGTCATGGCCCACCCAGCCATTCGTGCACGAACGCACAACACGTTCGAATTCATCCATCGCTTCGCCGGCTGGACCTCACTCGCTCTATTTTGGGTACTGTTTGGGCTATTGGTGGATGCCAGAATGCGCGCTGAAGGAAGCACCGTGACCATCCAATCTGCCGTGGGAGGGAACCCCATTTTTTGGACCTTGCTCATCGCCACAATCTCGGTAGCTTCACCATGGATCTGGCTCAGAAAAGTGCCAGTCAACGCTGAACCTTTATCGGACCATGCCATCCGCCTCCACTTTACTTACACTAACCTGCCTCTTTGCGCAGCCCCTCGTGTATCTGACAGCCCTTTGCTCGAATGGCATGCCTTTGCAGGTATCCCGGAGCAAGATGGTCAGGGGTTTTCCATTCTCGTCTCTAGAGCCGGTGACTGGACCGCCAAACTGATCAGGAATCCGCCAACCAAACTTTGGGTCCGCGGAATACCTACAATGGGCGTTTTGCACATCGCTCCAATTTTCAAGAAGGTTGTCCTGGTTGCCACGGGCTCTGGTATCGGTCCCGTTTTATCCTTGCTCACCAAGGTCAAGATTAATTGTCGCATCCTTTGGTCTACCCCAAACCCAGAAGCAACATACTCGTCCAGCGTGATAGATAATGTTTGTCACGCTGATCCGGCCGCGATTATCATCAACACCTCGGTGTCGGGAAGGCCCGATCTTGTGAACCAATCATACGAGCTCTATGCAAAATCAGGGGCTGAAGCAATATTCATAATCTCCAACCCCAGAGTCACCCGAACCGTCGTGTATGGCCTCGAGTCTCGTGGCGTTCCGATTTTTGCACCCATTTTCGACTCATGAGCGCTGCAACAGTGCATGCTTTGTCGTCATAATTATTATTATCTTGTCATCGAACAAGTGCGGGAGCGTCCTCTGGTGGTTTGGTTCATCTCCTGCGAGGATCATTTTGGGGAAGAGACCAGGATGCCGCTCTTCGCCCGTAATTGAGTCCGTCAGCTTTGTAAGACATTCTTCCAACAACAGGTTTCGGGTTCAGAAAACAAGAATACTCCATGTTCAAGCATCCTAGACTACGTATTGACCCAATGGATGAAACGTCTTACGTGCATAGAAATCATGTGGTATAGCAATATGATGAGGTAAAGAGCCAAAGCTATAGCCTCCCCAACAGCCGAAGCCTTTTAGCACAGCTTGGCTTGTCTTGCATTCGGTTCATTTCTGACTTATAGCTGAACTTGAGTCACCGAGTCCGCGAAAACACCATCTCGAGATGATATTCATGTCCTAAATAAAGCTGATTGCGGCTCATATCCCGTGTGCCACTGCGAAACATCGTGTGTATATAAGCATCTAATGTGCCTGTAAAAGTTTTGAGGGGAGCAGTTCTGACTCGCCCCTATGTAAATTCAAGGGTAGCCGGTCAACTGACCGTGTGACCATGCCAAATGTCCCTGTGGGTGAGTGTAACAGTTTAAGTGGCATTTGCATAGCCCTAAGCGGTCAGAATCCGTCGGGCATATGATTCACGCGATCGTAATACTGTGCACTGCGTGTACCACTGGCCAAGGATAGGGGTCTCATATAGAACATACGGACACCCCAACTCCCACAATCTATGTACTCCTCGATCGCGGCGTCCGAACTGTAGAATCCCAGTCGTCTTCCAAGCCGCAGGTGTAAATGGCGGTACGCCTTTTTCTCTATCCTTTGGTTTCTATCAGAAGAATGCATGGAGAAAGGCTACGTAGATGCTCTACCATAACTAGACCCTCCTGTAACTGTAAACGAGACTACCTGAAAAGAGCACGAACACAGACGATTAAAGAGGTGATTTGAAACTACTACTCTGGTTCCAGCCTCCAGCTTTCATGGAACACCTGATGGCAGCTCGAACAAGACAATCGAAAGAGGCCAGCGATTTCCGACTATTTCTTTCGCTCTCCAGCCTGTTTGTGCGTCGCACCTGCGCAGATTCAGCTCGTCGCATAGCATCGCACTATTCTTGCGACAGCATCCTTTGGAAAGTAGTGAAAATCACTGACAGTCAAATGTGTCTGGAAAACACCCAGAGAGCAGGCTCTAGGATTTTCATCAAAATAGGGAGCCCCATCATAAGCATGAGAATGCTGCACCAGGTCAGCCACAGAACGACACGAGAATTTTGGATGGATGTGAAACCTTACAGATCGTTCTCAATTGACTGCATAAGTAGAGACGATTGCTGCCGGTCCCTGAACCATGAGCCACAGACGCTCTGCAAGCCGCATGATCGGCTTTCTTCTTGCCGTCCATGACATCCCAAGCCGTCTTATGGGGTTGTCCCATCTTTTGCACACTTGTTTTGTATGCAAGAAGATTCATCTCGGGAATTCCACCTCCGCACTGGAACATGTCATTGAAAAATCTAATTTCTCGTTTGAGAACTCTGATCTTTTCCTGCAAATCTACATTCACCATTTGGTATGCATTACGCTTTTTCAAAGTTGGAACTGGCGGAATTGGCTCGCAAAGCTCTGAAGCTTCTTCAGAATCAGATTCATACCGATGATGCTCTGGTGCTTCAGCAGCGCGTCGCTTCACTACCGGAAGCTCATCGGCTAACTCAGCATCTCTGGCTCGCTTCTTTTGATTATTTTCTATGGTCGTGCTTGCTTCAACGGTGGCTCTGCTGTTGACTCTTTAATCGATTCTTGGAACCTTTTTGTCTGATTATTCTTCTTATTACTCTTGTTGTTCTCTTGATCTTGCTGCTTCTGGCGGTTCTGCCTTTTTGCTGTGCTCGTGGCCAACGATGATGTTCTTGATTGAATGGGAGTACTGGTAGAGTTTAATGAACTGGAGGTGCGCCTGTTATATTCTGGCAAGGGCTGTGCCTTTTCCTTCCTAAGTCTCAACAGTAGAGGTGTGGCGTCCAAACCCGAATCTGAATCGGACGAGGAATGTTTTGCATTGTCCGTATCTAGACAGATGTATTCTCTCTCAATCGAAGGCTGAATGTTGGGTGATGCACAATCCTCTAGCGACTCGTCTCTGACGGTTGAGTCTGACACTGCATGATGTCCACAGTGACCGGCAACCTTAGTCTCAGTTCGGCAGACCTGTCAGAAAACGACGTGGCCCACTTGCATTACTTGCGAAATACGACGCCTGTATTACTTGAGTAAGCGCTACACAGCTTGGGATTAGCATTTTCTGGCCTAGCAGTCGAGTGTTTGGAGCGGAGCTGCCCCTTTTGAGGATGACATGTTATATTGTCGTTTTCTAAACCAAGGTGAAATCGTCCCAGCATATCACGAGTCGACGCGAAGGAAGAGGAGGGACCAAGAAAAATGAACAGAATAAATCGAGCAACAGTGGCTTGCGGACAGGAACCGCACAGCCCAAACCTCCCTAAGTGGATGGCGGTGGTGATGACAGACTCGAGAGGTGACCACAGCTCTAGGGTCGTGTTTCTAAACGTCGGGTTCCGATCAAAGCCACGAGGTGAAGTGAAACGAGAAGGCGCGGTCCAGGCGATCCAGGCGCCGGCTCGATGGCAGCAGCGACGAGGAGCACGCCGGGTCAAAAGAGGATCAATCCATGGAGGATGGCAGCTTACCTTGGAGTCGCTTGTCATGTGACGAATCGTCATATTTTCCTGGCTTACGAGTTGTTCGACGGATCGATCGATCAGTTGGTAGAATCTTTAGATCTCGTCATTCACTGCAATCCTTGAAAGCATCTTGGTCTGGACTTCGTACAAGCAATATCTTCTCCGCTCGGTCAGTCAGTCACCTGCACGGATCCAGGTCATCTACGATCCATCTATCACTCATCTGCAAATAACCATCGTCCGTTTGGTTTCATAGCCTCATGGTATCGTTTCTCTACTTCTTCTCTCTCGATCAGGAGCCCCTGTTCACGAGATTTTCGTTCTTCCTGTGATCCCAGCACATCTAGTCCCCAGTAGTCAGGTGGCGTTTTGGGTCGGTCAGAGGCACGCCTATGGATTTTACCAAAAGCATTTGCTATCTTCTTGGCTCGAGCTTCATGGATGAGATTGTTCCTCGCCATGGGAGTCAGGCCTCGAATTTTAGCCTCTGATCCTTGACCGAAAAACTCAAGCAACAGTTCATCGTCAGGTATTTGCCTAACTCCCCGTGGCAGCGTTTCGGCAATTGCCTGGAATTTATTACCACAGCATCCTGCTTTGGTACATCCAGGAAGACATTTCCGAGCCTCATGATTCCGAACAGTTTCATAGAAGGCATAATTCAGGCCGTCATGATACTGTGGATTCTGCCTGAAGTGCGACAGGCTTTGTCGATTCAATGGCCTGGATCGGAATGGTTCAGCGTCCTCGGGTCCAGATGGGACGGTCGGTCGAGGAGGCAGGAAGTGAGTTTGTGGTCGTGTTGGAACATCTGCACCCGAAGTGCCCGTACGTGGTAAAAGTTGAAAGCTGGGAGGTGCCTGTAGGAGATTCTGTAGTCGGTTGTGGGCCGCAGGAGCCAGAATCGGAGATACTGAGACTTCCGTTGGTGGAGCTGTGGGAAGATTGTGACTTTCTCCGTCCTCAGCGACCATGTCGATGGCACCTGGCCCTTTGGAACCAAGCGTTCCAAATTTGAACTTGGGCCGGGCTCCCATGTTTCTACCGCCCTCCGGCAGATTGGAAGACATTTCGCGCAGGGATGATTTCGGATTGGGACTTCTAGATCGAGGCCGCTTGCGAGCATGCCCAGCCGTCTCGCTGCCGGACTGCTGTGAATGCCCATTTGTATGTGAGCTCGTTGGTGCTGGTGAATGAGACAAGCGATCCGCATCATCGGACGAAACGATGGGTGAAGAAACATCGGGATTCAGTAGTCGCCATTTACGTTTCTGAGATTGCAGAGTACGCAACTTTGATTTCAAACTGTCAATCTCGCTCTGCTTCTCTGCATTCTGCTTGAATAAATGCTCTACTTGGCTTGCCGCTCCTGGGGCTTGCTTGAGGCGCGCAAGCTCGGATTTCAAAGCCTTATTTTCTAGCCTTAGCTCCTTGATAGCCTCTTCATGCTCAGCTGGCGTTGAAGTGGTCGAGATTTGCTGTAGTTTGTCGACTTGCACCTTGAGTGCGTCGTTTTCGTGCCTAAGCTGTCCAAGGCTTCTTGTTAGATCCTCACTATATGATAATGCTGTGATCAGAACCTTTGTCAAGGACTGTCCATCAGCATGACTCTCATCCATATTCATCACACGTGGGAAAATCCCCCGCGATTAGGTTGGGAGAAGGGAAAAACACTCAACGCGTGTAGCCAGCGCGATGTCCGGGTCCCACAAGGCTCCACACGCTATACCGCTTTCGAGAAATCGTCGGAAAAACCTCGGTATATCTCGCGGCGAACAATCATCACTCGGTTGTCCTCCACCTACTCCACAAACAAGCAACCTTTGTCGCTCCGTAATTGTGCAGTTGAAGAAGCTCCATCGCGCAAAGGGTAATGCCTAAGAGGGCGAGGACCGAACTGGATGATGCTGTTGATCGGAACTTTGTCAAGAAATGTCGAGTTGGTCCGAGGCGCAGCGTGTCCGGTCTCAGTGACGAGATACTTCTTCGAATTCTATCCTTCCTAACGTTCAAAGATCTTCTCGTTGCCGAACGGTGAGTGAGCGCTCCTAGTGCCTCTCGTTCTTCTAACCGTCTTAGGGTCTCTGCTCGATTCAGGGCATTAGCCACCGACCGCGAAATCTGGAAAGCGCGATATTATGACGCCTGGGTCAGGTCTCGTGTTCGGCGGCGAACTCCCATCCAGCAATTGTATAAGGCAAAGCAGTTTGCAAAGCCATCGCAAAGGCTCGATTATGGCCAGATCCCAAGGCTTAGTGCCGCGGCAGATTGGAAACGTCTTTACAAGATTCGGAGCAACTGGGACACCGGAGCAGCAAGAGTCAGGGAAATCGAAATCGCGAAAGCTCCATCGCCTCCAGCAGTGGCGAAGGTCCATCAAAACATGGTTTTCACCGTCGATGAACGAGCCGGACTGAGAGCTTGGTCGCAAAACGACGGGACAAGAGCATTGAGATCACAGGTCAAGATAAGGACTTCGGCTCAACCAACGTGCATGGCAGTTGGAACCGTTGGAGGAGAAACGAGGGTTGTCCTAGGTTTCGATGATGGAGGACTATCGCTATACAAGTTCCAAAGTGCGCAAGGTTTTTCCGTGGAATGCAGCCACACATCATTGGATGGGCCACTCATGGCAGTCACCCTGGCGGAGTCTCATATCATGACGATTTCCAAGACCAGGTTCCTTTCTGTATATCACACGCGGTCAAAGGAAGATAGTACGGTGGCGGGAGAAAGTTTGATCCCTATTGCTCGGCTGCAGTCAGATGCCTCATTCGCCCCAGTCTCGATAGCTCTGCGAAAGATTCCCGGGGCGATCATTGCAAGTATTGCCTATGCTTTCAACCGGCTTCAAAGTGGGTGGTGCTTAGGGCTGCAGGAGATACGATTATCCAACGCAGGTCAAGTGATGAATAGCAGGATTGCATCAACGATTGATACTGCGGTCGATGCAATAAAAAAGGACGGCCATCATTGGGAGCTAACAACCCGGTCGACAAGTTCACTGCCATTGCCACTCCATCCACAGCTCACGAGTGCTCCTACCTCGCTTTCATACGAACATCCATTCGTGGTCTGCTCACTTTCGGATAACACCTTGATGTCGTTTCTGGTCCTTTCGAACACCGACTCGCTCGAAATTCACACCGGAAGGAGATTGTGGGGTCACACCTCGGGCGTTTGTGGGGTTCAGGTCAACGGTCGTGGAAAAGTGGTGTCGATCAGTTCTAGAGGGAATGAAATTCGGTCGTGGGAATTGGAGGACGTCATGACAACAGTGGTGCCAAGTCGAACAAGTACAGCGATTAAAGCTGTGGATGGGCTTGCTGGAGTTGTGGCAGCCATGGCCCAGCGGCGGGCTGGACTTGGTCTTGCATTGTCGGAAATGGAAAAAGAACAAGCTCTGACGCGACGATGGGTAGGGTTCGACGATGAACAAGTAGTGATATTAGGAGATCGAGGTCAGAGTCAGATTATGGCATTGTACGACTTTACGTAGACTAGATGATGATATGACACCATTTCAAATCGAGAGACATAAGAGCAACTTGGTAGAAAAGCCTGATGAAAATTATGAAATATGGGTGGGTTATGGTCAGACTCGATATGATATTGATAGAATATAATACTGACACCCAATGAGCCAATCGGTAAAAACATGGTCAAGCATTCGAGAATTGGAGTGTCTAGAAGGCAAAGGTGGAGTTGTTTGAAAACCACAGAGACGAGGTCCCCGTTCCCCGTTCCGCCTATTATTATTGCTTGACCTGGGGCATAGCATAGTAACGAGTCCCTCAGGCTCAAGGGACTATCTACGCGATGCGATATCGAGTAAGCAGGCATGATTGACGAGGCCGAGCGGAAAGCCAAACGAGCCAAACGCAGCTGGAGTCATGTGGCCGCGGTTCATAGATAGAAGGGCGAGCGAGGCCCCAAGAGGGTCTACTAAGACTCTGGGAGGTTCCTAGGCCCTGTCGGCCTGTGAGCCAGGTAAGCTACAGGGGGATGCACAGGGGGACGCACAGGCCGAGGGGCATGGCAGAGGGGCTTCTTTCACCAAGCGACCGCCTGTAAATGTGTGACGTCCGTTCCGCCTCCACATTTCTCCTTCTCTTTGCTCCACTATCAGCCTGCGCTTGCACCTGCACCTACCTGCACTTTTTACAAACCTACATTTTCATTCCACTTTCGATTTCACACACGTCTGGCATTTGTTTGCTCGCTTCACCACCAGGTGTCCTAAATTCATTCAGACACAACCTCAGCCTCGCTTCAATCCCAAATCCCTCCTTCCACCCACATTCAGATCCTCAAATTTTTTCTCCAACTCTCTTCTTTTTCTCGCTTGCTAGACCTCTTTTTGCCACTTCATAGTCTTCCCCGGCTCAAATCACTCATCAACCATCCTCCATCATGGATCGCGGCTGCTACAATTGCGGTGATTCTTCTCACCAGGCTCGCGACTGTCCCAAGCGCGGAACCCCAGTCTGGTACCTGTTCCTTGCCCCTCTGATCGTGACCGAGACCTCTCAGGCTAATTCTTCTCCGCCAGCTACAACTGTGGAGGTAAGCCCTCAGAGACACCACTCGATCTTCAAGATCCCAATTGGCTCACTTCTTCGCTCAGGCGAGGGCCACGTTAGCCGAGAGTGCACAGCACCAGCAAAACCCAGACCATGCTACAAATGTTCGTTCTTCCCAACTCCAGGGCTCCCCTAAAATGATCGATTCGTCTTAACAAGTGCTCTTCTCTAGGTGGTGAGGCTGGTCACATGGCCCGTGATTGCACCCAAAATGCAGGAGCCCCTACTGGCTCCAGCATGGTCGGCTCTGGCGCTGGCTGGGGTTCAGGTGGTGGTGGTGGCGGCGGCGGCTATGGCGGCTCAGCTCGAGAGTGTTATCGATGCGGCGGCACAGGTCACATTGCGAGGTAGGATGCAGAAAAGAGAAAGCCATATCAGATTGAGACCGGTCACTGATCGGCATAGGGATTGTACCTCTGGTGGCGGCGGGTTTAGCAGCCGTGGCGGCGGCGGAGGCGGCGGCCAAACCTGCTATGTAAGGCACTTCCTCCCCGATTGTTCCATGTTCGCTAACCTGAGACAGTCCTGCGGCGGGATCGGTCATATGTCACGGTATGCATTTGCTTTTCTCCTCTTACTGTCCTTCTGCAACTAACCCGTCCATCAGTGACTGCACTCAGGGCCAAGGTGGTCGTTCTCAGAAATGCTACGTAAGTCTCGTCCGTTCGCGACAGCTTCTCAATGGCCAGCTAATCCCACGTAGAACTGTGGCGAACAGGGTCACCTGTCGCGTGATTGCCCATCTGAGCCAAGCCAGGAGCGTATCTGCTACAGATGTAAGCTTGATACTATTCCCATGTCTTGTTTCTCTCTGACGGACATCTGCAGGCAAGCAACCGGGACATTTGCAGTCCGCTTGCACCAAGTAATCGACTCGGGCCCATTGCGCGACGAGCCATATTCCCCTTTCTTTCATTTCCAATTCACGCAAACATAGTCCCATGGACACTCGGCGGTGTGGATCTCCAAGCTACGCGAGCGTCATTCATGATGACATGACAAAAAGTGCATTTCGAGCAAAATTAACGATTTCCCGAAATTTCTCACGACAGCGCGGATATTATCCTGGGTACCATATGTGATTTGGTGGAAAGGAATCTGCTTGATGATAAGGGATTCCAGCTGAGATTCAGAGATCTTTGCAATGCAGAACAATGGTGGAGTGGAGGATGAACGACCAGGTGAATGCCGCTGGAGTTTCGTTAGTGACCAAGATTACATGGGATTCAAGAATACCATGCCAATGTATCAAGCAAAACTTGAGCAAAGCCAGGTGCCACCTGAGCATGCTCAGCATTTTCATTCATTCAGACACCACAGCTGTCCATGCCAGAGTGTGGCGGACCCCGAGTTCTCCAGTGACTCGCTCCGCATGACCCCAGCTCAGGCACAGACTAAGCTACCTTGGGAGGGAGTTCTGCCGATGAAGCAGATTTTTGGCTGACACAACTAGTGTCGCCCAAAGCAATGCAAATCATGAAGACCCTTTCAAACCTGCTCACAACCGTCCTCATTGTGTTTTTTTTCGGGTGGTGTTTTAACTATGTTGGCAATTGAGGCACGGGATCGGTCTAAGGAATGTAGTTTTAACTCGTTGGGATGTCTTCTTCGCTGTGAAATTTCTTTATCGTGACTCGATCTCAGTCAGTACAGTATTCCGGACAAGACTAGTTATCCATCTGACTGAGCTTGACCCATCCCCAACTCCAACCTAGTATCATTGTGTCGCAATTCATGAATGCTAGGTACTCCAACCTTGAGCTAAGCACCCGTTTTCCCTTTTCAGTACCAACCGGACAGCAAGCGCGATAAAGCGAACACGCAGGGGTGGTACCGCTGGTATTCTCGCAACGGCATGACTTGGAAAGTCGTGTTAAGCCTGAAGCGCAGCAATTGCCTTTCTCAAGTTCTCAACAGAGTCTGAAAAGGTCACAATCATCCACCATTGATCCCAACCCGACCTACTCAGAGGTCTCACTCTCGTTCAACTCCCTCAGATAAGCAAGGCAGGCCTGCACCTCCGCTTCGGCCTTGATGACCTTCGCACGCGCCTCCTGCATGGCGACGTGCAGCTGGAACCCATAGCCATGGCCCCAGAGCGATCTGGCCTGAACCGGCGCCGAGCTAGGACCTGGCTTCGTAATGCTCTCATACACGTCCCAAAGTTGGGTAAACGTGTCTCGCACATCTGACAGGCCCGTGACCCACTCCTTGTAATGTGTCTGAGCCCTCCACATACAGCTGACCTCTCGGTCCTGCTGCTCGACTTCGTCCGCCAGGATGCGCACCTCGGCGCGTCTGGCGTCCAGCGTAGTCTTCGGGGCGCTTCCTCTGCCTTTGAGTGCGTTGTACGCGTGCAGCTTGCGGCGGTATTCGGACTGTTGCTCGTCGTAGCTTTCTTGATATGACTCGGCCACAGCCTCGAAGTTCTTCAGCTGATCACGGATGGCTTGCAGGTCGGCGGCGAGAACGACCATGTGCTTGGTGCGCGAGGATCGGTCTAGCTGTCGCAGCATATGGTTCAGGTCAAGGTCATGGTGACCACGGGCAGCGAAGTCTGGGTCCATATCGCCGGACGTGTCACCGTCGGAGGATCCGGATTCTGACCCTGAGCTTGACTCTGAGTGTGAGATATCGTAACACGGGTGTTTTGAGCTGCTCGAGGACGGCGTGATTTTGTTTCGGGAAGGAGGAGATGAGGACGAGGCACAAGTTTTGATTCTCTTTGATAATGAATAGTCGGGGTCGAGGCTGGAGCCGCGGTCGGAACTGAGGTCAGAATCGAGGTCAATGGCATCCTCTGCGGTGCCTTTCTTCCGTTTTGAGCTCAAACTACTGGCAGCTGATGAGGACATGTTCGTAACCAGGACCTCTAGATTTGCCTTGGGATGAGAAGGATGCTAGACGAGGAGCGGCCATGAGCTGAAAGCGTGGGTGTTCATCATAACCAGTCTCAAACAACATTGCATGTGTGGTTGTGAATGGAGATTCTGGCAGTAAGTGACTAACAAAGAGTGCATTCACATTTTGTGTCATCAGCACTGTAAATGCATACCTGAGGAACTCAATGCCGCGGTCGCCTCTGCCTCCGACTTCTCCTATTTCTGGTGGCGCATGCGACAGACAAATGCCATTGATAGTCGTATACAACGATGTGCAGGGTATGAATGAGTCAGTGCTTAACTTTTTGCTTTTGGGTAGGGAGGGATTGAGAACCGAAGCCTGAGAACAATACTCATCAGATTGTAATCTGGTCCATTGTGACAGAAAGATCACGGGTAACTGTTTATTGTTTGCTTAACTGCACTGTTCGGTCGTGCATAAAACACGTTCACTCCAGCCCTGGCTGACTAGCTGCCCGCCCAGGTTCCTGAAGATATCTTGGGTACCTACCTAAGAACTATCGAATCCGTACCCGATGACTACCATCGGTCGAAAACAAAAGACATCGCGTCCATAGTCCAAGTCCTTGTCCGTGCAGAGTTACATGGTCGATGTACTGAAATAATAATTGCCCCACAAGAATTCATAGTCCTCAATTACGCCACCAGCCAGAGAGAGAATTGGCTTGCCTTTCAAGGCATTGGCCGCACCATGAATCCAGGGTTTGGTGATATTTTCGTAGAAAGCACCTCGCATGCCCCACCAAGCAAGACTCCAGCCTCGCTTTTTGAGCTCATCGCGCTCCAATGCTGATAGTCCATTTCTAGCACCGCCCGGCACGCGAGTTGCCAGATCCCGCTTGGCTAACTGTCGAGCAAAGTATTCAATCGAAGCACCAACGAGCCAGGGAGTCCAGTGGCGTTTCCACTTCGTCCCTTCGTAACCGTAGGACCGAGCGACGCGCTGCATAAGCAAGGCGTATATGACAGGTCGTACAATATACAATAGTTCCGCAGCCTGGCCTCCCAGTGTGGTGAGTTGGTGAAGAAGTTGTTTGGCGGGCTTGACGTCATCCGCTGTCAGAACGTGATTTAACAAATATGTAGAGACGCTCTCTGGGGTTGGCAAAGTTGGCAAGGTGTATCCTGTCCTCGGCATGTTAAAGGCTTCAGTCGTTGATAGAGACGAAGGCTTCCCGGAGTCCGAGAGTGGTGGTGTGGGAACACCAGCCTCACCCAGCGCATCCTTGATATCGAATTCAGGGTCATCAGCCATCCTCAGCTCCTGTTCTGAGAACTCTTGGTCATCGTCCTCTTTCTCGATAGGGGCGAAGTCCTCTCGCAGCGGAAGCGGTGAATGTACGAGCGGTCTAGAGTGGGTGAGTTTCATCAACAGAAATCGACAGATGGCCTTGAACGTCTCAAGCATAATGACAACACGCCATCTCATCCTCTCGCCCCCCCTTCGGCGTGCGATCATCTCCCATAAGAGTTCTGTGTATTGCGCGACCTTGAGCAGAGTTGCGATCTTGATGTAGAGTGAGGAAGAAGCCGTCCAGAAGCTAGTGTAACGAGCGTGCAGGGAAGGTTTTGGTTTTTGAATCTTCAGATTCTGAGCCTTCAGGACAGTGGGTGACAAAGCGAGGAGTGTGTTTCGATTCTTGAGGAGGTAATCATGATAGATCGACAATAGCTGGACAAAGGTGTGAACAGATTCAGAGGCAACCTCTGTGTCGGAGAGGCGAGCGCCAGGGAGCAAATATGTCAAAGAACGGAGGCTGTTCTCTATGGAGGACACAGATGAAGAATTAGAAGCGACATAATTGGAATATGTGGTCGGCAGATTGCGAGCGACCTTGGTGGCTTCAGAGGATGCCTGCGCAAGGGAGTTCACGGTCGCGCGCACCGTCTGGCGCAGAGTCGATGACACCATCTCTTGTCGCGCAATCGACCCATGCGGTGAGAGGCGACAGAAAAGGCGCACCTCGGACGATGGGAACACTAGGGAGATGAAAGTAGAAAGGGTGATGATGATTACGATGAAGATACGTAGTGGCTCACGTTGACGGAATGGACTTGGGATTTAGGGAGCGAATCGATCCTGGATGATTGGAATGCCGAGGCTCAGATGAAACTTGCACAACGTCATCCAATAAGCGATCAGACCAGCCACCGATATGTATTTCCAGTTCACACGGAGTAGTACATATTCAAGTTGAAAAGGGCTTTGGCAGTGGCTAACGGCGATGCCCAGAAAGTAAGCACCAGTGCATTATACACAACGACACAGTTGGTACATCGACTGTCAATGCATAGGTAGACTTCTATGTCTGCATTCCATTATCACGGTCACCGGAGAAATTATTCGCCGTAGACGGGCGAATCATTATAGGGACTTATTCCCATTCACATCTGCAGGATATATACAAACGTAGGTTGAGGATTCAACTCTGAGATCGACATTTCCCTTCATGCTGTTAATCGACCTCAAAACTTCCACCCGTCTTTCCTGCCTGACGCCAACTAGGAGGGGAACGGCGGTCCTGCAAGGATGCCAGCAGCAAAAAAGAAACCCAAGGGCACGACCGGACCGTGGTCTTCGTCGCGGATCTTGAATTCGACCTCCCCTGTGGCTTCGATGGACATTCATACTTTCCTCGTTAACTGCATATCAGCTTGGGATGAGAAGTATGACGAGGCTCAGAAGCGTGCTATCATCGATAGCTTGCCCCGACCGTACCGGAAATACGAATTCGACGGGTCTGGCCACTTGATCTGTCCCGTTTCCACCGGATTTCTGCTCGAGGACCCCTACTTCAAAAGTGCCATTCAGAAATTCAAGACCAACCTCATCGACGGATTGTACGAGAAGGGGTGGCAGAATCAGGCTCGGACAGCAATGCAGGAAAGAAGCGAAGGAAAATTTGACACATATCTACGAGAGAAGGCGGAGTGCGAGTTTGGAAGCTGCATGGGTGCACAACAACGAGATGATGCGGCGGTTGACAGCCATCAGATCAACCCAGAGTCCAGCGACAGTGACGGCGAGTGGGGGGCCGATCGTGCCAAAATCCAAAAGAGCAAAGGCTGACGACAGAAGGTCGCGACTCGCGAGCGATCTGATTGACCAAATAATGACTTCACACGTGCCCCCAGCCTGGACCTCCGACCTCCCCGTTCCTCATGACGGACCTTGGCCCTTGAGCGTCAATCCAAGACACCCAAACCTCGATGAAGATACCGGCGCTTTCGGACAAATCACCTGCTCTCACAAGAACTCTGCGTCGCGATCTGTTTCCAAACATGAAGAAATCATCAAGTCTTGCCGGACGGCCCGGGATGTTTCGCTACCAAGCGAGATTGCAGGGCTCGAAGATTCAGCCGTGTCTTGAGTCTTGGTTCTTATAATCTACGCTGTCGAGGATGAGGCTAGTTGGTACTCCCGAGCAACATTTGTTGGGGCAGACCTTGGATACCAGTAGTGGCACGATAGGGGAAGTGATGACTTGGGCTCCAAATCGAGCATTACAACGGTGCGAGTCCATCCCTCCAGTGCTGCAGGGGCTAGGCTTTATAGTGCAATAGCATTAACGCCTGAGCAAGAATACAAGCCGTTCCAATTTTGATAGCGTTGAAGATCAGTAATTAGCGAAGAACTATGGACCTCCGTAGCAGTAGTACAGTATTCCGAAGGCATCCGATGTCAGACTGAAGCTTCAGCATTATCCGAAACCCCATCACAACAGCAAGGAGCAAGGAGCAGGGAGGCCAAGGCTAGGACGGTGTCAGCTAAAGAAGATGGCGTAGAAGGGAGATCCCCAGTCCTAGAATAGCTAGGCGATTCCCAAACAGGAATGCAGTTGATCCGTCAACAATACTCGTAAATGATGAAGCCGTTGCTGGATCTCGATCAGGAGACTGCTGCATGTCAAAATCACAGATCAACCAAAGTGGGTCGGATATTGACAGCAGCATCAAAGTGCCAACGGCGTCACGGGATTGGGCTTCTTACTGTGGCTGGGGCTGCGGTGATGGATGAGGCTGCGTCGGTTGACCACACACCTGCGTAGTCGTATCCCACAGAGTACGGAGGGCGGAATAGTCTACTCGTACTGCTGGACTCTAGTAACTAGTTGTTAACTGGTCGGCACCGAAAGTTGTCGGGTGCTGCGATGTTTGCAGCTACTCCTACAGCAAGTTCTAGGATTGATTGTGGAATCAGGGAGATCAGGACATGTCCTTGAGGCCACGAACAGTCCGAGCCCTGAGTGCTGAGCTCTGTTACCTGAGATCCCGGCTCCACAGGTAACACGATTGATAGAAATGAAAGACAGTCGGATTTTCTCCTTCTATCCCATGTCTCGCATACAAACCAACCACAGTCCTCGTCAATTCGGGTAATTGCTCTGGGCGAGGGTGCCACTTCTCATGTCATTCAAGGCAGCGACCACTGCAATTAATTAATCAGGACCCAGGAGCCCTAGCCTTCCGAGGCCAAGTGTACTCCGTACGGAGCAGTGCTGGGATGAACCTCTGTCCTCGACTCCTCGGTAGACAGCCGATCAGCAAGGCTATGAAGCAGGAGGCCCACCGGGAGCCCATGGTTCAAGCGAGCTGATAAAACTCCGCACCTCCAAGCGGAACCGGGAAGGCGAGCAAAACAGTTCGATTCCGAAGAAGAAGCGAAAGCAGGCTGGCAGGGTCCTCCTTATGTAAAACCGAAGGCAACAAATCGGAATGCATCCACCATCATGTAGTGAGCTAGGAGACTTGATGGTGGCCAGGTTGGCAGCGCAAATGAGACGCTAGGCAGGGACACTTGGAACATCCAGTAGCTGAAGACAAACACAAACACGAAAGGGGGCTCGGTACCTACGTTAGACCTCCCACTGGGGTTTGCCTCGACAGGTTGAGAGTCAGACTCGATCGAGACTTATCAACCGCACTTATGCAAGGTTACGTTGAGAACCGAAGTGGCTCCCCCATGAAGTTACTAAACCAGGGTCGCGGGTGACGGCGGACGGACCGTTAATCCAGCTACAATGATTCTCTACGAGGAAGAAATATGGAGTACGGACGACTCGGTAGCGGCTGTACACACGTCGATCATGCACTGTCAATAATAAGGGGCCCGAAGGGCGAGGCTGTTCCAGTCTCACACAGGCTACATCTAAGTTTCTCTCTCAGGAACCGCTAAGCACAAGCGAACGTGGGTCACCCGGGAGAACCATCCATCGACTCGGCCATCCCGCTCTGTAGGGAGTACGAAGTACAACCTTTTGACCGCCCCGGCCACGAGTTCCGAGCTTGGATAATGATCGCATTAGGATTAATTTCGCTGGGGCAGAAATCCTGCACAGCTGATTTTTCTGTCCCTTTTGACACTACTCCGTACTATGTGTTTCTGGAATCGCTCCCCAGGCAGCCCAATCTCAAATGCAGTTCCATCTGCTCTATCCCAGGGTGATTAACATTGAACTTCCCCGTACCAACTTCCAAATGGCTTGTCTCTAGTAATCAGCCACCGCAATCGTGTGCAAACAACACCAATATCCACCATGAGAAGTTTCGGTCCGGATCCTGCCCACTCCTTACTTCCGGATTTTACATGCGAAGAAATGCAACCTGGGCGAATTGAAAAAAAGATTACCTAGGTACCTAAGTCCCTGACTTCTCCATACATCGCTGCACGGAGTATATGGATGGAGTACATGACGAGTATTCTGAGCCCAGGTCGGTGCAAACACCCCGTCTTGGTGCCTCTAAGGTCGTAAGGCTTAGTTAGTCAAACTCAGGGCATGGTGGCTGATGGCTTGTCCCGGTCGAAGTCAACCCGCCCCTTTTACTCGTAGGTTAGCATTCAAGTCATGCTCGTGGCCATGAGCAGAACCGGTTTCAGGGAGACACAATCGATGGTCAACAGAATAATAATTGATCTGTCATTGTTCCATGTGCCCCCCAGGGCTTGCTGGCATTGTCCCTGTCGACAGAGGTTCTGCACATGCAAACTTGTAACACCTGTTCCTTTGGTATCGTTTGAAACAAAGACAATGCTCGGTTCGGTCATCAAGAGGAGATCAAAGGTGGTCAGTGGTCAGTGGTCAGTGCCATGGTATGCTGTACCGTGACTGGGGATACCTAGTCAATGTGGTCAGTGTTTAAAGGCCAGCTGCCGACATGCCTCACTGGTAAAGCACATGACCTTTTGATACTCTGAGGGCTGCTTCTATGGCGACGACTCTGACTACGACTAGGACTGATCAGTACAGCCTGCATGTCATGCACGGCTTGTCGGGTTGTTGAAACCGGTCAGTACTAGGGCTTTAACAACACTGCACTGCGTTGCAGGTCCACAGGGCTATCAATCATCAGCTGCTGGCTAAGCACTGGTGAATGGACGCGCAAACACTCACCTCGCCTTCTTGCCCAGAGCAGTACTCCGTACCTAGGTATGCAAGAAACAACCTTCTGTGTCTTCCCAGATCTGGAGTTGAGGCTTCATCGATGGCTGGGTTGGCAGAAATGCAAACTGGCGGTCTCTTCACCGTCTTTTGCGATGCCGTACCCTAGTTTGAATAATTCTTGACAAGCCTCACCACTGCCTTTTCTGTGAGCTATTCTTGTTGTTACTGTTTGAAGCGAGCGCAGCACCACTGCAATGTAAGGTGCATTGCCAGCCTGGAAACATGCGCATGATGATGGTGCCAGGGTGTGTTATTGACGGCAATTTGCTTCAAAATATGCTGCAAGTTTTTCCTCTATCAGCTGCCGTCGACATTTCGCGGTTGACCACTTTGAGACAATGATTGACTGACCAATCCCAAGTCGTCCAAGGGTTTCTTTGTGTTTGAGACTGCAGGTTTGCTTGCTACCTTCACGATGGGGCTGTGTTAGTGTCTGGCCTTCCACCTTTGCTCCTGCGGGTGATTGTCAGCGTCGGAGGCTTAATAGCTGTCAGTTTTCTGGAGCCTGCCTCGCAAGTGGATCCTGGGCTTCTCCTTCCCGTCCAAACTAGATTTTATCTACTTGATTCTCCTGAAGAGCCGTCTACCAGTTTCTCAAGCACGGCGAACTGATGGAACTGCGCAACCCCTACGTACGGGGAACTCGTATACTACTGTCACCATGGGAAGTGGGGTGGGCTAGACCCGTTTAGTGATAACTCGAGGATAGTCTCAACTGGGGCCAGGTCCACCCACGCTGAACTCTCTGAGCCAGATCGGCCCAAGTCCTTCTCAACCTGATCTAGTGGTTCGTGCTTTCCTGCCCTGGCTGGGATTTGGCAGGGAAGTGAATCCAAAATCGGCTGCCGCGTTCCGCGACTGGGCGACCTGCCTAATATTTGACGGCTGTCTGCTCGAGGTGGCTGAAATGATGATGATTGCCCTTTCTGCAGTTTTCGGATCCATTGAGGAGTGACTGGCAGCCAAGTTCTCGTTCTGTTCTGTGATTGCCTTGAGTAGGAGAACCAGGAGGAACATGCATGCAACTATCACTGCCACAGAATTCGACTCCGAGACGGGCGGTCCCGCTGGTCAACTAGGGGCCCTCGTTGAGATAGCGTATGCCTGTACGGAGTATCGGGACCCAGACGGACCTTCCGAACCAAGGCTGCGTTTCGTGAGGCAGGAATGTGGGGGAGATGCAAAGAAAGTCAGCGATTCACGCAACCCAAAAGGCTCAGCAGCCAACGTTCGTTGCCAGAAAGGGGAAAATCAGAATAATTCAACCTTTTTTGTGTGGACGAGGATTGGAGGGAAATAGGGAAACACCCCTGCCCATGCCCTGGCCATCCTGGTACTGCTGGTGTTGGTGCTGGTGCTTGCGAGATGATAGTGCATCCAGGTCGAGACACTAAAGCCTGACTTAGACTTCTGCCACCAACGGCGGACGAACATCATAGTGAAATCTCATGAACTCTATCGCACCGTTCAATCCGAGCTGTCAGACCAGGCCGTGTTGGTCTTCGCCTCGTCCTGTTTGACGCGATGGTGCTCCGCTGACCAGGTAGCGCTGCATCCGCTGCAAACCTCCCTGGACGACGGACCCCGGTCGGGCCAAGGCCAACGGTAGCATTGGGTCGACTTTGACTGGCACGAAGAAAACTGGACCCATCCCGAGTTCCCCAGAACGAAGAGGGCGGCGCCATGATCCAGGGCATGATATCAAGCGGTACCCACCCGAGAACGGTGTGCGAGGTACGAGTAGGAGTAGGAGTAGAACACGAACGCCGGTAACTGCTTGCTGCTGCAGCTGCTGTAATGCAAGATGGAGGTGAGGGCATGGGCATGAGGGAACGGGGATGGGGGATGGCAAATGGAGGCGAAGCACCTGTATCCGTCAATCCTCGGGAGTGATTTGGAAGTTTGGGCGATTAGAGTTGGGACAGGTCATGATGGACAGATAGAGAGAGACACAGAGAGCGAGAGAGCGAGAATTGAAAGAGAGTGAATCTCTTCCTCAGCTCGTATGTGCCCTGCTGCTGCTGCTGCGGCCGTCGCCACTGCCATTGTCACTGCCACTGCTGCTGCCAGATCGAGAGCAAGTGCCTTTACGAGTTGTCTACTCTCCTCCTGCTTCCTTCGCTGCTGCCATTCGGCTTCAATTGTTGGGCTTGTGCTTGTGTTTGTGCCTGTGTTTGGGCTTGGGCGTGTCTGATCAGAAATTCGAAGCCCAACAAACACAAGAACCACTGTTCTTCACTTCCTCCCTCCCAGCATCAACCCCGTGTAGTACCTGGCCCGCTTTCCAGACCGCAATTTGAACCAGCCTGAGCCCAACTATCTGCTGTTCAATAGGACCGACACCGACACCGCTTTCTTTTAAAAAGCTCTTCATTGCCTACTTCCTGTCTATCACTGCCCATCTACGAGTACGACTAACTACTACCCCTACCGCTCCCTAGTGGATGTTTCCGTTCAATCTGGAACCACGCCTCTACTCGTACATCATCACGCTTTCGGCCGCTATTGATCCATTTGCTTGGGACCGTTGGTGGAAACGCCGGCGCATAATCGGTCTCGCCACAAACGACGGCCCGCCTTGTCCCCAGACGCAGGCAATACGGATCCCATTGCTGGCTAGTATTAATACTAGTAGAGACTTGTTCGCTTCTTCAGCCTGATCCAAGCTCCCACTCTTACTACAAAGTTGTCTCACCGGTTCTTTCCCATCCCCAGGTGTATGGCAGCGATACCCACTGGTTCAGTTTCCTCGCATATCACTACCGCGGTCTCCATCATCGTCAGACTAATAGTCGACCTTTCAACGCATTCCCTCTATTCTCGCTCAACGTGGATATCTCGTCGCTCATCAAGTCCCGCGAAGACGAAGACACTCACTCTACAAGTTCCCCCGCATCCGTACCATTGTCAGAGTCTGCTTCGTCCAGCGTCGCCACCAGCGTGGCTCCCGTGCCACCCACGGCTCGCTCGGTGGTGCCCGCCAAGAGACTTTCTTCGAGCCAGGAATTCTCAACCCAGTCTCCCGCCAAAAAGCAGTCCAAGTGGTCTCCAGATGAGGATTCCAAAATCATCCAGCTTCGCCAGGATGGCATGAAGTGGGAGGATATCAGCAAACATCTGCCAGGCCGCAGTGCAATCAGTTGTAGGCTGCATTACCAAAACTACCTCGAAAGGAGGAGTGAATGGGACGAAGACCGCAAGAATAAGCTCGCGAGGTTGTACGAACGGTATGTTGAGAAACGTCGCACCGAATCTCCATCTACTGTCAAAAACCTTATCCCAGCCTTGCCTGAACCCAAATCCTTTGACTGACTTGCTCTCCAATCTAGATTCCGTGCTGATATGTGGGCCAGAGTGGCTGAAGAGATGGCCATGCCATGGAGAGCTGTCGAAGCAATGCACTGGCAGATGGGCGAACATGAGATGGCCAAGCGCGCCGGCGTGACACCATTTTCTCTGACCAACCCTTCCAGCGTCTACGATTCCGGCAACATTGGTCTTGGGCCCGGTCCGCGTTCTCACCTGCGCCATGTCGGTCCAGCTCCGCGTCTCCGGCGTGAGTCCATGCCTCCTGAAGCAGCTTTCCACGGGACCCCGCAGTTGCCCTCGTTGGCAGAACTTACCGCTGGACTGCCTGCGTACGCGACTCCGCCCTATCAGCCTTCAGATCCCTTTCACCACCACCTGTATAACCACCCCAAAGGACGCAATACACCCTTTCGATGACCATGGGTTTCCAGGCAAATTTCCTACTCCAATAAATGAATTGTATGGGAAGCGAGATGGAGTGCAGGCGCAGCGATACAATTTCGGGATATAATACATTGGTGATTTGTCGACTTTGAGCAACGGAGTGTTTTCACGCAAGCGTGGAGGGCGACAGGTTGTAATATAGATGAGATACCCACAATGACGGCTGGCGGGGTTCCCCCCAGAGGTCAATCATGAGAACTTGCCACATGAAGGCCTTTCATATCTTTCGCTCGATGATCACCCACCAATTATCCCGATCATAGCCAGATTTGACAATATGGCCGCCAGCTACGGTCGCATCGTCCTGGATCTCGCCTTCTCGATATAGGTGATAGAACCGTTGGTAGGTCGTGGGATGGCTAGCCGGACCGGCTTTTCCATCCGGCTTGAGCACCCATGGAACAAGGACATCTTGATCATCTCCTTGACCCCAACCTCGCCGGCTCGTTTTCTGTTCCAAAGCCCAGACAAATATCAATGCTTGACCTGCTCCTGATCGTTCGCTGGGAGGTTTAAGTGTCTGCAGGATGGTCTCTAGAGCCTCGACGCGGCGCTTTCTCGACGAGAGATGATGGATTACCGCGATGGAGATGGCAAAGTCAAAGTTCGCCTGGGGGTGCGGGAGATGCAGCGTATCTGCAATAATCGCATTATGTGGCTCGTGCTGGCCCGCAATCTTGACCAGAGCGTTGGACCTGGTGGAAGACAATGAGCATACCGTACCATACGATATATTTAGGTTTGGAAGCCCTCTCCCCATCACAAACCACCTACCTGTCCGAGGCTACAATAAAAACATCCTTGTTGACGGCCAAGTATTTCCCGTTGCCACAGCCGATATCCAGCCCAACAGACCCCGGTGGGCGTGTCCTCAGGAAGTCGTCCACCACCGGCCACGGCTACAACCAAAAAAGAACCAAAAGCTCGTCAATAAGTGTTTTCATAGGGGGTGTGAGATTTCTTTGAGTTGAACCGAGCTCCTCCATACAATGTAATGTAATGCCTGAAAGGGAGGGCCCGAATCGCGTCGAAAAGCCGTGTGGACTAAATCAGAGGGGAAAAGAGAAAAGGGAAGAATAGCAAACCTTGTATCGGGTGGACGAGAAATGCGCTGCGATTTCCTCGTACACTTCGTGGACGTGTTTCGTCTCGTATTCTAACTCTTTGGAGTCTCTGGGAATAGCCAGCATGTTTCACTGCTCCTCTGACGAGCTGATGATGCGAAACTGAACCCAGAAATCGAGTGGGAAGGAGGCCGGTTGGTACAGGTTTGGTACGGAGCACAGCTTGGAGATAAAACGATGCATCTAACGAGTCGGATCCGTGGCAAAAATTTGCACTAACCCAATTGCCGGCAATAGCCGACACCCGCAGCAGGACTCCGGATATACTACTTCTCCGAAAGCCTTCCCACCGAATTTGAACACACCAGATCAGACTGAAATTCTCGACGGATTATTATTAGTATTGCTAGCATTGGGGCGACCGACTACGTTAGCGTCTCAGGTTGCTTGAAACTCCTCCAAGAAGCTAGTGGGCCTGCAAGCCACGGCATCATACAGAATAGATGGATGTTGTTGGAGTAAAGGTGTTGACAATAATCAATGCATGCTATATTCTATTAACCAGGTGGCAGGCCGCCGGGTACTAGGCCAGCTCAGCCAGATTGTAGCCCGAGTCAGTACCGCGAAATATCAGTTACCGATCTGCTCTGGCCAGTGATCACAATAAGCCAAAATTCATATTCTAGATGACCTCGACGACTTCCCCTCCAAATTATGTCGGAACTCTGTTGGTTGGAGACCCAATAAGGGTCAGAATCCCCGAGCTTCTGATCATTAAAGCCAATGCGATTGCGAGTAAAGGAATCTAGGAATGTCATGTTAGCAAGAACCCAAAAATCATCGCCAAATCTCGCACACACGTACCCAGAAGAAGAATAATTTCCTGTCTCGACTTAACTCGATCCTTTCAATCGGTGGATTGGTCGAGAACCGAGACACGCCATGTGAAGAGCTTGCTATTTCCTCGCGTTGCCCAAAGTGAAGGTCCGCTGCAGCCTCGGCGGCAGCCTCGATTATTACCGATTTCTTGACGCTCCAATCAGTGGACATACCCTCTTTATCGGGGTACAGCTCGCCATAAGCGGGTGGTGAAGAAGGTGTCGGAGATGAGGCACCTGTTAGTGTCTCCCACCAACCTTCACGATTACCACCTTGCTGCCTGGAGTTCGGACGTTGCGGCCATAGTGAACTAACTCGTCGAACCATCAGATTCGCCTGGTAATCTTGCAGCGTCGCCAACGGGCCATTCATGTTGCCAAGGTTTGGCATCACCGATTGGGCACTTTCGTTGAACTGATGAAGCTGAGCCACGAGATGGTCGCGCCAGGCCAACATGAAAGCAGACACTGCCACAGCAGGTGCAGAGGCTCCCTGCTCCTTTGGAGGAAAAGTCACAGGAGGCACAGCGTTATACTGTCCACTATTTCTCCGTGACTGGGGACCACTAAGGACTGCTTTGCGTGCATTCACCTGATTCATGGAATTCCCACGCTCCAAATCTTTGGACGATACTATCATGGATATCTCGTCACCATCGCTTTCGGAGTCGTCTGAATCATCCGACGCACCTAGATCCGTGGAGGTCTGTACGTTAGAAGCATTGTCCCAGAAAGAGCGCAGGGACGAGGTGCTCCGACTATGTAGCATTATCGGCGTGGCTCCGGCGCTTCGAGATCGATAGTGCTCCATGGCACTCATCGTGGCTTGGTAAGAGAGGAGCGATGTGGCGAGGTCAGCAGGTGTGAAGTTTCGAATGCTGCGAATCTTATGATCTGCGCCAGCCAGCCGGAGACGATGGATGACATGCGTATGTCCATTCATTGCGGCATGGTGCATAGGTGTATGCCCGTTGTTGTCAGTCAAATTTGGATCTGCTCCCCTGGCGAGAAGTCCTGCAACAAATCGAGTGAGGCCCAGGGAGGCAGCCAAATGCAACAGAGTGAGCCCGGATGGCCTCCGGACATCAAATCTTGGAGGTCTGACACGTCTAGCATCGTCCGTGTGTTCTAACACACGTAACATTGAGGCTTCTAGCTCAAGGGCATCAATTGGGATGCCTTGGTTAGCTCCCGAGCCTCTTTGATGTCCACTGCCCATGCCATAGTTGCCATGAGGGGGCCACATCGCATGAGCCTGACCTTGTTGAATAATTTGTTGTGCTGTTGTCCACGGGTCTTCAGTTGGGTGAGCCATCTGTTTGCCGACAGTAGTAAGAGCGAGACGATAAGTCTCCAGTTCTCGGTCATCAACATAGGTAAATAAGGAAGGTCGTGATTGAGATTGCTGCTGCATACCAGTGAACTGGCTACGGTCGTGTTTGAAGAGTACGGCGACAACACCGGGTTGTAAGGCCGGAGGAGCAATGCAATTTAGGCATTTCTCACCCCAGAACGTTGTCGTTGTAGCCTCGGTGTCACCAAACATGACCTCCAAGCCTTGGTAGAAGCCATTGCCGAGAACTGTGACTTCTGTCCCACCCGTGACCGAACCTTCTGCAGGAACAAGCTTATGGATTAATGGAGGAGGGCGTCGTGTGGGTTGGCCCTGTCCTATTAATGAGTTGGTGACGGCTTGCCCAAAGGCAGCATCCGCTGCTCCGAAGCTGTTGCGTGCCGATCCTGGGCTACCAGGTCGACTGGGCTGGCGAGAAGGAGGGGCAGAGATCAGGACTTGACGCGGCAAATTTTCCAAGCTGAAAGAGCGGTTGACGTTGGACAAGAATGATGTGTCATGCCCGTTTGGAGTTGGGGGGCTGGTGCCGAATGGAGCCGATCTTTGAGGTACAGCGAACGGTCTATCACTGTGGCTAATGTAGGCGGACATATTTGGGGCGTAGGGGGAGGAAGCGGCTGTGTTAGGCATCGTTGCAGGCGCAGCAGACGCTTGCGAAGTATCCAGGCGGGTCATGGTCAAGCCAGATGGTAATTTCCCGGAGCCACTTTGTTTTCTCCGCTTGGTGTTTGGTCCAGAGGGGCCATTAGGAGACGCGGGACGCGAAAGGTTCCTCGGCGTGAGCGTGGTTGATGTTTGATTCGAGAGTGTAGAGGAAACCGCAAAAGGGTTACTCGATGGGGCCATCGGAAAGTTGGGATTGAAATTATGTTGCAAGCCATGGAGGTCTGTAGTAGAGAAGGACTGCTTGAACGACTTGGTATTCAGGGCACTTCCATGAGGTGCTTCTGGTCCAGTGGACGAAAATACCCCGGCGCCAGGTAGCTGAGGTCCTTGAGTTGACAATGGATTGGGCACGCTGGTTGCGACTGCTGGAACATTGTGCGTTTTGTGATCGTCAGTGATCATAATAGGATTGGTCATGGCTTGGGCGATGACCTTCTCTCGATAGTCTTTGATGGTGAAGATGACTTGGAAACCCATCTTTTCATTTTGATGTCGGCAATAGCAGGCTATGCGCATGGGCAGCTCAACTTGGACTGGGCCCGTGGAAGTCTGGCCGTCGGGTCCTTTGATCAGACGCGCTGGATTTTCGGGGGCAGCTTCAACCCATTCCTTAATCTCGTTTGTGTTGAAAACGACCACTCTCCGCTCTTCATCCCGTTGAAACATTTCTTCCTCCTCTGGTTTCTTTTGCTTCTTTCTAGATGCTCTCTTGCGCTCTCTCTGAATACAGCCAGTACAGATTCGGACTTCCCCCCCATTCAATGGTTTGTCCTCATCGTCTTTGGATGTTTGAGAGTCATTAGATGAGGCGGGACTTGGCCGTGTATAAGGACTCAGGTCTTCGCCTCTAGCCCGGGCCCATGCCCTCTGCAACTTGACAGGATCCTGCATGGCACTAGTGCAGACCAGAGAAGTGTGTAGCTCGTAGATGTCCGCAGAGCGCTCTGGCTGGGGTTTCGCGAGGAATTTTGGCTTTGATACGGTATGTCTCGGAAGCCTCACCTTCTTGATGGCTGCGGGCAGCTGGGACAAGGTTAATTTGATTGGGATCTGAGTCTCCACGCGGGATTTGAGAGAGGTGGGATGAACGGTGAGGAGAGGCGCACCCTCGGCAGAGTTTATTGTTGACGGTGGTGATGAAGTGTCCTTATTGAACGTAGAAGGTGTTGTACTTGACTCGGGATCGAACGTGAAACCCGTAGCTGAAAATTGCAGATTAGGGGAGAAGGTCGCATTCCCGGGCGAATCACCATTCATGGTGATATGGTTGAATGTTTCCTCCAGGCCAGAAGAAGGCGAATGCTTGTTCCAGGGGGACTGACCCTGGTTTGGGAGCATTGCATTGAGAGGGGAAGCTTCTCTAGATCCAGGGAAGAAGAACTGAGGTTGGCCAGGATTTGGGAATGCCTTCGTTGAAGGCTGTTTGGGGAATGTGGTGTAATTTGGCTGTCGCGCCAAATGCTGGGGAGCGATGGAGGGCTTGAGATTGTTCGCTGTCAGGGGGTCAAAGCCACTTGGTGTGCTGGCGGCAGTGTCAAAGTCAAAGTCTGAAGCCATCTGCTGGTTACTCGTTTCGAAGTCCGGATCCATACCGGCCATCGCGGTATCGTCGAATATCTGCTCATTTGAAGGCATGGAGAAGCCGTTGATTCCACTTCCCCATGCGGCCTGGAGGTTGTTATGAGCACGGGGCGAGATATTTGATTCCTTTGCATTATTCAGCCAGTAGTTTGGAGAGTCTGACGAAGAGCTGCTGGAACCGGAACCGGAGCCTCTTGGCGAGCGCGAGAAGGCGGAATTTGAAGGGAAGGCGGTAGAATCGTCGGCCTCGCGCTTGATGGACAGGTCATTTGGATTGAGGAAAACAGCGTTGCCGTTCTGGACGCTGGAGTCGGGAGCTGGAGAAGTCAAGAAAGTATCGAAATCTTGGCCGGCGAAAGATGGGGTCTGATCCAGGCCGCCTTGGAAGAGGTACATATCATCTTCCTGTGTTGAAGCCATCATAAAGTCGTCCTAGTCGGAGCGGAAGAAAGGGCTCGACGAAGCTAGGTGAGAGCTAAGTCATGTTTTGCTCGAGGTGGGATCGCGACGGTGATGTTGAGTTGGGCAAGGTCTGAGAGGGGTGATGAGGGATTCAAAGGGCACTATGGTGCTGGCTGCCGGAGAGAACGCGACGTAAGTCAAGGCGTCCGAAGGAGGCAAGAGGTAAGTAAGAAGATGGTGGATGGCCGATGGGCAAGATGATGGCGTGTGTTGGTTGCGGAGGCAAGCAGTTAGCGCTGCGAAGGAGAGATCTGGAGGTGTATGGGTGATTGTAGGTAGCCAAAGCACCTGGATGGCGTCAGTTGAACTGGTGAAGGCACACAGCACAGCGCAGGCAGTGCAGTGGTAACGGCTAAGTGGTGTCGTTAACTGGCGGCCGTGAGCGATGACAGCGGTCGTGGTGATGGTGTAGGGACAGTTGGAGTTGAGTTGTGTGGGTCGAGAACTAGTGAGAACCGGAGTGAAGTGAGTGCTGCTATTAAGTTGAAGTGACAGAGGTGTCCCGGTAGGCTGTTCCAGTTTGAGCAATTATTATTACGAGGTACGCAGAACGATTTCTGTTGTGGAGAGAACTTGGCTTGTGAATGAGGAGGTGGTGAGAGAGTTGGGAGTGAGCGGGTCCCCGCCGCAGGACAAGTCTTGGCAATAGCCGGTTTAGCCGCCCGCTAACGGGTCAAGCGCTTGTGACTAATTTGTATAGTGCGAGATAGTTTATTTCGTCTTCCTGGCCAGTTTAGTGCCCAGATGGTTAGCAGCTTACTAGTGCCCACCTAACAGACTACCAGTCATAAGCTGCTAATTGACTACTCCTAATAATGCCATCCCGCTTTGCCTCCTGAGTCCTGCTAGGCTGCCGTAGGCGACTGGTGCGGCCACCCGCGGAAAGAGCTTCGTCTAACACTCCAGAGGCACCCAGTGAATATCTTTGCCTTGCCCGTAGCACAATATAGCATGGAGATCCTACCTTAACCCCACTGTTTGATGAAATCTGAGCGGACACTCTACTCAAGTTTGGCGAAGGTGCCATCACCAACGTGGGGTCCGGGTCCTGGTCCCGGCCACGGTACCATACTGAAAGTTGGTGTTTCTCAGGTGGAACCTAGGTACGGAGCAGCTAGGTTTTTCCCTTCCCCATCTTCTGTTTGGTGTGTCATGTACCTTGGAAATCAGAGTGTTTAGTTGATAAAACCATTGCCACTACCACTAGCAGTACCGGGTATAGTATCTCATACTCTGCAGCATCAACAACCATCCATCCTCATACGAGTACAATCTAGAGAAAATGTTGAAGAATTCGCCAGCCATCCACATTGCACTCGCTAAAATGCGCAATAATCGACGTCCAAACATGAGCCTGTCCCAGCCTACCGAATGCGCCACCATCGGATAAATTTGCTACACCATGCAACCAGAGTTTTGCCGACATCGGTGAGTACATAAGACCTGTGTTTCAACCCTTTTTTTTGATTGACTTATTACCGTTCAGATTCCTTGTTTGGAGTTGGAATTTGGCAGACTAAAGGTACATGACGCCTGTAAATCGGTCCAGCAGTTATTTGGTGCGCAAACTTGGCCGCATTGACCAGAAACTGCGACTGTTAAATCTCGAGTGACCCGTTCAGAAGTTCCAATCACTACCAATTTGCCACCTGTTGTCAAGCAAAACCGAGGTCACCCATGTCAACTGGTGCCTGCTTCTAGGGTAAGAACCCGAGTACTCCATACCGAGGGATTTGATACATCGACCAAGTACCATGCTGTGCAAATTAGTGCATATCATCCCCACGCAAACCCAGCTTGTTGTGCAACCCCCCCACGGATTTATTCTTTGCCATGTATGCACATTGCTCATGCCTTAAGTAGTGAACTGGGGTGGCCAAAGGAGGTTTTCCTGCTTCTCCGAGTCAACCGGAATGCACTGGCTGGTGATGTTACTTGCAAAGTTGTCGCTGGTCAAGAAGAGACACACCTTTGCGACCGCTTCTACTGATACTGGCTTCCGGAGGGCGACCGTGGCTTTTGCTTCTCTCCATTGCGCTGCTCTATCTTCTTCACACTCCTTCAGGTATTGTTCCGTCTGAATGGGACCTGGAGCAATTGCATTGACTCGGATATCCGGTCTGATATCAACTGCGTCCCGCGCAAGGGATCTCAGAAGGCCTATCTGAATGGCCGCTTTGCTCGCAGCATATGGAGCACAATGTGGCACCCCGAAGCGTCCAGCCTCGCTCCCAAAGACGACTGCCGATAAGTTCTTTTCTTGTGTTGCATAGTCTCTGATCCCACGCAGCCACTCACGACAGGTGAGAAAAGTACCGTCAACGTTTACGTCCAGGACCCTTCTCCAGTCGGCATGAGACATATCCACGAGGCTACCACGTGGCGCAAAACTGAGATCCAATCCAGCTGCAGCAATCAATATCGCAGTGGCTCCAAACTTGACTCGGTGCTTGTTTGAAGCATGCATGTACCTGTGACTCGTTGGTCACATCGGCGACCATAAAATTATAATTGTGATGGAGTACGAGATCTTAGGGTTCAACTTTATCAACTCCAGTGACCAGACCATGAGACCCGCTCAGGCTGAGACTAATGTCTATGGGTTTGAATTCTGCCATGCTTGCTTTCATACCTAATGTGAGCTAACTAGATGCCACCATAAGAAGCTCCTCTTGCATATCAACTGAGGATGACACAATCATGAGTGCGCAACGGCCTCGGTGAGTCGGTGTTTGAAAAGCCGAAGGATTTAAACTTTCCGCCTTGGTTATCAACTTGGAGGTTCACCCAAAGTTCCCCGCAGCATTTGCACAAACGGATTTGCACCGTTGGCGTTTTCTCATACCAATCAGCATCTATCTGGGGACCATCTTATACACCATCGGCATTCTGACAAAGACAATTGGGGAGTTTCAGCGGAAGAGGTTCAAGGACAAGCCCGAGATTGTAGGAAAGACCTGCAAGAGTGGCCTTTTCTCCAGTCGGCCTTACTTAGGCTACTCACTGTGACGAGCAGGCTATGCTTTGAGCTCGGGCGCACCGGTCTTGAGCGCAAGGGTTAGCTTCGTTTCTCATCTATGTTTTGTTACGAGAGCCATCCCGGTCATGGACAACGATATGAGTTGCAGGTATGGTGAGCATTGAGTCAAAACCAAGCGCGACGTCCCGTATGCATTAGTAGCTGGAGTATGGTGAAATGAATCCACGCAATGACATTCATGAACTGAATACGAGGCACAAAGTTAATGCTAGGAAGTGATCTTGTCCAAGCAATTCCAGCATATTTCCACGTCCATTTTTACTGGTAACGCGAAGGTGGCGACCCTCTTCCCACAGATTCTTCACTCTCATCATAAGTCGGCAGTGTTCCCTTCGGTACAACTTCGCGCTCCCGCTCCTCGTGTGCCAATTGAAAGCGTGCCCGTCTGATCTCGAAGGCAATCACAAAGATCAGGTAAAGGAGGAACATGGAGCCAGCAATAGTGCCGTAGGCGATACTGGCCTTTTGCGAAGTTGCATCGGTTTGGAAGGGACTGTATGATGCTAGCCTGATCCCAAGTCCCCCATTGATGATTCCTAAGGCGATCAAGATGCGCCCGATCCAGAGATGAATTCTTCCTACGGGGGTCCGACCAGGGGCTTGACTTGGCTTGCCCGCGCCAGAGTTTTGTGCTCTTTTCTTATAGATGCGATGGTGGACAAAGCCGAAGATGGGCTGGAGAAAGGCAATGGCCAAGATGGCAAGGCCCAACCTGGGATGAGGGTCATTCCAGATACCAAACGCTGCCGATTGCTGGGCAAGCCATACACCCATCCCAGCAGCCGCGATGTAGATGATATAGCTAACAACCTGTCCAATGGCGTGGAGCTTGAGGATAGTGGGGCTTTTCAAGTTTAACCTCAACAATATCGCGAAGGAGGGAATGAAGATCACCCAAACGAGTGAGGCCAAGACTGCATGTGCAATGAGGATTCGGGTTGCTTTGTTGAAGCTAGCTTCGGAAGAGAATAGGGCTCCTTGGTTGATGTTGTTGCTATTATCGTCATTGTTGTCGTTGCCGTTGTCGTTGTCGCCGTTGTCGTCGTTCCACCACGGCGGTCTGTTCCCTCCATAATTGTCACCACCCCAGCCGTGTCCGGCCTGAACGACACCGACAAGCAAGACAGATGAGAGAACGAGGAGCGCGGTGCTGCGGACCATCTTTCTGGTGCGGACGCTGCGTTTCAGGCGAGTGGTTGCTTGTTGCGGAATTAGATGCTAGGTCGAAGAGAGCGCTTTGCACAGAGCAAAGGGAAGGAAGACGTGGGAACGAAATCAATTATGGGTGTGCTGGGTGAAACGTTCTTCATGATAATTAAAGGTCCAACATCCGCAGGGCGGTGCCCTTGGAAGTCCGAGATCTGCAACAGGGGTAGTTGTTTGTGACGATCATTCTGGCGGCCTCACATAGCGATGCTCTGGATGGTCACGAAGACGGAACACGAAGATGGGGGCACTGTTTTACCATTTATAGAGTGTGGCACTGGGTGGCCTATCAGCGTCGAAGTAGGTGCTGGAAAGGCATTATCAAGTCAGCTGTGATTGGAAGAAGCGAGTGACGGAGAGGATGGACACGCGGCCAAAGAGTTGGCAGCGACGCAAGATCAACAAGGGGGCTCCTTCCTCTGTAACAGCACTGTACTAATTGGCCGTGACTCCGGAGCTCGGACTTTAATCCATCCACCACCCCACAACCTAAGCTACCAATTCCGTCAATATAAAACTGGCTTACTTATCTACGAGTAATGTACTACTCGTACTCCGGACTCACACCTTTGACAATCATCGCTAGGTACCTAGCCCATACACTGTTGACTATATAACCACCTAAGGCCTAGTCCTATACATGTAGTAAGCCCGCACAGCTCGGCATTATCCCCATCTTAACCCCCTCCTCCCCTGTTGCGGTTATCATTTCGGTATCTCCCCAGCCATGTGGCCGCTTCATGCTCAAGATCACACCAAGAACGGTGACCAACGAGATCCTGCAGGACTCATGTCCGCACTAGTTCGTATACTCCACTTCTAATCCCCTTTCGTCCTTCTCTCTTTTTGTAGGTTTAAGGCGGAGGTGCCGCCGATGCACACCTGCAAGACCAGATTACCGACCTGAGGTGCCCCGATGACTACCTAGGTACTCCGTACCTAACATCATGCACTGAGCTCGGCTGCCCAATTCACCCCGTCTAGGTATGTAGGTAAATCTGAAAATGTAATGACGGCACCGGCCCCCTTTGCATCCTCTCCTCGCCACCTATCATCTGATCACCTGACTTCTTCCTTTTGTCTGACAGCTTTTCTCGCCTCCAGCACTTTTCAAGGTTCGCCCGAATTTCACTGCCATGATCGAAAGATGAGACACAAACCATATCACGGTCAGAGTGAGAATCAAGCGAGTTCCTTTACCACCATAATTGAACCTGGACTTTCGAGCGCTATTAGCATCTTGTTGTTTCCCTCTCGGGGTCTTGACATTCGCGTGAATACAATTCGTTGATTCACCTGAGGACTGCCTTGTTTCAGCGCAGAAACCAAAATGCTTGGATCTGTGCTTCCAGCCTCGATTCCACTTCAGAGAGCTAGATGAACAAATATTATTCCTGGCAACACGGGAGGCCAGACGACATTCCTTCAGGCCAATTCAACTTTTGCGCCACCAACAACACACCATGTCAACACCTGCTCGCCGCTCGGGACGTCAGCGTAAAGTCAACCCCAAATATTCCAATGATGCATGGGATAAAGAAACCATACGTATCCTTCGCGCCTCATCCGAATCATCCGGTTCTAGTCCTCCCGTTCATTCAGCTTCAGATGAAGGCCGTGATGAGCAGCTTGTTCAGCAAGGTGCGCATGCTCTAGGATCAGACGACGAGGCCTTCTCTATGCGGTCTGCGGAGTCACAATCCCCTGAGGTCGAATTTCCCAACACCGACGAGGACGAGTACGATGGTAACATAAAATTTGCGGCTAACCAAACCCCTGCAAGCCCGCAGCCCGCCCTCACGTCTCGTCTGCCGATATCGACAGATCTCAGCAGTACCGTACATTGTCGCGGTGTTACTAGCGACACATTCAAGTCAGGTTCAAAGGAAGTCATATACCATGACACTTTTGGCCCTGCTGTCGATGATCTTGGCGATGTCCTTCGAGCCCGAGATATATGGCTCAAAGGACGGGATATTACTATTCCCAGTCGACGGACTCTGTCGGAGGCTGCGTTACCAAGATCAAATGAAACAGTGCCTGATACCAGAGAACCGATCTTCCGTTCATTGTCTGATAGGCAGCTACTAGAGCACATCAAAGGCGGCTCTGCCCAAATCAAGTGCTTGATTAACCAGAAATTACCCCATTTGACCTTCATGGGTCCATATGGAAAGGAGCAAAAATTCAAAATTGGACAGGGCCATTCCCTAAATTTTGGCAAGGCTTGGATGAAAGGGAGCGAATCCAATGGAGAATCTCTGACTTCCTACCACAGAGGCTGGATTCTTAATCTTGGCCAGAACGTACAAAGTATTTCCTGGGCCCCCACAGCTACAGCAGCGCAATACCTTGCTGTGACCTGTCGATGTACATCGGTTCAACGAGAAACCACAGTAGAACAGACATTTGGCGCGCCCTCATTCCAGCCATCTCCTCCGTATCCCTCCAATATTCAGATATGGAAGTTTGCAACCAAGGAAACTCGTTTCTCTTCCGTGCGTACACTCAACATGCACCTTCAACCCCAACTTGTCATGGTCATTGCAACTGAATGGGGCAATCTCCACCAGCTACGTTGGCAACCATCTGAGAGTGCCACGGACGTGCACCAGAAGGACGACGGGTCTGAGAGCGAGTTCCGTGGTGTTCTTGGCGTACTCTCAAGTGATGGCCATGCCAGATTACTCGCCATATCCATTCCAGACGAAGTAGACGATGCTCAACCCCCGGTGTTTCGACCACAACGAGTTGGCTACGATATAGCTCCTCCTCCAGGGACAATATTTACTACATTTGCGTTTGCTACGCCGACTGATATTGCCTTCGGCTGCACCGATGGATCCCTTCACCTCTTCGACCTGAGTGAATCAATCGCCGAGAATACGTCTCCCATGAGTTACATGACATGTTTATTGCATAACACATATGTCATTGCAGTGACGCCAGCCTCGCCAATCCAGCTCTCTCACTTTATTTGCAGTGTTTCTGCCGCCGGCGACTTAGTTCTGGTCGATCTACGCAGCCCGGAGCAAGACCATATCTCGATCCATCGGGCATGCTTTCCGAACCGAGACCTCGTCTATTCTCCGTTCACTCGCTCCTTCATCACTGCTCTCGACAGAGCTGGAAGTACACATATTGATTCCAGCTCAGCGACATTCATCATGTGCCACCATCTCCGACACTTTTACGTCAGTCTTCGAATTGCGAAGCTGCCGGAATACAGCGGAACGGCCACGGCATTGGCCGCGTCGCAGTGGCATCCCTGTATTCTAGCGGGGAATGCACAGGGCACTGTTGTGGCGACAAATTTCCTGCGCAAAGTCCTCCCGCAATCGCGCAGCGATTCGGCAAAAGCCAAACCAACCGGGGCATATATCCAGAAAATATGTGAGTACGAATGGCGCCCGCTAGACAGAAACGAGCTTCGAGAGGCTGGAGTGGAGAATTTGGAAATGAAAATAGAGTCCAATGGCTCGCCCGGGAGTCTCTATCACGGCCACGACGTGCGAGCTGGTGCATCAAAGTTCAGTGAAGGATTCAGCCCGGAAAAGATAGATGTTGGACATGCAACTGCAACGAAGAAGAAGGCTAAGACGCAGGAATTGGGAGCCGCCGAAGCGATCTTTGAGGAGGAACAAGCTGTCAGGTCGATTGAATGGAATGTTAATGCACACTGTGCGGGTCTTGCTGCCATCGGGTGGGGCAGTGGAATATTAAGGATCCAAGACCTCGCTCACGATTTGGATTGATGATAACTTCCTCCTGACCTGAGGAGGTAACAACAGCACTCCCTAGTTGGGAACCGTCCATTTCAGTACGTGCAAGATTTGTAGGAAATGCAAAGAACAATCTGTTTCTGGGATCCAACATGAGCGTTCACAGCCATTCTGCCGGCCGTTGAATATTGGACATGCGATAGCGGATGCTGTGCTTGAAGATGAATGTAGAAAAATTGTGTCTATTGCGATCATGCATCATTGCATTTCTGCCAGAAATTGATGATTTCTTCTTGAACCCTTTCATTTTGCTCAGGACAGCCTGCTGTTCGCCCAGCAGTCCTCTAAATTACATTCATTGATACCAGGTGAAGCACTTGCTCTTGACTCCGTATGGGATGGATGGTGTTTACATGACCAGAATTGCCCTAAGAACTCGCCTTTTTTCCCTTTTCAGGAATGCCACTTTTCCCTGGATCCTGACGCAATGCTGAAGAACTGGAGAAGCGAAAAGCCAAGCCCGCCACTAATACGGATTGCTCGTGATGAGATGGCTGGCTGGCACCGACCCAAGATGCGCATCGAGGGGTACATGCATGGTCGTACTCAAGCCTGAAGAGAAAGACAGATTAGGCCGGAAGTTCAGCTTTTATCACCTCGCGGGCCACCACGCGCACCCCTCGGTCCCCCTCCTCCTCGTCCACCGCGATCTCCTCGTCCGCCAGCTCGACCACGTCCTCTGAAGTCGCCACGCCCACCACGCCCACCGCGACCACGACCTCGATCGCGTTTCACTTGTTCAAATCCGTCATTCTCCGAGGTGGGCTTCTCTTCAGCAGCGGCACCAACCTCTTCGGCCCAATTGGCAGTACCTTGGACAGCTGCAGGCGTCGCGGCAAGACCAGTCTCTGTTTCAGCTGGGTCGCGAGGAACCTGAACCCATTCTTCATTAGTAGCACTTGTGTCTGTCACGACAGATGCTTGAGGATCCCACGAGGCTTCCGCGATCGCATTGGCAGCGTCCGCTCCAGTGGTAGACTGTTCTGGTACAGGGAGGACGTCGGACTCGGACTCGCTGGCGTTGGTAGTTGGTAGTGTCGTCGTGTCGTTGAGTTCAGTGAGTCCTGCATTTGCGACGGTGGAATCGGTTGGAACGTAGGAGGCCGCAGGCTTAGGTTCGGTGGGCTGAGAATCTTCCTCCTCTTGATTAGTAGTCTGAGCTACATCGTCAGCACCTCTAAGGGCGGACTCTTTGACTTGAGCGTAAGTGTAGTCGAGGACCTCGCCACTAACGTCTGGAACCTTCTCATCGACACCATAGACGAGACTCTTCAAAGTCTCGAGCGACGCTTCGTTGCCCTGGTACACGAGCAATAGGGTACCCTCAAAGGCACGAGATTCGGCAGAATCGACGTCTTCAGACTGACGTTTAGATGCCGCAGCATGCAAGAAGTGATTGATGACTCGCAAAGCATCCTCAACAGCACCGATTTTGATCTTGTCCGTCTCTTGGCTCGCCTTCTCCTTGACCGCTACAATCTCAGCCTCATGTGCCTCGGTCAGGCTTGACTTGTCTTTGGCGAATCTGTCCTCTAATTCTTGAGCAAAGGCTCGGAATGCAGCAAGTTGGTCCTCGAGCTGTGCTAGCTGTGCTTGAAGTGCCGGTTTTTTGAGGATCTGTGCCTTTTGATCGGCATTCAACTTCTTGGAGGCCACGAGATCGTCGAGAGCAACACCAGGGTTTTCCGCGATGACGGTGTCAGCCTTAGTGGAAGCAGCTAGCTTCTTGTGAATGTTACGTATATTTCTAGGCGAAAAGTCAGCTAAATAATCCTTGGTGGTGTTGGGGAGGTGTGCAGACTTTGTCAAGTCTTTGATGAACTGGCTATCGGTTTGAGATTCCATTCCATTAGTGTGTGTGTCAACTAGAACAGTTTCAGCTGGAGGAGTTGCAGCACCGCTAGGGGCAGGAGCAGTCTCGCCCTTGGCTTTGCGCTTCTTCGCAGACTTGGAATCTACGGGAACAGGAGCGACAGCAGACATTTTGAGATAGTTGGAGAAGATTCTAGGTTGCGCAGTTCTTGGGAGGAGAGACTGAGGCAAGAATGGAGCTGTTGTCTGGAAATGAGGTGTTCAAGAGGTGGAAGAGACGGTGCGAGGGAAGTTTGGAGATGATCTCTAGAGTATTCAGTCGTCTGAAGTTGACAATGATGCTCGCGTGCTTGTTAGTCTTGAGACTGAGAAGTTTCCAAGTTCAATGTCGGGAGAGTTGGACTTGTGGATTTGTGACTGGCAGGTTAGAGGCACTAGCTAGCTGCGCTAGTAATTTACCTAAACTAACGGAGTTCATATATCTCGCCAAGAAAACCTGTCCGCCTCTTAACCACTAGTACGAGGATTGTCGGCTACTCCGGTAGCACTCGGTATTACGTACTCACTGTCCATGCCTGTGTACTAGAAAGTAGCTCACGAATATAAGGGAGCCGAGTCCAATCCGCAGTCAATTACGAGTAGTACTGGATCCCCTAGGTACCTACGTACAATACTTGAACGCTCGTGTACTTAAGGACCAAGACCAACTCCGTAGTATTGATGCAGAATCGACTAGGCGCCGGGACATCTAGGAAAGGGCGTTGTAAAAGTCGATTCTCACAACTTCCTCGCTTTCAGATTCTCAAAGCACCTTCAGATATCTAAGTTGCGATGAACTTGAACTCCCACTAATCTTCAGTGCAAGACATTACATTCACGCGTTGTCGTCCCATAGTCTTGGAGGTATTCATCCCCCAAGATCCGTAGGTAGGTAGACCCTGTTGAACATTAATCGTCGGATTGACAACAGCTCGTGGGGCATCGAGAGTTCCCCGTCAGCTTCATGGTAGGGGCGCCTCCTAGATCTGAACAAGAGAATACTGGCCCGTACGTGATGCGGAGGCAACAGAACCCGTCCGAATTTGAATCGCCTCCTGCCCTGCACCTCGTCCTGAAATTGTGCATACCAGCAGGCATTATACTTTTTCTATGCATGTAACGGATTTTGACACGGCAAATATTCTTTGATCCCATGGCCATAGGCGAACAAGGTTGACGCAGACGAGGTGCGGTGCTCAGGGATCCGAAGTGGCAGTCGAATTTGAATGGTCGATCATCCACTGGTGTACTCTTTAAAGGGAAGAGCATCGATATGCCAAAATGCGTGTTGCATGTGGCAGGGGTTCAGCCCTTGAAGCGGCGTAGGGTGGTCTTTGATTATTGTCAGCAGAGCTCCAAAATCGATTGTCCCAATTATCAGGGATGGGCATACCAATGTAACTTTCCGAATATCCTTGGCTGCGATTCTCTTCTCGCCGTTACCTCGAGCCTTGTGGGTTGCACTGTCCAGGAGCCTAGAATATTCGATCAGCAATGTTGCCCATCTCTGAGACCTGGCCCGCCCTACTGCTCAATGAACAAGGCGTAGTTGAGGAAAACCAACGCATCTGTGGCCTTGCCAATGCTCTTTCTCGTGTGGCCCTTTATAATCCTCCGAACGATGGCTCGCGGGTAGGTCTTTGAGGCAACGGCCATTGTGTGAGTTGATATCGTCTTGGATTAGGTACCTAAGTTAGCGTTGGGTGTTGAATGTGTCAACAGAGATGTCCAGAAACGAATGTAAACAGATGACGTAATGGTAATCATTGGCAAGGCGGCGATTCACGTGAGATGTACTGCACGTGATCTGGCGGTGGCAGCAAGCCTTATGTAGACCAAACTCCAAGTCCCAGCATTTGGTTATGCAGCTATCAACTTTGTTATGAGATGTATGGCTGATTTGGCCCTCTCTCGGACATTCAAGTCGGGATCGCTCTCGAGTTTTCGAAGCGACAGGACAAACCCGACCTTCTCTAGCTCCATCGCTCGCTGTCTGCATGCCAGCCGATCACCCGCATCGTCCTCATACGTCAAATTAATAGCTATCCAACAACATTGCGCCCGGACCTCTCGATCAGCGTGGCTAGAGAAGGTCAAAATTTGCTTCGTCAACGCATGATTCGATGCGATGGAATTACGCCACCGCGGCTCACAGGCTGCCACATGAACAATGATGTAGAGCACCCTCATCACGATCACGGTTGGGGCGGGCGTCGTCGAGTTATCCTTACGTGTGGGCCCTACATGAGTTCGGGGTCGTAACCGATCAAGCATAATCCTAAAGAAATCTTCGTGGCCCATCTCATCCAAGATATACTTGACAAGATCCGATGCATTGTCGCCGCAAAAAAGGTTTCTCAAAAGATCCAGCAATTGTGCCTGGATTTCAATGTCATCCTCAATTGTATGTCTGGTGTCAAAGCTACCAGTCAAGTCTGAGCTCGATCCTGGCTGGAGTGCTGTCCCCTGTTCGTCGTCCGAGTCTTCACTCATGACTACATCTGGAGAGGGGATGGCTCGGTGTGGTGGAGGTGGGTGATAGATATTCAAGGGGGGATAGTCCCGCTCCACAAGTCCTATGACTTCGCCTTCGGGTATGTCAATAGGATCAATCTTGATCAACAATTTGATCCAGCTAGACCCCAATTCATCAACCACCTCTTGCTTGAGTTTCTTATTGGCATTCAGGACCAGTTGTTTCAAGGCCCACAATGACTCCAGTCGAAGACGGGCATTGGCAGAATGAGCCTGCTCACAAAGTTTCTTTAAAACGGTGGATTCGCTGACACCATCTTTCATCGGACTGAAGTCGATCGCGAGATTAGCAAGAACCATCGTAGCAGCAATGCGGATCTCTGGGTCGGTTGAATTCATCAGCTTGATGATCGGTTTTGCCACTTCTGCTTCCACCAATTTAGTCCTCAATGCTTGGACAGACCTTGTCAACACTCGTACAGCACCACAAGCTGCCAAAACAACCGGAGTAGAGTTTCCGACGAGCTCCATTTCGTCGTTAACACCTATCTGGACTTGATAAGGTTCGAGCGCGGACATGATGTAGGCTAATATACCTTGGTCACAGATTTCTTTGCGGTATTCATCGTGGAAAGGTGCTATGGCTCCTATGGCTTGCAAGCACCCTGCTCGAAACTCCATCTCTTGTCTCAGGGTAGATGTAGCTAGGCTGTCAGGTTTCAAATTTTGAGTTGAAATTTGGGGCTTTGGGTAAGAAATGGTCGGTTTATGGGGGTGCCACGGCGCCGCCTTCTGGACAATGGGATGATCGAATGTGAGTTTTAATCCAGCCGCAAGATTCGCAATAGCCTTTCCTTCAACAGTGACCCGTTGCATTTCAGGATCATCCATAATCAACATGGCGAGGACAGCCGGGACGGCCTTCGTGTAGTGTAAACCACTGCAAAGATAAGATCCGGCAGGGGAAAGCATATCTTCCAACCTCGAATGTTCGGCCTCGAGCATTCGGGTCAGCAGGGGGACTATCAGAGATGCAAAAGTTGAGGTACGGAATTGGTTGACCAAGTTTAGACTGTAGAAGTTGACTAACAATTTTGCAGCCAAAAGACGTCGCTTGCCGCGGGACTCGCGAATGGTGTACAAAAGCCAGGGGATGAGGGATGGCTCTTCCGCTTCCTCAAGCACAGGTTGGCCAAGTGGCAGTTGAGGAACGTCCGGGGAAGAGGCCGGAATGAACGAAGTTCGGCGCTTGGGCATCGGTTGGACTGAACTCAGAGGAGGAAATCCGGCCTGATTGTTCTGGTTAGAGACAGGGACAGAGGGCAAGAGAGAATCAAAAGGCCCAGCGACGCGGGCGCGAGGGACGGCAGTGCCAGAGAAATAGCTCGTTCCCCAGGGTCCACGGCGGAGATCTGATGGGGAAAAATCATCCTTGAGATCTGGTAGGACGAGTTTGAGAGTGGGGTCGGTGAGTAACATCTTGGTCCTGGTCCTGGATGCTTGGATCAAAATGGACAGAGACTCGAGGACGGGGGATAGATGGGCGAATGTTGGAGCGGGTTCAGGCAAGCTTCGTGGCAGAAGAATATCGTCATGGAGAGATTTGATGGCCGGTGGGACCAAGCCCTGGGCAACGACAAAGGACGCCAGGCGGGCGCAGAGGGCAGCCAGCAGGCCGCAGTCGACAAGAGCGCGCTTGTGTTGTTCGAGGCAGAGAGTTCTGCAAAGCAAAGCCAAAACCGCATCACAGGCTTGTTGAGAAGCGACCTCACTGTGGGCGGCTTGGAGGATGGTGGTGAAGCAGGCTATATGGCTTTTTGTGTACAGTAAATCGGCAAGCTGGGTTGGCATGTGCTGGGAAATGGCAACCAGGGCTTTTAAGACGGTGAGGGCAGACTTTGAAGATGGTGGAGACCGTAGAAAGGATATTAGGATAGGCAAAATGTCGGTTTCGAGGAGCTGTTGGATAAAAGGCAAGCCCTCTGAAGATGTAATCAGTGAGCAGGAGAGCACGTCCGAGTAACAAGAGACCTACCGTGGGCGAGGATGGAGAGTATTTGAGCAACATGTCCATACACTTGGTCATAATTTTGGGCTTTGTGTAGCAAGTCTGCCAGCAGAGGAATTAGGCCATTGTTGAGACTTTCGGTCTTGCGCGAGACGTGACCGGTGAGATCATGTTTGATCTTCTTCAGATGCGCGACGCAGGAGGAATTGTCGGAGAGTGGGTATGGTGCCGAGGAGGTTGGGCGTTTCATCGAGGCCATGCGATGAGGAGCGATTGATGCGCGGAGGTGGAAGCGGGAGGAGGAGGAGTAGGAGGAGGAGGAGCCGGAGTAGGTCTGCTGTTATACTATCGGAAAACTGTATGAGCAGTGAGTACGAGTACTCCATACGGAGAAGTACCTGTAAGGTGGAAGTGGGCGGTTCGGGTCCACGTGATATAGGTATAGATCACATGACCTCGACCTATCACGTGCTTGTCCCTCTGAAAACAGAACTTGACGGATAATCACCCACGGATGATGGATGTCTCTGGGATGTGCTGATCGGATTGGAGCGGGGAACGGCAGGACTCAGTAGTCGGGAATCAGGACGCGGGACGCGGGACGCAGGAGCTGTTATCTGGAGAAGATTTCCGCCACCCACTACTGGCAACGGGCACTTTCAGTCTGTCACCATGTTTTGCGCTTAACAAATGAAATGGCTGAGATCAAACACGGGACACAGGGAGCCCACTAAGCCTCAGGCAGGTAAGTAACATGGATGACTAGTGCTTTTGGAAGTATTCGTCGGCGTCTGCGGTCTTCTCGTCTTCAAGTTCTTCCCTCACTTCCCACATTGTACGAGGTCTTCCCATCCATACCTCATTATAGTACCCCATACTTACCTCACTTTATCTTCAGTTCTCACAGCAGCAATTCAACACTATCCAACACTTCCTCTCCTCTCCTTGCCATTGCCATGTCAGTGCCCTACTGGCATTGGCATCGGAAATCCCTCCCACCTCTACCCAGCCGCTAAACGCATCTTGGTCTCCAAATCTTCTTCCATGCGCGCCCTCCTCGCACTTCGAGCGCTCTCGACTCTCTCTGACGACGGCTTTCTTGCACTCACTCATGTCCACCCGCTGTCGATATGCTAGCCACTTCTCCGTCACCCAATTTCCCTTTAAAGCACCTTGATGCGTCCTACACCTTTTCTCCGCGTCCCCAGAATGTCCAGTCAACCAAGCCTGCTCGTTCCGCCTTAATCCAGTCACAAACAGACTCCTCTCAATATAGCTATAGATCCTTTAGTACGAGATCATTAGATCGATACACCGACCCGGTCCCAATTTTCTCAAGGCCGGCCATGGTCGACGCGGCCACCCAATACTCGCCTCCTCAACCTCGACAGCCCACTCCCACTTCCACCCGCGCCGCCTCCACGACTACGACTACCACTCAAACCACAGCAACCTCTCAAACGCCCACTTCTACCATCGCTGGTCTGCAGCTGTCCGAGGGTGACGATTCCTCACTCGATACCTCCACTCCAGCCTTGTCACCCGCTCCGCCACCACCTGACAACCTTGCTGCGCCAAAACCTCTACTGAAATCAGACGTGGCTGTACCGCAATCTCAATCCAAGAGGCACGCTGTCGATCCAGCCTCCGCCACCCCTCTCACTGTCAACGGCAACCATCAGCACCAAGAGTCAGATGATCACCATTATTCTCCCATCAAAAAGCCCCGCCCAGATGCCCCCCCCGTTCGCAAGATGCCTCTCTTGTATGAGGATTGCAACACTCGCGATCTAGTTGTCCTAATCTCCTCCATGCTTATGGAGCTTATACGCTATAATGATGCCATCCCTCTGCGAGAAGGGCATCTAACTCGCTTCCACTCACGGGCGCCACCAGGCATCTCGGTTCTCGACTATTTACAGCGCCTGACCACTCATGCCACCCTATCTCCACCTATTCTTTTGAGTATGGTCTATTACATCGATCGTCTCTGTACCCTTTACCCGGCCTTCACCATCACAAGCTTGACGGTCCATCGCTTCCTAATAACAAGTGCCACAGTTGCCAGCAAAGGCTTGAGTGATTCCTTCTGGACCAACAAGACTTATGCAAGAGTCGGAGGTGTCAGTATGAAGGAATTGGCCCTTTTGGAACTCGAATTTCTTACCAAGATGGAGTGGCGCATTGTTCCTAAGCCAGAGGTCTTGTGTGACTACTATAAATCTCTTATAGGGAGGAATTCTCAATACGAGCTCGAGATGTGATGCCGATCTTCTTCCCCTAAATACACCACTTCACTGAGTGCTGTCCAGTCAACGCAGCCGGTGGATAGTCAACTGCCAGTCTCTCAGTACAGTCTACCCATGCTACTAAGTGTATTGACCAGTCGCTGGAGATCGGCACCTGCTGGTCAATCGCTTGCGTTCCTGATTCAGTCCGCTCATTATCGGCCCACGACCCTCCCGCTTACACGAGGTTTGCAGATGGTCTGGTCGAAGCCTGATCATTTGTCCCAACGTCATTCGGGTCTGCTCACGGATGCGGTCTCGATGGCGACCAAGACAACAATAGCGCAAACGACTCAGCAACACACTCTCACGAGAGTGCAGACGCATATTTTACCACACATCGAACATCGCTTATAGCTGATTTGTTTGTTTTCTATAGACAACCGTTGAATCCTCCCTTTTGTTGCAGGGACCTGCAACAATGGGCGTTGATGTATTGAAATGACCTCTATAAAAACTACAATTCAACATGATGAGCATGTGGGATACCACAGTCTGCCACACGATACTAGAAAAAGGAGATTCGTAACGCAAACAGAATCACTTTCTTGGTGCATGCTTCTCTCAAGTGCAACCCACGCCTCCATAGCACTTTGCTGAAATCAGAGAAGCCAGGAATACTTCTGGAGACTGCCAGTAGCCATCGACACCATTAACAGTCACTTCTTGGGATTTTGAATTGATTTTCCTGTATGAAGGTCTCAGGGTGACCAAATTGTATATGGCGTGCATGTGCCTCTGTCTCGCTCGTCATATGGCCATCTATCACAAAGAATCTTCTGTAATTCATGCAATTCAACACTGTCCAGGCCCGTATGTATTCTGAGAATTTCTGATCCCGTGCCTTTAGTGCTCGCTCATTTGTCGAAAATGTCCCAGATCCACCATGGGTGCTTGGAAACAATGCCTCACGTGGTGATAGAACCAAGCTATCATTCGTGCCACCCTCGCCGTCGAAGTTTTCTCCACTAATGTACTGGTCTGGATCCATTGGCGACCGCACTAATGGCTTTGTTAGTCGGAGCAAGATTCCGATTATCTCGCCAAGTATCTTCTGTGCCCCTGTGTTCAGAGAACACAAACGTTGCAGGCACTTGTTCACTGCATCAGGAAACAAGACTAACTTCCAGTTTGACTTCTTTTGCTTGGTCGTGAATTCAAACCATCGGAGTATGTCAAGCGTTTGCTCCAAGAATCCAGTCAGGCAGGGTTCGGTAATACACACTGCGGTGCCCCGAGGGAAGATTCGCCTGAACGAGAAGCGCCCGGATGTATCAGTCGAGACATTGAAGCATACCAGAGTATCCCCCTGCAACCGTAAACTCAGCATTTTCAACGATGTGAAATTCGGTAAGTCTTGGTGAAAGAGAACCACTCCTACTTTTTTCTCCCACGATTCCAAGAATTCCTCCCACCCGTTCTTTTCAGTGTTGGAGAAGATGTTTCGAGCCTCAACGAATTCGCCGAGCCATTCCCGCAACACCTGCGCCTCGTAAGGAAATAGATTGGCAAATGCAATGAAAATCCTCACATTGCTGGGATCTGCCTTGATGCGAGAAGAAACTGTGGTCAAGTATTGGAAAGCACCTCTCGAAAGAGAATGCTTCTCGTACATCATGTCACCAGTACCAGCTTTTTCTGTGAGATCGAGTTTAGCTACATCGACTCGATTGCAAGCTTGGTCAGTTTCGAGATTGTGCACCAGGGTGTCATTGGCATCCCTTGATGGCCGACGCCGACCAGATGCAAGTCCAGCTTCAGAGGCCCCTTCCTCCGTCCATGCTGTCCTTCGTGTTGCGGTGTTTGCAAATATTCCAGAAGCTCGTTGCAGCACCCCTTGATCCTGTGGGGGTTGCGTACTATAGAGTGGACTCCTGGTATTGCGAATCAAAAGCCGCAACCGATGCTTATGCGCCGGAGTCGTCAAAGTGTTTCCCAGAAGGTTCCACCGTGGCGCTGCTTGAGAATATAGAATCATGACAACAGTCTCCAGAGGATCTGGATAGAACCATATTGCGCACGCACTTTCTCGCTCCAGGTATTCTGCTAAACTATCGGCCGGTAGTTTTGTGTCCTCGTATGCTTCGATCTCCCCTAAGGCGCAAGGCGCCCCTACCATGAACTCTTTAGCAAAGACAAGGTACTCTGCCCAGTTCTTCACATCATGCTGAGGAAAATCAATTTTTAAGAGTGCGTCACCCGCAGATTTAATCGCCATGAACTTTGTCCTTAACCAGAGGGGCAAATGAAGAAACTTAACATCTCCCACGGAATGGCCACCGAGAGACAGATAAACCAGTAATTCGGCCCCCTTGTTGAATGGCCGTCCCCTTTTTGTGGTAATCAATTTCTTCATAGTCTGATGTTCTGCATTCGTGCTCACAGAAGATTCGCTCTGCTTCTTGTGTAATGGAAGAACTGGGTGGATATCGGGTGTTAATGGGGCTTTCCGTGCTACTCGTGCTACTTGCACAGCAGTATGGTTCTCTTGCGGACTCTTCATTGGATCCGGTAGGGCAGGCACTTCATCAGCCAGAGCTTGGGTTGACACAGCTGTATTGGGTCCAGAACCCCAATTCGGAGAACGGCCGCCTCGATGAAAATCTTGCTCGTCACATTGAAAGGATCGATGACTTCGAACTACCTGTGCTTGAAATAGCTGTTGTTGGACACTAGTTCTGGCATGTATCTGTTGGCTGCCTTGTGGGACAGCAGAGTCGTCAATTTCAGGACGCAGAACCGGCCCACTTGGGGACTTTACTGTTGGAATTGGAGAAGCAACCCTAGCTCGTCCATCCTCTGGGATGAATAGCCATGAGTCACCAGTGCTCTGGGCCAACGGGCTCAGTGGTGCGGCCACTGTACGCTGTTTCGCCCACTCTTCAGAAGACTTTAGCTCCATTCGGGACATATCAGGAACACCTTTTCGACTCGCGGCTTTTTCATAGTTGTTTTGATGGCGTAGATTCTTGAATTTTTCACCTCCTCGATTTTCTGATGGATGCCCGGACATGGGCTTGTGATTCTCGGGTTTCCCTTTCACGCCCCATACCAAGGTGACACTGGAACGTTTTCTGATCTCAGGCGAAGTCGCTGTTTCCTTTCCCTTCTCGCCTTGTGTGGGAACATTCTGTTCTGTGAAGGAGGAAACTGCTGCAGAATTGGCGGAGCGTGGTACTGCAGCCGTATTAGCTTGGGATATTGAAGTGGTTCTGGAATTGATTGAGCGTGTGGAGGTGGGATGCGCAGCTGAACTGGCATCAATTTTAGATCGTTTTGAGATCATTGGAGTATCAGACTCGGATGACGAGAATTCCCTTGACTTAGGGGCTTTGACAACCCGGCGGCGTTTCGAGACTCTGAGTTGGCGTTGATCCTCTTCCTGGGCTTGCTGGGCATCCTGATATGCGTTCATGCGCTCCTGAAGAGCGGCAACGCCTTCATCATCAAGTGCATCTCCGATGTCAAGCCGTGTTTCCCATTCTCGCAATGTTTGCGGATCAGAGAAGTTCTGTGGAGGTTCCCACGTACACTGTTCCTCACCGTAGCCCTGCCACTTCACCAGATAAAGCATCTTGCCATGAAAGTCATCTTGGGCGAGGATCCTCTCAACGTCATACACCGTAGTTTCAGCACCTGAAGAGTCACTTACGTCTGACATTATGACCAAACCTCAGGAGAAGGAAGGAAAGAATCATAATGTAATCACCTTCAACAGGTGGTGCCCAGTTCAAACTGGCCTAAGTACCTCGTATCTACCTGAATCCTGAGTACCAGTGGCAAGCTTCCTCGGTGTTTGTGGAACCGCGGAGGAGTGATCCTTTCAGGAGGTAGGTGGAGGCATTGACATTTACGGAGGCAGTGACAACACGTGATCTGTGAGCCTCGTGTATGGCCCAAAGCGGTTAGTATATGCCAAGCCCCGTTCCTTCCTCTGGAAATCGAACGACTGCGGCCAATTCGGGATACTCACTCACCAGGCGTCTTTTAACAGTTGAGCCACGGTGATAACCGACAGCCGCTTTCGCGCATTGTGTCTCCTGCTCTCTGATCATCCTCTCGTCAGTGCTGCCAGCCTCATTCTACTGCTACATCGCCTTGAGTTTTCAGGAGAACCGTCATCTGCCTGATCATTCTTCTGCGTCCTACGGACATCTCAATCAAACATCTCAATTCAAAACTGCTACAATCATCCCACTATGTCAGGGGACGAGTATGACTTTCTCTTCAAGGGTATGCCTTCCACACTTCTGCTTTCACAAGCCATGCTTCACGAGTCGGACTAGGCCAGGTCACGTTTCCACCGCGCTGAAGTTGAAACCCCCGGTGACTGCGAGTTCTTGTTGCTGACCTGTTGGCTGCAGTTGTCCTCATTGGTGACAGCGGTGTCGGAAAATCCAATCTTCTGAGCAGATTCACGAGAAACGAATTCAACTTGGACTCAAAGTCTACTATCGGCGTCGAATTTGCAACGAGATCCATCCAAGTTGACACCAAAACCATCAAGGCGCAGATTTGGGATACCGCAGGTCAAGAAAGATATCGTGCCATTACATCTGCCTACTACAGAGGTGCAGTTGGTGCACTGCTAGTCTACGATATCAGCAAGCATCAGACGTATGACAATGTCACCCGGTGGTTGAAAGAGCTGCGGGATCATGCCGATGCCAACATTGTCATCATGCTCGTCGGAAATAAGAGCGATTTACGACATCTGCGCGCGGTTCCCACGGAAGAGGCGAAACAGTTCGCCAGTGAGTCACTTTTGAGATGAAAGCTGCTGTTTCCACTGACTATCCTGAAGGTGAAAACAACCTGTCCTTCATTGAGACCTCCGCCCTTGATGCTAGCAACGTCGAGCTTGCCTTTCAAAACATCTTGACCGGTATGTCTGATCACCTTCGTTGCTCCTTATTCTCATTCGTGGCAGAAATATATCGTATTGTCTCCAGTAAAGCTCTCGACAGCGGAGATGCCGCTCAAGCACCAAGCGGAGGAGTGAAGATTGACATGACACCGTCAGGTACACCAGATGCAAAGGGCAACAAGTGCTGCTAATTTCCGGACTCGCCGTTGGTAAACCGGTGTATGGCGTTATTCATACTTATTACTGATCATGACCTCGATGATGTATCGATCCTGTCACGAAATGGTGTAGTTCACTATCAGAAAGGGGGGGATGAAGAATATCTTGGGTTGTTATCGGCCATACCAGAGCTCTCTTCCAATTCCCCGGTTTTCATGTTATCCTTTCTTCCATGTTACCTGTCCATAACCGCTCTGTGCTACACTCTGAATCTTCCCCTGTGTTTCTCCTGTGTCCAGTTGTCAACTTTTCATATTTCAACTAAGTGGCCATGCTATTTTAGATGGTAACCAGCACTATCGCCGGTGGCCTGGATACACCCAGAAATGTAAAGCAAGGATTCGGAAAATCACTAGACGGATGCTACTATTCATCGTGCTGCAGAAGACAAACCATCCCCATTCCACACTTGAGCGGAGAGGTCAGATATGCATTGCCCTTGCTTTGCTGTTATGTCATTGAGGAGCAACACAGTGCCGCAGAGCTGAAACGCACGGGTGCAATATGATATGAATTCGAGTACGGAGAGGAAACTTATATAGTCATACATGCACGTGTCTGCAAGGTCGGGTAAAGACGCAGGGCTTCGTCGCTCGGAGTAGAGGGCGTAACGAGCTCTATGGTAAGTAGAAAAGGCGAAACAGTAAAGCCGTATACCAAAGACACAGATTGAAACTGTTAGACACCACTTGTGCTAACAGGAAGATCTCGCTAGTAGTGCTAAGATGTTCAGTGTCGCTTTGTTCAGCTGCACAAGGTCGTTGTCACTAATAAGGGGAAATGGCCGCGCCCATGAAGAAGCTTCGCACTTATTCTACTTTTCTTCCACCCAAATTCTGCTTGTTGCAGTAACTTGGTTGTTACAGAGTCGCCATCTCCGTTAGCCTTGGGACTCTTTATTTCCAAGGATCTCGTTCCAAATTGGGTTCTACAGCAGGCTTTTTGTGTCCCTCGTACTGTTCGGCGGATTTCCCTCCCATGGTTGTAGCGTAGGGTCTCCTCTTGTCGTTTTGCACCTCCCTCTTTTACCCTTGGCTTTCGCCGTCCCTCGAATTTCGCTTTTCTCAATTCTTCATCGTGCTCCTAGGCTCTAGGTCCTGGCAAACTCGTATTCACAGCCTTGCCATGCGCTGCCTCGCCCCACCTTGTCATCACGTTTGTCTCTAGCTTTCCACTCTATTCAACCATCAATTCGCCCATCAGATCTTGTTCCACCCACAACTACCCACCGCTGAGACTTTCTCAAGTCTGTGGGCTCTAAACTACTCCACAACTGTCTCTCCATCCCGCCCTGCCTAAGCTTCCATTTTGTCTTCATCGACCAGTCGTACTCATGCTGCCACTTTTCAGCGCACTCCACGGAAGTGCGAGCAGTCCTGTTCAATCGCCTGGCCTGGCACCGGTCAACAATACCTCGGCGTTTACTAGCATAGGGCATTGTAGTCGGAATTCCGCACGCCCAGGTGGTCCGGGGGTCTCCTGCCATGGCTCGAATCCGCATTTCAAGTTTCTGTTGCAGATGTATACATTTCGCCGAGAATGAAGTGCTTATCGCTCGACGGTTATGAGAAGAAGGTGGTGAAGAATTTCAGGAAGCTGCTGGGGAAACCGCCGTCCTTTCATACTTCCGCATTTGCTCTATCGAACATCAGCACATCATCATGGCCCTCGCCTCCTCTTCTCTTCAACCGAGGAGACGCGCATTAGACAATAGTGATGCGATAGTCAAGCGCTGAGCCAATTCTATAGCTGCTTGACTTTGAACAGCGGCAGTTATATCTAGTTTTACGAGTATACCTGCCAAGGCGCCGTCGTTGTAAAACAACTTGCCACTAATTGTAGTTTGTTGCTGAGGCGAAATATGTATGCACGACTATCACAGTCATTTCATCGATGCTTTCCAGTTACCAATCGAAACCATCTGCACTTCATTTTTTTAGCAAGATAAGAGGATCTAGAGCGCTGCCTAAAAGCTATACTCTCGCTATGTTCAGGCGCAATTTTTTGATAGGCTGGAATATTCTAACAGTAAGCCTTCACACGGTCTCGAACTTGCATGACACTACACCCAAGCCATTCGTATAAGTTAGGAACTATCTCTAGCACCCATAGAAGAAACTTTGTATACTCGACTGATGAATGATCGTAGAAGTGAAAGAGATCGTTCTAACCATCCTTTAGAACACTGCCATCCCCATAGCTTTGCTGCTAACACCAAGTCCGTCGGGATTAAAGTGTTGGAGCATTGTCGCTGACCCTTGTCCTTTAGATACGTCCAGCACGGTGATAGCTGGTGCAGTGGTACCGTTTCCAGGAGACAATGCGTAGATGAAATCCCCCCCGGCTCGTAAGTCAATGAGCCCGGGGTCGCCGTTGGCTGAGAGGTCAACCCTCGAGAGGATGCTGGCATCCGCCAAGCTCATTTCAACAACCTGATTCACGCCGACATCGGTCACAAACGCACTGCCTGTTTTCGCGGAAACGGTAGCCCAACAGGTTGCCTTCTGGTTGTCAATTGCCTGCTTCGCGACAAGTGTGGCCTTGTTGCTGCTCTGATCAACAGAGAGGACAGCCCCGCCAAATGAAGCATCTGTGGCAAATACCGACGACGATCCTGGGATAATGGCCGAACCGAAGAGAACTGCTGTGCCGTCTGGGGAGCTCCTTATATCCTTGGAAGCAAGGGAGGCTTCGCCTTGACACGAGTTTCTTTCAATGGGGAAGACGGAGAAGAAGCCAGTATTGTTGACTGCTGGGTCGCCCTTCACTGTTGCAAACAAGCGTGCTTCGTCATCAGAAAAAAACAACTGCGAGACGGTGTTCGTTGGGCCCACTGGGGGAGTTGTTTGCTTGAGATCAAACGATCGCAACCCATCCATCGCTTTAAGGCCACTCTTAGAAAAAGTTGAGCATGATACTCCATTTTTCGCTCCGGTAGTTCCAACGCATGCCAGTTTGTTACTTGCAGAAGCTGCCACTGTGTTCGGAAACTCGCCAGGGATCGAGACGGGCTGGCCGACCATCACAAGTTTCGTAGGGTCACGTGGGTCTATTGACAGCATCGACAATGTATTGCTTCCCGCATTCACTGCGAAGATATTCTAGCAAAGTATTAGCAACTCCTGCTTTTGCGCGGGGCTGATGGGGGGTTCAAACGTACGTTGCCAGCAATAGTAAGAGCTGACTGACCAACAAGCGCATCCGGGAGAGCTGGTTTCCCCTCTGCGTCAACAGCAACGGAACCTGCTCCGCCTGTGAGAGTGGTGGTACCTTGAGACAGAGTCCCGTCTCCAGAAACTGGCAATGCAACGACCGCATTGCTCTCTTCATTGGTGATAAAATATATCGCTTTCACTGCCGCGCCATTACTAGGACCTGGAACTTGGCTAGCATGATGAGGTACAGGATTTGAAAGAACGACAGTGAAAGTTGCTGCCAGAGCAAGGAAGCTGGAAAATTGTGTCAACATTTTGAATGAAAGAAATGGGTCAGTCTTGACAGAACAATAACACAATGCGAAGTAAAGAAGGTCGGATCCAGATCCCTTGTGTACAAGATGAGTCGTGTCCGCTCCCTCACAGGCGAACCTGATCTTAAGTAGAAAATCTCTCTCTTCCCACCTGTTCAATTCTTTGATGTTGTGAAATGGCCATTGGTCAGGTGCATACACAGACTTAGGGAGGATACTGTCCCATTTCAAGTCAGGGTGCCACTAGCAGGTTTCGTTTTAGGTTACCAGATACAAAATATCCACTTCCAACTTGTGCTGGGTAGAAAGCCGACCAAACTAGTCCTCAATAGGAATATTTCGATTATTGAATAGTTCAGGAAGTGTGGGGTTTCTTTGTGTGAGATGAGTGAGGAGGGAGTCAGGGTCTGAAACAAATGCCAAACTTACTACTCTGGGAACAGTCCGGCGCATAAACTAAGTATACCATCGGCACTTAATGGATTTGCTTAGATTTGTGATATAGATCAACAAAGTGTTCGGAAGGTATTTACCACGACAACTAGAGCAATCATCACATCGTAAATGGCCACTAATAGCCAGTTTAAGTGCCAGGAAAGGTTTTCCCGAGGCGAGAAGCTTAGTCGAACAAAATAGTAGAGGTCATCATAGATACCATAAGCTTGCAGTTCGACAAGCTATCTCTAGACATTCTGGGAGATTTAAACCAATTGACAAAGTAGCTCTTGATGTGTGTTAAATGAAAAACAAATCACGCCTTCTGTTTGCATCGTATATCGACGGTTAATCATTTTCGAAGTATATATTAATCCAATTCTCTTCGCAATGGAAGGCTATATATGTCCCGTTCATATACCCTCCACCATACAGGTTTACGATGCCACGGATATCTTCCAACAGTACAAAATGACAGCATGTAGGTGACCCAATTAGAAGCGTGGGAGGAATTGATTCCCGCGGTTGACAGGTAGTAGACAAGCATATTATATACACGAAGAGGTGTTAAGAACAGCAACGTACACCATCAGCAGTACAGGACCTTCGCGCAGAGTAATGGTTTGAATCTATTTACAATGACAGCATCGCCAGGCTAAATCCTGTTCTATCACTATGAGACCAAGTCCACAATCATTGGAAGAGCTAATTATCGTGCTGAGCTTGCAGTATGTCGTCAAAACTGTTGAGGGCTTGGATTTATGGTACTCGTTGACGACGAAAACACCTTTGCAGCAAACCGAGAGCCGTACGTCGGTGACGATGCTCCTCTGTCTCACGATTCGTGGTGACGGTATGTCGTTTTCAGCTCGACGACACTGCTGAACGCCAAAGAAAGGAAGAGGAATCGTAAAGGGGAAGAAAACTGTTTTTATCTGCTAGTCATTCCATGCATACTTGACGCTGCTCCACTCAAAAGCCATCAGAAATATGGGAGCACGTCGACACTAAATTAAGCTAAGAACGGTTTGGTGGTGATTCCGTCCCCGTCCTGATCAATAACCCAAGTTTACTCTTTCCAGCTAGCTCGCGTAATAACACCATGTTGCTCGGAAGTCACTAGAAACACGATCTTTCCGCAAACGGCACATGTTGATAGATAACCTCTCAATCAGGCAGCCCGACTATCCCTGGCAACCGAGCAGAATCAAGAACGTAGGTTGCAAGGATCGCGCACATCTTTCCTCTGCAGATTCTCAGGTAATCCAGCCACCTAGGTTATCTTGAAGAAAAGTTCTCGCTGGTGCCTCAGAAGGTGATCTATCTCTGCCAAAAAGTCGTACTGTAGGTCGCATACTGCTATTTGTCTGAAGCTTCTCCCGTCAACGTACTTATTTGATGCGAGTCCATGGTCATTGTTCTGCAACGTGGACGATTGAGACACATCCTGATCTCGAGTAGCTCGCCCCTCACTCCATTCCACGGGCGCACCATTGCAATCGTGAGCACCTGACAGTCAAAGCTGAAACACAGAAGGTCCGCGACACGTGGGTAATAATAGATGTTCCGCATTGAGACACTGGCGCTGGTTAATCAGGCCCACATTTACATCCGAAAGCTTAATTTACTCTACGAGTGAGTTTCACTAAAAGCTAAAGTGGAGATTAAACTGAAGGTTGGTTCGTTGATCTAGATACGGAGTACTCCGTACATGTAGTAGAGAAACAAGGCTGAGATAACCCTTCGTGCCTTCTTTTCTCCCACTGGCTGATTAATAACAAACAGCCCTAAAATATAACGCTACTCCGTGCGCGACACTAGCAAAATTGCGATTATGTCCACATCGTCTCCGTGGTTTCGAATCTGATTAGCAATATTTGCGTAGTTAATGCTAGCGACCTACTATTCCAATATATATAATAGCACGGTTAGGTCAACCAGGAAACACAGAATCGCTGTTAGTTTCCATGTTTCCTTCCTCGTCCTACTATCCTTTCTTTACACTGGTTCTCTTCGCACGTTCGTTAAAATACTTTCACCACGTTGATCGTGGATTTCTTCAAAGTAACAGCTCAAATTCAATCGATACTCTGATTCATCTACCCCTGAGATCCGGGTGCTGTGTATCCAAGATGCTATACCGATATATCGCACTCGTTCTAGGATCGAGCAGTATAGTAGCAGGAGCTGCACTGAATAGAGGAGAACTTGGAAGCGCAAGGCTTCAACAGCGACAGAATGGTAACCCGACATGTTTGGCTCCTAATGCGCTTCAAACAGCAAGTCAAAAGACAGGCCAGGAGGCGGGGACTGATGGAATAAAGGATGGTCAAGCTCCTTCAGAGACGTAAGTTTCCCCTTCAAGTGGAAAGCAAGTTACTGACGAGCAGTCCAAAACAGCGACAACGCAAATTTCATCAACTTCTGCTCTGGACAAACCCTCACTAATGGTGCCCAACTGACACGCGGCTCTTGCAACGGAATCCCAATGGGAAAGATCCCCGCGGCGAAGAACATGATCTCGGCCATGATTGTGAACCCTCAACCAGGCGATCAAATCACCGCTGGTGAAACATTCAATATCGCTGTGCAAACAGTCCATCTCGATGCAGGGTTTTTTGTAAACCCCACAACTAACTATTACACTGCCCCTCAAAATCTGAACAAAGATGGCGATATCATTGGCCATTGCCATGTCACAGTCCAAGAAATCGGCTCCTTCAAATCCACCAATCCGCCTGACCCGGTTACCTTTGCGTTTTTTAAAGGCATTGATGACGCCGGCGATGGTCAGGGTCTTCTCCAAGCAGTGGTTACCGACGGCCTTCCAGCTGGTATCTACCGCGTATGTACCATGATTGCAGCCAGAAATCATCAGCCAGTAAACATGCCTGTCGCACAAAGAGGGGCTCAGGATGATTGCACAAAGTTCCAGGTTGTGGACGCAGCTGGTGGCAACAATGCTGGAAAGGGGCAGCAAAATGCGGGGAGCGCAATGATTGGTAAAATAGACTCAGGAAAGGTTGATGGGCAAGCTTCGGACGCAGACTCGACTCGAAGTGCTTCAGCGGACAGCTCAGCGGCGGCCACTACCCAAGTCAGCCGGGCTGGATCGACTCAAGCTGCGGCTGTGGGAAGGACTCTCGATTTCGGATCTTGTACCAACCCAGCTATTGTATTTGGCCCTGGATTTGATGGCCGAAAGGAGAATTCCTTCCAACCAGCTGACAAAACAGAGTTCACGCATGGATCCGCGTTGGATATTGACACCATAACTGGCTTCATCTGTGATCGATTCAATGACAGGTGTAAGGCTAGCAATGAGGCTATCAGTGCTTGTACCTCGGCGCAGGCCGCCACTAAAGGCAACACGGGCCAGGCCGCTGGTAAGATTCAGTACTCCATACATGTACACGGAAATCACTAACGTAATGCAATAGCCGATGCTTGGAACAACGCTCTCGGGCTATGAATGTATGAACAGGTATGGATGTCGCCTCTGGAACTATACTGGTTGAGAGTGCCTTCTGCCGGGACTAAACTTAGCTCATGGGCACCCTTAGGTGGTCTAAATTTTTAGAGAAGGAAAAACTTACACGAAGTGATTCTCTTTACCCCTAGGAAAGGCGAATGCGTAATCCTACTTCCACGAAATCTAGAACCTTAAATAGTAATAGAGTGTTCCTAGAGTAGTCTCTTGTTACGAACTAGGTCACTGGAAGGGTCGCTAAGGGTAAGCTACCTGTACCTAAAGGAAAATAGGGAAGTTTACCGATGGAGAACGAGGCCACGTCACGTGACTAGGACTAGACTATAGAGGACTATAGACTATAGAGTTAGTCTAGAATAGTCTATAGTCTACACTAGTATTATATATATACGCTCCTTCGTATAGATAGAATCATTCGTAGTTAACTTCGTTAGTAATCCTATACCTATATTATTCCCTTTATTACTACTATACTAAACTATTATAATTCGAGCTATAAGTAGTTCTAACTAAGGTATTACGAACTAGGTCACTTGAAAGGTTGCCAAGGGAATCAAGGCACCTGCCTAGGGAAGGAAGTTAGCAGATGGAGAACGAGGCTAATTTACGTAACTAGGTAAGGCTAGATCTCCTAGATCCCTTGGATCTTATGGATCTCAAGAGATCCGGGGGAGCCATGAGATCTAGGGAGAGCCGCTAGTAATATATATATACGCTTACTACCCTCGTTAAGATAGATTATAGTTAACTTCGTTAGTAATCCTATACCTATATTTTAGGATATAGTCCGACGATTAAATATTCCCTTTATTATCCTAGTTAATACTTTTATATCTACTCTATTAAGGAACCCTACCTTAGTTAGAACTACTTATAGCTCGGATTATAATACTTTAACTACTACTTAATTAATATAAGATGTTTAATATAGGAACCTCTCGAGTTAAGTCTCCGATACTAAGTACTAAACTATTAGGTAGCCTTAGTAATACTTTAAAGTCTAATATTATTAGGGACGCCGACGGTAACGTAGTAATATATAATATACCTAATGTAGTCGGAAGGGCCTTAGCCCTAGATAGAAAGGATAATATTAAGGTTAACTATTACTATAGTAACCGAGCTAAGCTTAAACCCTTCTTAATATAACTTAAGGTAGTATTTAAGCTTAACCTAGTTAAGTATTAGTTAGCTTCTACCTAGGTTATATTTACTTCTATATACTTAAAGGGAGCGGCGGCGTCGTAGTTCTAACTAATACTAAAGGACTATATTAAAATAGAAATACTAAATAAGAATACTAAAGTATACTTTAAGAACTTTACTAAGTTCGAGTAACTTATTAAATAAGTCTTCGAAATCGTAAACGAGGCTCGCGCCGCTTTACGAACTATCTATACCCTACGATAGAAGGAGTCGGCTACTTCTTACTTCTCGAAATTTTAGAAGATTACTAAGGACCTCAGCTAAGAAGATAAGGATACGTTCGCGGAAATCTTCTATAACGAGTTAAAGGAATCGGTTCGACGTAAGATAATAAAACCTCCTATAACGTATAAAGCGATAGTAGACGAAGCTATCGATATCGATAACCGCTTATATAAACTTAGTATAGAAAATAAGACCGCTAGAGTCCGAGAGGAACGAGGCGGATATAATAACTAGAGGAGTTATTACTTCCGCGGAAGTAATAGTAAAGACTACGGAGACCCTATAGACCTAAGTTTTCTTAACGCTAGCCGCGCCTTACGCGTAATAGGCTTCGAACGAGGACGTAATAAGGGAAAGACCTATAGAAACGATAACCGAGAGAAGGAACGACTTAGGAAGGAAAACCTATACTTTAGATATAAGAAGTCCGAATATCGTATAAAAGATTACTAGGATAGCTCCCGAGGACTATATATAATAAATATAGAGGGCGGCGATATAGACGGCTTAATAGAAAAAAAGGCCGATACTATTAATAAGACCTAAAGACCTACCGAAGGTAAGGGCGAAGGAGTATAGAAGGACTACTAGAAATCGGATAACCTAGGAGGGTTAAGTAAGTTAGATACCATCGGTGTTTTGGCCCGCAGCCCAGCGCAACTCAATTTGCTATGGGAGCCCAGGGAGCCCAGGGC